ACTTCAAAGTTGGTGATTGGGTTATGGTAAGACTTCCGCATAGAGAAAGCAAACTTGAGGCCGCTTATGATGGACCTTATCAAGTTGTTCAAAAGAAAAGATCTACATATGTGTTGAAAGACGATATGAATGAACTACTACATCGCGACTATGTGCCATCTGAATTGAAGCTGGTAGCAATCGACGAGTCTATCATCGAACAAGAAGTATATGAGGTTGACGAGATCAGAGCGCATCGTGGTCCTGAACACAATAGAGAGTATTTGGTAAAATGGAAGACATTTGGAGAAGCTGCCAACTCCTGGGAAACTGCTGCATCGTTCAACAACCCTCAAACCATTCGTAAGTACTGGGCAAAGATCAAGGAATATGAGCTGCTTGAGAAGAGAAGACAGGCACTAAATAGTGACACTGCTTCCTCCAAATCAAAGCGTAAGCGTGATGATTCTGACAAGCGTTTGAGAGGCTCTAAGAGACTCAACGTTGCAGAACAGTAAAGTGATGTTTGTCATGGGATATATCAGGGCAACATGCAAATTGCAGTAGCACCTTTAGACTATCACATTGCGTTATATCTTTGTCAGCGAATGCGAAATACAGATCATTGATCGTTTACATAATTCTTTGAATTAGTCAACATGCGTTGAAACTGGTGGGGGCAAATGTGGAATACATCCACTATGATCTGCATTCCGACAGTTCATCCAGTTACCAGATTTAGATATAAACTGTATGTACACTGGATTAGATGTACGATATCGATTTATACTATGATCATGAGAAGATATGGACTTCAGATACGCTAGTACTATAAGATTCATACTATATAAGATATAGGCTATAGATGGCACCACGGACATGGATGGCACTATAGACTTATACTTGTATTCCGACATTAACTACGGATGTTTACCATATCTGGATAGGCACCAAGATTAATGCAATATGAGCTTGTTGCTTCAGATGTGCACTTCATGATCCACGCTATAAGACACATGCTTATATCCGTGATACTAGCTACAGATACTTTATGTACTACAGACTTGTACTATATATGAGACATGCTATAGACATGCATACGATATGCTATAGACATGCCATATATCCAGATACATGCTAAAGATGTATGCTTAGCGATATACACTCAGATATGTACTATTAATATAGACTAAGAAGACTGTACCTATCGGATACATGCTACTAGATCGATATTAATTATCCTTATGGAAAGGATAGATCAGGGTACTTCGGATGAGAGTCTAATTATTCATCCAGACAGAGCTAAATCATGATTAGCTTGCTGGAGTTGTCTTTTAGCATGATTAGACATTAGTTGATCTGAGTTGACTTATTTGTCAATCTAATTAATAGAACTTTTATCCATTGTTATAGTATATAAGAAGGATCATCTACCTGGCCAGTAGAGAGACTTCAGTTTACTTTACACCTGTCAGTTTGATAATAAAATATACCTTTATCAAGTTGACATTACTGTTTTTTTATTCTTTTTTTTCCGTGAATTTTAGTCTGTAAAGCCTCAAATTCCACAATAATGACTAATGTTGTTTCACGTGAAGCCACAAAGGAAACACAACCAGCAAAAGAAAAAGAAAACGCAACAAAGCGCAACAAAGAAAACATCATGAATGCAATATCATGAGAAAGGAAGCAATAATACCAACGTTCAAAGAAGTCTTTTATCATTGCGACCAGAAGAAAAAATGATACTTACCACTTACCATAACCACAGATAGACCAAAGAATAGGCAATCACCAGAGATAAACCAGAAGACAAACATGCACTAAAGACAGTAGACCAGGGAAGACCATATTAGCAGCAGCAGCAGCAGCAGCAACACCAGCACCATAGAAGAACCAAAGAACGAACGACACCAGCAGAGACCAGACAAAGACCAAACAAGAAGCAATCACCAGACATGTTGAACCAAAGAAGCAGGTAGCGGAGATTGCAGAGAAGTAATAGCAGCAGCACTCACTCATACAAGCAAAAAATTACTAAAACCTAATAAAAAAAACAAACTCAATTAGTGTTAGTTCTACGCCTTCCAGTGCTTGTTACCGAATGATGCCTAATATATTCCACGTCAAAGAAGCAGTATCAAGTTCTTCCAACAGTACAAGACAGAGTTATCGGAAGCTAGAGTGTTATTATCATCAGTCAAGTGGTTTCCAAAACGACTATGGTTTGATGCTAAACGCGTCTTGCAAAAAGGGAAAAAAAACAGGTGTATGGAAAAAATAAGACGGCACGCTATCCGACGTCACGGCCAGTAGATTTGGTCTCAGTCTTCTTCCGAGGCAGCCGTAACTGCGGCAATCTAATTTGAATTTGTGCAGTGGGGGTATTTTCGTGTTCAAATTTGACTTGATCTGACATTCTTTAAACGCTTTTGCTGAATTTGACTATGGAAACTGTCGTTGTCACAACCAGCTTTTTAATACATCTCTAGAGAGCTAAAGAAGCCGCATCGAATGGTGCTGGTTACATCTTGTTTTCAGACCAAAAATAATAAGCAAGTTGCAAAAATATGAAAACAGGTTTTCTGTGAATATGTCAAAATTTAGCATATACAAGCCTCATAGAAATAGTTTCCGATGTTGTATTCCATCTTTGTGATCAATTTGATCTAATGTGTATCATAGGAAAAGTCTTCATTTTTAGGGTGAAAAACATGATCGTTTGATTTTCAAGAATTTTCCCTTGCTAGTATACATGTAAAAATGAGGATTTTCATGAATTTGTAATGACCTAAAAAATTTTGAGATAAAGCATCAGTAAGTAAAGCGTATCAAAGAAGAGCCTTTTGGCGCTATTTCAAGCGCGCAGAACGCTCTGTGATATGAGTTATTCGTGCTTGAAAATGGCTAGATTTGAACAAAAGCTGACCTAAAAATAAGGCGTAGCAAGGTTGTGTTGCCAAAGAAATAGACTAAAGTTCTGTCTGATATATCTGATGTTTTGCATTGTACAGAGCTCAACATCTAGGCAATCGACGCTGTGGAATTTGAGGCTTGATAGACTAAAATTCACGAAAAAAAAAAGAATAAAAAAAACAGTAAAGTCAACTTGATAAAGGCATGTTTTATTATCAAACTGACAGGTGTAAAGTAAACTGAAGTCTCTCTACTGGCCAGGTAGATGATCCTTTTTATATACTATAACAATGGATAAAAGTTCTATTAATTAGATTGACAAATAAGTCAACTCAGATCAAGTAATGTCTAATCATGCTAAAAGACAACTCCAGCAAGCTAATCATGATTTAGCTTTTGCCTGGATGAATAATGAGACTCTCATCCGAAGTACCCTGATCTATCCTTTCTATAAGGATAATTAATGTTAAGCACAAAGAATAAAAGGATTATTATTTGTAGCTTATAAAAAATGTTCGATATTATAAAAACAAGAATAGACTTATCTGAACAAGATCAGACACAAAAACTAAAGATTTATTGATGAAGACAAGAGTTATTCTATTTATACTAAATTCTGAATGCCCAAATAGCAATTTACAGTATCTTGTACAATGCTTACCACATCTGTTGAACCTTAGCATCTAGATATCTGAGATGCACTTCACTTATCATAGCTTGTCCATGTTGTTGCACAACACAGACATATCTACCCATCAAGAATACCCTAATCTTTATAGACAGTTGTGGCCCTTCTGGCACAACACACACGATGTGCGAGATAAGCGTGCATCTTTACTTTAGTATGTTTAAATGGTTGTTGATGTACATTTGAGTGCGTGGATCTGAATGAGTACTATTTGATGAATTCCGGTTTTCAATCAAGTTGCGTTTGGGTGGTTATTACATTACATCATATACTAGAAAAAAAAGAAAAAAAAAGAAAAAAAAGAAAACACCATTTCAAGCTATCAATAGCCCAGCCTCCAAAATGTTCAAAATAGGATTCATGGATGTTTGAAATCTTTCAGCCTTAATACTGTGCAATCCTGATAATAGCATTGCTTTCCAACTAAATTAAACTTAGGGTGAAATTTAAAGAAGAAGCGAATGATACCAGTTTTAAGTGCTTTGGCCGGGGCTATTAGGCTGATTCTTGATAAAATAGTTTTTGCGTTTTTTCGGTTGTTTTTGACAGATTATCAAGCTTTGGTCATCAAAAATCTACTTCTAATGCTTATCATATTTTAGAGCCAAAACATTCCTATCAAATGAGCTCTTCCTTGAAGCTCTAGCACAATTATATTATGAGAAATCAACAGTTTTTCACCTCCAAATTTTTGCCCTCCAAATTTTTGCCCTCCAAATTTTTGCCTTGCTATTACAGGCAAATTTTGGCAACAGTATGTATATTGTAGATTTATTTTTACCGGATATGTACAATTTTGTCGATACCTTGCGATAGGTCTTTGTTGTGACACTTTCAAGGTCATAGAGTCTGGTGTTCTGGTTCATCTTCCACTGCTCATGGTGCATGTACTAAGGTGGTTTTAAGCAGCAATAGATCTGACGATGCTCACAATAATTATACATAGCAAATGTTGGCTTTAGTTCAAGATAATTTAAATTGTAGGACATATTGATATGATACCTCAATTCTTAAATGCGTAGTAGACACAATGGGAGGATGAAGACAAACATAATTCTATAGCCTACCTTTTACACATCAAGCCATTGAATTATAGATGCACATCATATTTCGCATATGTAAAAGCAGAGCATCTAAACTGTGTCATTCACATTCTTGAAATAAAACTGTAGTGATTTTTACATCTACTTTTAATTAAACAGAAGCGGTAAAGTATGTTCAATATACAATGCAACTGCGCTCAACATGACAAGAATAGTGGCTGGATCAAGAATGTGACATATTGAAGATAGTGCATACACAAACACTCAAGGGGCAAACGAGATTTAGCAACCAATGTAAAGAGTTTTAATTGTAATTATCATGAAATAATAGAAAAAAAATGCAATTGGTGTAGATGGAGAGGGAATGGACAAGATTACATAAAGTACATAACCTTTTGCAATTCAGGCTTGACAACAGCGAAAGAGGCCATTTGAGCATCAGAATCCATGGATTCAGAAGTGGCATCGGTATCAGACCAGTTCTCACCACGTCGGTGGAATCTGGCACGAGCTGCGATAAGATCGGCATAGTAAGCAGCAGGGACGATGGAGACAGCACGAGTAGCACGACCATAGATATAACAGAGGTTATACGTCAATTCTTGAAGGGCATCAGAAGTGAATTTGTTCTCATCATAAAGGACGTGGTAGTGAGTAGGTCTTGAAGTACCTTGCAAACCAGCATGAGATTGAAGGTAGAAATCAAACTCAAAGGGATGGACGATATCAGTGTCAACAACGGTACCAGGCTTACAATTACCAGTTCTATCAGCATCACGCATTTCAATGGGGAAGAATCTAGCATGATGTCTCTTTTGGACAACGACAAAGGTAAGAGTAGGCTTGTAGTTCTTGTCAAGAGAGGCACAGGCAGCACGGATGGCAGCGACTTCAGAATCCATGACTTGCTTGAATTGACCTTCAGAGACACCATCACGGTAGAACAGAATTCTTTCAGGCTTTTGACCGCAAGATTGGTAAAAGCTCTTGAGAACCTCCTTGATCATGTTGGGAAGATCAGCAATGATTTCAGTGCGGTTAGCTTGGACACGGATAGATGAAGAGTATCTTGAGGCACGAGCATCCATGGAGGCAGCGAGAGCAGCGATGGAAGGACGGTTCATGTCACCAGGAGCAGGGTGAGTAACATCGGCACCCAAGACAATAGTAGGTCTTTGAGCAATGAAAGGAATGTGAGGAGGATTAAGGAACAAGTTCATACCGCCCAACTTCATGTTGACCTTGAGACAGACATTGGCACAGTATTGCTTCTTGGCATCAGCAATATGCTTGGATTGGACACATTGTGTGGGGACACCAATAATAGTATCAGAGATACGCTTGATTTCAGCATACAAAGGAACACCAGTGTTGGGCAAGATACAGACGATCAATTGAGGGTTTGCCTTGGCTGCGTTACCAGCCTTCAACCAAGCTTCCTTGAGGGTACGTTCAATGTTGCCTTGAGGATCAGCAGAGGAAATAGGAGGTTGACGGTTGACAACGTTCAAACCAGTATCAGCAAAGGTTTGACATAATTCACGGATGAAACGTTGGATGGCAGGCATGGGGATGGCACCAGCAAAGTTAACAACGGACCAAGAACCAAGGGTAGCGCCTTGAGCAACCTTCTTGCCTCTCAAATTCCAAGCACCACCTTGAGGAGCGAATTCAGCTTCTTGAGATGAGGGGTGATAAGAGATCTTGGGGGTAGGGAGGACACGAGCGTTGATGACGGACATTTCGGGCTTGACAGACATACCAAATTGTTGCATGTAAGGGTTGTTGTATTGCAAAAGACCGAGACCTTGCTTGATCTTGTTGGCACGGACGTTGGGCTTTTGGCAGGTGTGCTTGATCATTTCAGCGGTTTGCTTCTCATTGAGCTTCTTTTGATGACGTTGACCAGGGAGAATCTCACAGACTTCCATGGGCAAGAAGATGTCCTTCTTGACGACAACACAAGGCAAGAAAGGATAGGCGAGACGCTTGTTGTATTGCTTGGCAAAGTAGTTGGCAACAGTCATTTCATTGCCGGCATCATCCTTGAAGACAGTGCGGTCAGCAGGAGAAGGAGTGAGCTTGGAAATCTTATACTTGAGCTTCTTCTCACCGCGATGGACGACTTGGATTCTCAAGGCCTTGAGAATCTTTTCAAGCTTGGAGAGATCGCGTTCAGGGATACCGCGACGAAGTTCATCAAGAGAACGACGACCCAAGATCTTAGCGACGACATCAGGCAAAGGACCAGACTCGTAGAAAGCAGTGGAGCTGACATCAATGTTGACCATCATCTTGCCTACAGTGGGACGAACGGATTGGTAGTAGCCTTGCCAGACTTCAGCACCATTAGGAAGAGGTCTCTTATCAGCAGGAGTGAAGAAAGAGCGGCCAACAGTGGTGTAGAGTGTAGAAGGAACATGGCGAACCAAGATATCAAGCACCATGATGGCTAGAATGAGTCATTGCCATTAATTAGTTTACGTGTCCTTTGTGATAAATTTCCTATGTGGTCTTTTTGACTGAAAAACTTACCGGTGAGACAGTTGGAGGTACAGGCAGATTGACCCAACAAGAAGCGTCTGAGCTCTTCCATGTTGACTTCACCAGCCTTCTTGATACGGATCTTGAAGATGTCGCTGTGACGCTTAGTACCAGCAGCACCACCTTCAGCAAGGTCAACCTACAAAGTAAGGGTCAGTTTTAAGAAGAATATTTAACGATAAGAAGGGGGTTAATAGACTAACCTCAAAGGCTCTGGCTTGCTCTTCACCCAAATCAAGAGGCTTGGGAGAGAAGACATTCTTGCGACCATCAAAGATAGTCTTGATACCAGTGAGAATACCTTGGCCATTGCTATCTTCAAACTTTTGCCAGACATTACGGTAAACCATAGGAGGTTTGTCAATAGGATCAATGGTAACATCGTAGTGGTGGATGTTTTGAGTGGGGAAAGAGTTAACTTCAAAGAAATTGGCTCTGACGCGAACGGGTTGACCAGATCTACCAGCACCAGGACGCTTGACGAGTTCAGTAAGTTCCAAAGACATTTATTATATGTATTTAGATTTGTATAAAAGAAAAAAAAAAAAGAGAAGAGCGAAAAAGGAAAAGATTTCTTCATCTAATACATCTAAGCAATGTAAACAACGCCCACCAATCCTATACGTCACGGCGAATGGAAGTAGCTTAAAAAGGATGATTCATTTATACCATGCGAGAGCAATCAATAAGTCCTCCTTGATACGAATCATTTGTGGTAGCTGATGGCCGATTTGGTTGCTGCTCCTTGCATGTTGCTAGCTCATAAGCATTGCATTCGTTGTGCTGATTCACCTCAATTCGGGTCTTTTGTCTGTGTGAAACTTGAAGCAATGTATCTGGTACCAGCCGAATCATGACCCCGATAGGAATAGATGCTAATCCAATAAGGACGCAAAGCAGCCAATGGCTCTTGGACAATCGCACTGTTTGAAACGCTGTTCCACCATAACAAACAATGACAATCTGGCCAATAACACTGATGGAAAAGATCAGCATAAAGAACTTGTTTTGATAGATCCCTTTAAAAACGTTTAGCTGATTGTCTATGCGTCTACAGCTATAAATACATATATACGTTAACAATGAGACATTTAGCAGCACGTGTATGATTATCACTCACTTGACTTCATTGAATATCTGGCAAAACACAAATGTGGTGAAAATGACAGTTTGCAATGTTGCTAAATCATGGCTTAAATGGAGAATGTCCGTATACAACAATACTAAAATGACGCCGAGTTGATAGATGGACTGTCCTATGATCATTTTCCACATGCAAGTGTCAATCAGTGGGTCTGTTCTTGCCTCTGGTAGTCTATTCAGCAAATCAGGGGAAGGCGGATCAGTGGCAAGAGCCAAAGCAGCAAACGTATCCATGATCAAATTCACCCACAAGAGTTGCACCGCAGAAAGCACTGATTTCTGTTTGCTGCTGACAATGGCTGAAAAGATGGTGAGCATGACTGCGGTGATGTTGATGGTCAACTGGAATTGCAGAAACTTCTTGACTGAGTCATTGACACATCGACCCCATGAGATGGCTCGTACAATGCTTGAAAAGTTGTCGTCCATCAGAATGATGCTGGAGGCCTCCTTGGCTACTTCTGTGCCTGCGATACCCATACTAAAGCCCACATCAGCTGCTTTGAGAGCAGGTCCATCATTGGTGCCATCCCCAGTTACTGCCACAATCTCTCCTGTTTCGCGTAATGCGTTGACCAGCAATCGCTTATCTTCCGGACTTGATCTCGCCAGCACAGACAGCCTTGGAAGTACTTGCATGCGCTCTGTTGTACTCAACTGTCGAAACGTGGGCCCATCCATAGCAATCGAGCCATACGAGTAGATGCCGCATTGACGAGCAATGGACTTTGCAGTCAGCATGTTGTCACCCGTAATCATCCTCACAAAAACACCAGCTCGTTGGCACGCTGACACTGCTTCAGTAACACCAGAACGCAATGGATCCTCAATGCCGACGATACCGAGCAGTGTTAATCCACCACTTGCAATCACCTGTTCAATCTTGGTATGTGTGGGCCAACTCTCAAAGTCTTGATAGCAGATGGCCAGCGTTCGCAGACAGCGAGTAGCATAGCTTTGTATGATCTTGGACATTCTGCTCCTGTTCTCGGTCGTCATTGTGCGTGTTGCAATGTCGTACTGGTGTGTGTCTTGATAGCGATAGGATGGATCATGCATGGAGACAATGCGAGCGCACTTGCTCAATAGCAGCTCAGAAGCGCCCTTGAGATGTACACGGTAGATGGGAGCACCCTCTGTTGGGATACGAATCACCGTAGCCATGGCTTTACGTGAGGAACTAAATGGAAACACGGCTTCCACCTGCCAAAAGGTGCGTAATAGCTCAAATGGCTCTGATCCCATATGCTCCTGAGCAAAGTTGAGCATGGCAGTTTCCGTCTTGTTGCCTACCAGCGATGTGTCGCCCACAGCATTGGTGTTTTGAAAGGCTGTCGAGTTGACAGCCATGGCTTGGTTGATAAAGTTGCGCACAGCATGGGGTATCTTGGACTTGACATGTGCGGTATCGATGAGATCCGTCCTGGATGCCGGTGGATCTCTGAGGAATCGAAAGGAGGAGCCAAATGTGCCCGCGACCACAGCCATTCTGTTTTGTGTCAAGGTGCCTGTCTTGTCTGAACAGATGGTGGTCGCGTTACCCATTGTCTCACACGCTGCCAAAACTCGTACAAGGTTGTTGTCTTTTAACATTCTCTGTGTAGCGTAGGCCAAAGCTATTGTGAGAGGGTGAATAAGCCGATGCTTATTCTATGTTGGATTTCACTTACCCAGCGTAACAGCCAGTGGCAATCCCTCAGGCACGGCAACGACAATGACTGTAACTGTAGTAATCAAGATTTGCATGATATGAGACGCGACATCTGAAGGCACGGAGGACAGGCTGCCGGTTGCGTAACCCACGATGCTGCGGATGAGCAATACGGACAATAGAAACACAGCAGCGCCTAAACCACACTTGGCAATACTGGTTGCCAGCACATCCAGCTTGTCTTGCAGCGGTGTGTTCTCATCTTTGGTGCGAAGAGCCATCAGTGTACGTCCATGAAACGAATTGGGCCCAATGGCTGTAACAAGGTAGCTGCAGATGCCCTCAATGATCTTGGACCCTGAAATCAGGAAAGGGTCAGGCTGTCTCTCTCCAAACTCATCGTTGTTTCTCTGCTCCTTATGCGCAACAAAATCCTCTTCGGATATACAGACCAGTGAATGAAACGAGTCTCGATGTGCTTGTTGGTAGTGGTGGCACTCTTTCCAAGGGAGCTTTCGCACTGCATTCGATTCGCCTGTCGCTGCTGATTCATCGCACTTCAAGTTGTGTCCTTCGATAAACACACCATCTGCGCACACAATGTCTCCTGGCTCCAGCTTGAGAATATCACCTACTTGAACATCGTTGACAGATAGCAGCACATGTTTGCCTGATCGAATAGCCTAGTCATCAGATAGCTGGTAAGTAGAGCACCATGCACGCAGCACACAGGTTACTTACTGATACGTGTCGATCCTCCTTTTTGGCATTCAAGCTACGGAATTGCTTTTCCTTTTGATAGTCATTGACACTGCCTACGACAACGACCAGCACAACAGCGACAATAATAGCTACGCCTTCCACCCATTTTACACCAGGTATCTTGTTGCCAAATGTGTCGTACTCGATGGTGTGAATGTCCTCGTAAATGCCTACTGTCAGTGAAACCATGGCTGAAATGGTCAACAATATCTATGCTATTGGGTTAGTGGGCGTCTATATAGGAGTCCCGTTAGCTGTTATACCAGTGTTTTGTCTTGAAACGACTCCCACATCAGTTGCAATAATGTCACTTCTTCCACTATCGGCAGTACATTGGAGCCAAATACTTGTCTTCGTTGTATGAATGTTTCTGAATCGTGCAAGGACAGCGGAAACTGGGCATCATAGAAGGCCTCCTGCTCTTCCTCTTTTTGCTGCTTCTTTTCATTTTGTAAATCAAATATGCGAATGTAAGCGAGATTAGTTTCGTTCCAGTCAAGCCCTGACTTGATGCTAGAGTGTAGCCCTTTGGCAAGGCCATCAATGCCGCCTACATGTTGCAGAAACTGAAAGTGCTTGTGGTCTACTATGCTTGTCATTTGCTCCTGCGAGAAGGCAAAAGGGTTTGCTGGATCAATGTGTTGTAATATCTCCATATCCGTTGACGAACTGGGCTTGAGGGTGCTGCCTGTCTCTGGTGTAGCGAGTTCTGGTAGCTCCAGTGACGATGGATATGAATCTTGATCGTCTGAGCCTCTCATCGCGTGTAGTTTATTCAAGAAAAAAATGATTTAAAATGATGTACGATGATTATTTTATAAAACACAACAGGAAAAGAGAGAGAGAGAAAAAGGTGTTTCTAATAAATGCTACTCAGTGAGGTAGGGATCATCTTGCACCATCTTAGTCAGAGCCCCTTATTCCTTGTGTTGTACACTGTATATGGATGTTAGACCGAGAGTCCATTGTATGTTGACTATTGATCTCAGTTTTAGTCATATTACGGCTCCCATCAAGTGTCAGCAACTGTATTTCTTTATTCAGGAGCTAATTCAGGGGCACAGAGAGATCAATGTTCAAGGAGATTTACCATTTAGTCTATTCAAGAGCGATAAATACGTGGCTCCTTAAATCTCCTTTTGACAACAGCATGAGCTGAGAGAGAGAGAGAGAGAGAGAGACCTTTATTGAACTTGATACATTTGTTATCCAGCATTGTTTCTACTATTTAGTAGAAGAACCTACTCTAACAAATACTTGCTGAACTTGATATTCAGCCAGATCCAAATGCATTGAGATACAAGCTAGCATATGTCAAATGTGTTGCAAGCTGCCCCAAGAATCAAATTACCACAAAAGCCGTGGTTTGCCAGCTCCTTTATGCAATCTTATACACAAAAACAAGAGCAACTGCACTCAATAAGCAATTTGCTGGATAGAATTGCAATCAAGACCGTTCCAATACTTTTTTGCACATACATCAAAAAAGGCCAACCATGAGCCATATATTCGTTACCTGTGCATTTCCAAGCAAAAAAAAAAAAAAAAAAAAAAAAGAGGCATTGTAGCAAGCTTATGCTTGGATCTGTCTACAATTGAATGGCATTTGTTGCAGCGACATTTCGGGAGATTCTGCCTCCCTAATTTAGCATGAAATTGATGTCATATGATTGTATGAAATATGGTGAAAAATGGCAAAACAAAAAGGCAAATTGCCGTAATCTGGTATGGTTGCGTAAAATAGACTTTTTATATGTATATATATATGAATGAATGCTGTGTGTATATATAAAATTTATCTTGAAAAGGGGAGCTAATAAATAAATGAATGGAGGGTATATATATATATATATATATATATATATGTAGTTATTGTACAAAAGGAAGAAAATCATACTGTATAAGGTCTCTCAAAAGAGCTAGTCTTTTCTTTTTCTCTTCCATTCCAGAACGCCCTCATTAGCACCACCAGCAGTAGCAGTGGTCGTCGTTGCCGCAGTGGTCTGCTGATCGTTATAATGGCTACAGTCGCTCGCTGTTGTGGTCGGTATTATACACGAGGGCTCACCAGATGTTGAATTACCATCGCCTAGATGGATCTCAAAGCGGCCCTTCTTTATTACACAATGGCTATTTTGGTCTGCCTTCTTTTCGTTGTTTCTAGCACGTAGTTCATGCAAAATAGGTGGTTCAACCACGACTACTGTGCTTGGCTTTCGGTCTAGAAGCTTTTTCGATGTGGTAGATTCATTGGATGTCGTGTGATTGGATCGATGGGTAGCTGTGCTATTGCTTCGGCTAATTCTGATGCTCTGTTGGTAAAGATGATGGTCTTCCGGGTTCAACCAAAACTCATTATCCCAGATTTTTGGCTTGCTGCTGATGGAATAGCTCTGCAGAGACACATAGCTAACGACTGACAGCCGATGGTGTTCATCCAAATAGTCCAGATAGCTCTTGGAAGTGGTGGACACTGTGTGCATTTGGATATCGTCGTCTGTAGGTGTGCCGTTGCTGAATTTCCTCTCAATGTCAAGCAAATTGTCTGGATCGTCGTTGTACCTTTCTTCTTCCCCAATGTCGTCTTCGGGCAAGATGCGGATACCGGCAATATCAGCAAATTCTTTGGCAGTGAGATCTTCAGAGTTGATGGTAATGTTGGATGTGGACACATGGGTTGCGTTTGATCGTCTGGAGCTGACCTTGGTCAACTGCGGCTGGTGCTGCTGATGATGATGTCGTTGTGGTTGCTGACTCATGGGGTTTGTGCCACTTCGTTTGATCAAAATGCTGGTCAGCTTTTTAGCCTGAGGAGCAGGCAACGTGTGGATGTTTCTCTCAGCTTGACGGGCATGCGTCTGTTTTCTGTTTAGCTTCTGATGGTATTGGTGGTATTCAAAGTATCCATCGCTGTCATAAGTAGCTTTGCGTCGTAAGCGAGACTGGCTTCCGGTATCTTGATCATTGCGGAAATATTGTAAAATTCCTACAAAGGATGTTCGTTTGGTATAGTTGTTGAACTGGTTATCTTGCTGATGATGCTGAGTGATGGCATCTGATATCTTTGAGAAAATGTTGAGTCCTGACTTTAATCTTGATAGTTTGCTCACAGGTTCAGATGAGCCAACACTGTGCGCTTTGGCTGTGCTCGTTGATCTGTTCCTCTTCAAGGACAACACTGACGAGAAAGCGTTGGTCATTGGCGGAGTTGAGGTGGGTGGGGGTACTAGATGTGATGGTAGTAAAAGGATGAGGGAGCAACAAAATAGAAGAGAAAGATATGAAAGAAGAAAGAAATGCTATTGAATGTGATTAAATACGGTTGATAAAACGGGCTGCTAAACAAGAAATAAACCACATGCCATTCCATACGTCCCAAGAAATCGCAATGGGGGGGGGGAGCTCAAGAACACAGCACACACCAACGACCATTATCCAAATGTGAACCGTTTCCCTCGCCAACGTCACGTTGCACCACTCTCTTTTTCGCATTATTCAGCCTGGATTACGAGTCTCTCTAGATAATTCTCTCTCTTTTTGTTTCATTAAAACACCATGTCAGAACAAGAAAACAAAAACATACTAGACCCTTCAGTCATTATCCATGCAACCAGACAAAACATTGCGACATTGGCCAGTCCATACGATGCGATTGCGGCTGCATGTCATAGTATTATGCTTAGTGTCGGATTTCGTTTTGCAGGACTTGGCGACGACGCACGCCAAGGTAGGTGCATACACTCTCAGGCTAAAGAACAACAAACACTCATTTTCTATATAGAAGGAGACGGCACTACAAAAAAGCTGCCAGAAGGTTGGAATCAGCATGGACCACATTGCTACAACTTTCGATACAGTCATCCGCAGTCAAGCCTGACCTTTGTGATCAAGGTTGTAAGATTAGGTGATAAATGTATCATTCTTGGTTTGGGTATTGGGGTAAGAACATGGCATATCACCTCATGATGGCGATGGATGTCTAAGCTTTGATTGATAGGACAACAAAACCGCAACCTTGGACATTACAACAGAAGACTACACATCAGCCTCCTTCTTTCCGTTTGACGCTGCCACATCAGATCAGCCCTTGATTCATGCATTTATCTCTTCCAACCGCTTTGAGGATCTTATCAAGGCTTATAAATTGAACATTTTGCAGAAACTGATTCCTGGATTGAACAAACCTGGCTACGAGGACAATAGTAACAGCAGGTAATCATGTTGCATGAAACCATGACGTTCTTGCGTAAATCCAACGACCCGCATTTCAATTATTATAGATCATCCACTGATACAAGACCTTCTAACCCAAATACAGCAACACAACCACCACCCAATTTTCGTTCAACAGATGATCCTACCTATCCTGATGTTGGTGGATCAGATTTAAATCCATTAGGAGGAACTGGAGGAGGCTTACGTATGCCTGGGTAAATATAGATACGCACAGCCTTAGTTTTTTTTTTTTTTATATACAACAGTCTTAACCCATCCACTGATGTAGATCTGGAGGAGGCATGTTTGTTGGCCCTGATCATCCTATATTTGGAAATCGAGGTGGTAGTAGCTTGGACGATCCATCAGGCTTGTTTGGGGGACCTCAGCCCTTACCCAGGTAGGTCTTAAACAGCTCCAATGCGTTTTTATATTGATGCTGGTGGATTGAAATAGAGGGTCGGTGCCTCCTGGTGCGCGATTTGACCCCATTGGACCATTTGGAGGCTTACCTGCCAGACCATCTGGTAATCGACCTGGTGGAAGAAGAGATCCAAGAGGATTGCACAGCGGCGAGCCTGATAACGATGAGCTCCAGCCTCCTGTAAGTCAATATAGACCAACTTGATATGATGTCTTGGCACTCATTCACCATTACATAGGGATACAACGATATGTTTATGTAAACAAATCATTAGCTTTTAATTAAATAAAAGTGTACCATTTTGTATATTTTCACGTATTCCATTTCTTTTTCATATCCTCAGGGTCAGAGAAGAGTAGCCAGACCATGTCTTGGTACTGTTCTGCTTGAAAGCCCCGTCATATCAGCTAGGTTGCCTTCATGAGAAATGCATTTACTGATCAGTTGCCAGCCAAATTTAGTTGTAACGCCGCCGCTATTTTTTTGCGTTTGAAATTGAAGCGCCACCGTCCTGGCACTGACATGATTTCCAAGCTCGTCCTTCAAGAAAAACAAATCGCTAATTTCATCGTCGAATATGTAATTGGTATGAATCTAACGCGCGATCATTTGGTTTTTATTTTATTTTATTCTTATTCTTATTCTCATTTGGTAGGAACCAGAGCTAAGGACAAGTATAGAGCAAATCCAACTGAATGGATCAATGGCTCTCGATCTGATGTTTTATTTATTTGCGATGAAAACGATAGTACCCTGCCTCCAGTACTCATCAAAGTACAACACGTGTTGGATGACAACTTCATGCGACGTCTCCTTGGTTACTGCCTTTCCTTAGAGAAACAATACGGTGTTTTGCCTATAGTTTTAATTTTTCCTATCTCCTCAATAAGATTTGAAATAATGAACAGAATCAGAAAACGCAAATCACACCCATTACTCATCCACTATCCCTGCCATCCTTGGGCTCAATCTTGCTTTATTGTTGATCAAGACAGTTTACAAGAAAACTTACAGCAGCCTTTGATCCCCTTTGCCAGTGTATGTTTGTTCTTGATGCGACAAGATTCATCTCTCCTTCGCTCACCATATAATTCTGATCAAACAATACAGCTTTTATACCGTTTGGCTCAACATCATGTCGGAAGTACCATGTTGGATCATGATCACATCATTGACGATGTTTTGTCCTTTTCCAATGAAATGAAGACTCGGCTGGAAGAAGTACTACACCTTCAAGAAAACGACCATGACAACAATGCGGCTATATCATACCTTAAAAACACAATTTCATTAGTCAATTCATATCAAGAGAAGTTCAAAGAGTCTTTTACTGCTGCTGATTCTCACCCTGTGTTTTCACCATCACCATCACCATCCATCCTGAGCCATCCACTTCTGCTGCCTCTCCCCCTCATTTACAAACACAGCCCCAAAAAACTGACGCTAACTGGGACTTTGTGGAAAATTGTATTCAAAAGCTCAATGAGGAAGATCAGATTTCTTGGAAAGCTGTATACCAGGAAGGAAAAGGCCATGGATTGTTCTCTACCTATATCAATGCTGCATCCATGAAACGTTCCTACTACCGAGCAAAAAAATAAAAGTTTTTACATACATTCTTTTTCAAATCACTTCAAAATTGATGGCACAAATTTTTTTTTTGTTTTGGCACGATTTTTTTATTTTAGTAGTGCCTTTCCTCTTGGGGGCCTGAGATTTCTCACCAGTTCGAGTTCGTTTTCCACTCCTAGCACCAAGTACAACTTCTTTTCTGGATAATGTGATTAAACCACTTTTACAAATAGCACCCAAGATGCTGACATTTGCTCCCTTCGTTTGAACATCAATTTTGCAAGGTGTTTCAGCCTCAGACCATCCATATGAGCGATGCATACTCCTGTTAAAGCCAGCTTCATCCAAGAATACACATTCATTCATAAAGTCTATGTTCTGGCTAACCCAGTATGCTACCGCATCTCGTCTTTTGGCAACAGTTTCATCCTTGTTCCTGCCATAATATCTAGGAATGATACGCTTGTAGGTTAGGCGACGCTTCTTCTTCATGTGATTCTCCACTGATCTGGGGGTGATCTGTATATCTCTAAATTCTTTTGACAGGTGGTCTGTAACAGCTTCGACTGTCAATGTTGGCTCATTAGCCAGCAGCTCAAATATAAATACAGTAGTATGTTCGTCTTTGAGTATTGTGGTCGTCCCTTTCCTTCTTTGATTGCGATAGAATCAGGGAACCCTTTTTCAGCTATTTCGCTTGTCATTTGATTCCACTGCTTGACTTTACGAATAGCTGTTGACTTGGAGAGCCCTACCTTTCTACCTGCTTCACTGATAGACATATTCTCAAACTCTTGCAACAAATTGATCAAATTGACTACCTTTGCTTCGTTCTTGGTAATGTATGATCCCCTTTCCTTCTTCACTACATCAAGGGAGGGCTCCTTGGAGTGAAGTTTGGTCTTCCTCTTAGCTTCTTTTTGTGCTGCATTTACTGCTGTAGTTTCTTCCCAGTCCATATATGATTGTATCATCATAGGTACTGTCTCACTGTCAAAATTGTATTCTTCGTTCATGTTTAGCAATATGAAAAAAATCAAGAAGTGAAAAAGAAGAGAGAATTTGGCCAATCCTCATTACATTTCTGTATTGGTGACCCATTTTCGTACTAAGTGACCCATTTTCAAATTATGAACCATTTTCGTACTAAGTGATCCATTTTCAAATTATGACCCATTTTCATTGGCTGACCCACTTTCAAATTATGACCCATTTTCATTTCAAACTGGCCATTTTTTTTTTTTTTTTTTTTTTGGGCCAACCTTTTTTCGTCGACTGTATCAGCCCATACATGAGTCATTTTCAATGAGACAGGCATGTGGTATCGCAGAAGAGAAAGGTCTGCAGTCAAAGGAGGTCTTGAAATGGGCTTCACTTGATATTGTAGGGCAAAAACGTGGAATTTTTAGTATACTAGTTGGTATGCCTATCGATTTTGAATACGTAGTGGATAATGACAGCTTCCAATGCTTGATCCATGCTAGGTGACTGTGAGAGGTGCTGCGCAGTTCCAAAGTTAAAGCCAAGTGTTGAGAACTAAGCATTGTTCTCCTCTTTCTCTCCACATTATTACCATGTCGGATTCTTCATTTGTCGTATTTTCAGGAGGTTCTGCCTGTAATTTTATTTGTAACTATGCCCAAATTGGTGGATACCTATCGCTTGATGTATAACATCCTACATTGTATCTATAGCTGCTGCATTCCAGTCCATCACACCCAGCGTCTGCTACATTCTAGGTGTCTCTGATAACGGTGGCTCTACTGTAATTACCACCTACATCATCATATACACCCACACATACTAAACGACACACACACACACACACACATACACTGTAGAGCGAACTGCTGCGAGTGCTGGGAGGACCTAGCATTGGTGATCTTCGTTCTCGTCTCACACGTTTGATCAATTCAGATGGCCATGATTCTGAAGAACGAGTAGCTATCAAAGAGCTCCTTAGTTACCGTCTCACATCAGTGGGAGATGAGCATGTCATTCGAGATGAATGGGCCATGATTGTGGAAGGGCGTCATAGGTACAAATCCCCAAACTAACACATGTCACCTTATGATTGATAAACTCCTCCTTTTGTACTAGATTGTGGGAGAGCATTTCTATAGAGAAAAAGGAAACGATCAGAGGCTTTCTAGTCTTGTTCAACTTTGAAATTTTAAAACGAGCTCACAAGCATTTCAACTTTCGTAATGGATCTATTGGCAATTTCTTTTTAACAGGTGCTAGATTATTCTTTGGCTCATTGGAAGCAGCCATCTTTTTGTTCTCATCCATCACTGCTATCCGTGAACCCACCTATGTCCTGCCTGTCATCAATACCAATCACACAGCAGCTATTGCAGCTCTCTTGGAAGATGGACAGACCCTGCGTGGCCAATGTGAAATCAGTCATCCAGGACAGAACCAAAGTTGCATCAAATCCATGAACCCCATTGACGCATTCTCCAAACTGGCCCTACCTAATTCGCCTCAGCTAGACGACGATCAAGTGAATGGGAACCTAGTGTTTAGCAAATCAACAGAGGAGAAACTCTCTGCTGCAATTGCCAGAATCTACTACATGAACGAATACGGCCAAGAAATCTATCCTCTTCCCAATCCCAAAATCTTGGATCATTTGACTAAACGCACTGATCTCGTCTACTCAATCGGCTCACTGTACACGTCCATACTGCCATGCTTGATTCTTCGGAAGGTGGGTCATGCCATTGCTCACTCACCTTCCTTGCGACACAAAATCCTCATCCTCAATGGCACGACTGATCGCGAAACAGATGGTTACACGGCCCTTGATTTTATAGGCACAATCACCAATGCACTGAATGAGAGTCAGTTGATTGATGCTCGCAGAAAGTACTACGACACATATGCTGAGGAGGACCCCATGGCTGGCAGTCTACGTCAACATGGCCATTCGCAAAATAACTTTTATCGCAGACCTGTAGATCATGGATTTAGACATTGGCCACCACCTGGCATTGGTAAATTGCAGACATCCTCCTCCAGCTCGACAGCCAGCGGTCAGCAAGAAGGCTATCCTGCTAATGGAGCCTATACCAATGCTCCCTGCACCTCAGCACCATTTCCGCCAGAGCTAGTTCCCAATAGACCTCCCTCAACGTACATTACACATATGATCTACCTGTCCAATTCCTTGGTGCATGTCGATGTGAAGGCTGTCGAGGCCTTGGGTATCACTTGCGTTGTTGCCGATCCTGATCCGACCAGCACAGAACCAAGATACAACTCTGCTACACTCCAGACAGTGCTTGAATCAATTACAAATAAAGTAGAGCCGCACCCAACCAATGCTCCTTTGCTCTAATAAACTGATTTTGCATTCTGATTGATTTTGTACCCAGATCAGTGCATTATTCCCACGATGATAAAGATGTTTTGGTAGAGGGGTAACTGAACTGCTTATTCTTGAGCTCAGTCATGAAAAAGGGCCATCTCAACGCCAAGGGCTGCTCGATTTCAAGCAGAAACCATGGTGAATCGCAGCTGTTGCTGGATCACACAGATCAAGGCGGTGATTGTGCATGTTCCTGAGAACACTCTCGCACGTTTTATTGGTTTAAAGAATGCCAAAAATGGTGAAAAAGTTGACATTTGATACATTGGTAGATCGGAGATGCCTGTGACGCTTTGATCGAACTACGGCAACCATCATTTGGGAGTCATCTCTTTGGATTGAGTTCCAGTTATAAGATTTTTCCCGAGCAACATCTATCCATTTCCTCCTTCTTTTTCATCTCTTACAACAAAAATGACCACTTCTACTACTCCTATCACTGTTGGTGTCCTTGGTAAGCAGTAAATGAAGCAAGAGATGCATTGAGCAACGTATTAAGTGAGAATGAACTTTTAGCCTTGCAAGGTGCTTTCATCGAGCACATCCACATGCTCAACAGAATCCCTGAGGTCAAGGAAGCCATCCCTGTTCGCACTGAAGAACAACTTAACTCTGTCGATTGTCTCATCATTCCCGGTGGCGAATCAACTGCTATGGCTCTTATTGCCGAGCGTTGCAACATGTTGGAACCTCTGCGTGCTTTTGTCCAAAAGAAGCCTACTTGGGGAACTTGTGCAGGTATGATTATGTTGGCCAAGGAAGCCACAGGAGCCAAGAAGGGCGGCCAACAACTGTTCAATGGATTGGATGTTGTTGTTAACCGCAACCAGTTTGGATCTCAAAAGGAGAGTTTCAGAACTCTGTTGCATTTGCCAGAGTTGTTGGGCGACGAGCCATTTGATGCTGTGTTCATCCGTGCACCTGTCATTGCCGAGATCAAATCTCCCAAGGTGAAGATTGTGGGTCGTTTGGAGCACAAGCATGGTCAAACTGAGGCAGAGACAGCTGTGGCCGTCATTGAGGATCATCTTTTTGCAACTGCTTTCCATCCTGAATTGACAAGCGACAACCGTCTCCATCAGTTCTTTGTTAGCATGGCCCTTAAGCATAAAGAACAACAATAGAATACCCCTTATTTTTGGAACTACACACACACACACACGCACACACACGCACACACACACACACATATGTATACATAGTACACGCCAACAGATGATGTCTTTATAGAATTTGGTTAGAATTAGATGGAATAAAATTGAATAGACATAGATAAGAAATGCAGAGAATGTGGGTAATGTGGTGTCTATGAGTTCATTTTCTCGATGTTGATCTTTTCAATCACATTGGCAGCATCAGAGTAGCTTTGGCTTGAGGCAGAGGAGATGGTAGTCGTATCCTTGGGCTTTTTGCTGGGAAACGCCTTTGCATACGAGTACACCATACCAGCAACAAAGCCTACCATCAACATACACACATCAGTACATGCAACTAGAGTTTACGCAACACACACTTACCCATCAGAATAGCCGACACATTGCCAAAGGTTGCTACATCACCGAAAAACACGATACCTGAGATGGCAATGGGCAGCTTGTTGAGTGAGCCCACCATCGAGTATGTTGTGGAGGATGTTGTACGTACACACCAGGCAGAAGCATACGACATGCCAAACGCGGAGACGCCAGAGAAGATCATGGCCCAAATGCGTGCTTGACGTTGCTCAGGAGGACTAATGTACGGCGTAATCAGTACAGGCACGCCTACTTTTTCACACTATATGTACTTACAAATTTACCATCAAGTTCTCATGAGACCAATCCTCCAGCAGTAAGCTAGGAACGATCAGCAAGGGAATAGAGAGCAAGTTGTTGTAGTAGACTGTATCGAAATCCTTGAAATTGGTCAGCTTGATGCGTTTGCGCATGTACAATACAAATGAGGCCGATGAGAGACAGTTGACAGCCATCCAAAAGTAGCCCAGCATGGTGGTACCATTCACGCTTGTCAGAGCCTTTGTTACATCTAGCATTGACTGTATCGCAGCAGAGACATCGTTCCAGCCAGCCACCACAGACGACAAGGTCATCAAACCAAAGGACATCATCATCATGGACGTAACATTTCCGCCAAACCACAACACCTCGCCATAAGCAATCAAGATAATAGTTAGGTTCTTAAAGATAGTATACACCGGGATAGGCAGATATTGCAGTGCTTTTGAGCCAGTGTAGATCATGGCTACCAAGAAGACAACGATAGGATACCATTTCTTTGCTGTTTCAGCGTCAAACTCGCGGTACTTGATCAGGTTCAAGAATTTGAATGCTTGCAAAAAGAACACAGTGACCAGACTCTGAATGGTCAGCAAGAAGAAGACCATGTTGAAGTCGCCACTCACAACAAACTTGTTGGTCACTGTCATCACGATGCTGGCAACGCAGTAGGTAAAGATGGGCAGTCCAGCAGTAACCCATGGCGGCATGCTGTTGACCTTTCTGGACGCTACAACAGAGGAGGTATTGGTAGGTGATGGGAGCTCCAATGTGTTGACCGTCAGCGATATCTGCTGGTATCTGGTATCGTTTTGATCACTCTGTCCAAAACCCATTGCGCTGATGATATAAAAAAGAAGAAGAGGCAGATAATGCTGTTCACTCCATCATGGAATGAAAGTGTTTATATAGGCACATACCTATCCAAACATACCAGAGACAACGAAGCACCACCATATTTGGACATGATAGGAAAATTGCTAGTTGATATTTGAAGAAATTTATGTGCCTTGCATTATGCACATACAAGGTGTTTCATGATAGAAATGCAACTTTAATTTGCCATTATATTGTAGCCTGATTTCATGCAATTCTCATGGAGATAACACTGTGCTCAATGCTGCGAAGAGAAACAAAAGACCGCTTTGCTGTGAGAAAAGCTGTTTTGTCTGTCTCTCTCTCTCTCTCTCTCTCTCTCTCTCTCTCTCTCTCTTTTTTTTTTTTTTCTCTCACTCTCTCGTACTAGCCAAAATACACACACACACACACACACACACACACACGCTACCATGACAGAGCCTCATTTACCTACTGAACTGTGGAAACAAGTGTTTACATGCACCAACAAAAAGGATCTCAAAACCTGCTTGCTTGTCTCCAAATCGTGGCACTATGTCGCTCGCTCTTTCTTTAGCGAAGACATTCAAGTCAATTTGAACGATAGCCATCTTCGTCGACTGGAAAAGGATATCAAGGCACATGCCCATCTTGGCTCCAAGATATCGCGCATTACCATCAACCACCTGTCCACGGGCATGGCTACTCCAGAGACTTTTAGGTCGGTCATCAACCATTGTCCCAACCTCCTGGAACTCGAGTTTGAAATCGCTGACGTGTATCACTATCTCAAGAGCCTCAACTGCAAAGAGGCTTCAATGCCAAACATCCAAAAGATACAGGTTCGAAGCTTGTTGGAGTGCTCTCCAGCAGTAAGACGTTTTCATTTGTGGGTCAATTATCGCTTTCGTTCTACCATCACAAGCATCGAAATCATGGACATGAAGGATAACGCCGCTTTAAAGGACTATGGTGGTCTGGTTACATTTGCTTCATGCTTCCCTCAACTCACATCACTCAAGGCACAATGTACCACACTGACCGAAAAGGAGCTCAACATCAATTTGACGGAACTGCTAAAGAACAATGATCGGCTGCAAGAGCTCAAGCTGTACGGCATTGGTAAAATCACCAACACATTGAATGAAATATCGTCAGAAGCGACTCAAATGGAGTTTCCATCATTGACAAAGCTCAAATTAGAAGTATCAGCCATCAACATCAAGTCTCTAGAATATATCACAAAGAGATTCACTCAGCTTCAAAGCCTGCGTCTGCTGACATCCACTGTTGTGCCTGACAACTCCTTGAATGAAACACAGGCAAAGAACATTCTGAGTGAATTCAAAGCCTTTGCCGTGAAGCCCAAGCGTATCCATGTGTCTTACAAATACAAGAATGAGCATTTCCATGAAAACAACGGTAAAAAGAGACCATCCTGGATCACACACAACTTTTTATTCCTGGAAGGTTTGAGCCGTCAGTACTTTATGAATGACTTTATGGAAGACATAGATGTTATGGAGGAGGAAGCCTATTTCGAGGATTTTGACGAGGAACTAGCTGAAGATTTGGTGTATTCTGTATACGATGAGCTCGAAGACGATGATCCAGAATTTACTAGCTTTTTCATGGATCATTACACTTTGTAGGCATCCCCACATTTGATTCTCGCATCCTCCTTTTTTTTTTTTTTTTTTTTTTTGCTCTATATACATCCTTCATACATCTCAACCATTCATCTCTCTTCCCAATCACCATCATCATCCCTGTACATCTATTTGTGATCTCTCTCTCTCTCATTCAGTATTTTTCAGTTAATAAAACCAACTTGCGACAGCCCTGTATTTAGCTACAAATCACTGCCGGCCATTGATGATTCCTCAACGCTATCAAGCATAACGAGGCTGTCAGGTCAACCGATCGCCTACTATCAGAAGTGCCTTTCTGGGACTGTGCTTCAGACGTCATTTGGGCGAATTTTTTTCATATTTCAACATATCCACTCAACTGCAAACGTTGGAAAGCATTTCTTCTACACGTAGCATTTCATTACCATGTCTTTTGACCATTCTACTGACGATAAACTCGCCTTCGAGACATCTGAAAGTGTGAGTGGTGCCCACATTGCATGATATGCTGTAATATTGACCTTGTTTTTTTTTGGCTGTTAGGTTAAAGTTGTGCCCACTTTCGACTCCATTGGATTAAAGGAGGATTTACTTCGTGGTATTTACGCCTACAACTTTGAAAAGCCCTCAGCTATTCAACAAAGAGGTTTGTTCTGATTGATTCAAGAGAGTGCATTGTGGTATTTATCCATTCATCCATCACTTAGCTATCGTACCTATCATCAAGGGACGTGATGTTATCGCCCAAGCTCAGTCTGGTACTGGTAAAACAGCCACTTTCTCCATCTCAACCTTACAAGCTATCGACACCAGCATCAAGGAAACACAGGCATTGATTCTATCGCCCACCCGTGAATTAGCTACACAAATTCAAAGTGTTGTTTTAGCTCTTGGCGATTACATGAACGTGCAATGCCACGCATGTATTGGTGGCACCAGTGTGGGAGAGGATATCCGTAAATTGGAAGCAGGTGTGCAAGTCATCTCTGGTACACCTGGTCGTGTCTATGATATGATCCGTCGTCGTACGCTACGCACCCGCAACATCAAAATGTTGGTTCTCGATGAAGCTGATGAACTTTTGAATATGGGTTTCAAGGATCAAATTTACGATGTTTATCGCTATCTGCCTCCTGGAACACAAGTTGTCCTTTTGTCCGCCACTCTACCCAACGATGTTTTGGAAATGACAAACAACTTTATGACAGATCCCATTCGTATTCTTGTCAAGCGTGATGAACTGACCTTGGAAGGCATCAAGCAATTCTTTGTGGCTGTCGAGCGTGAAGAATGGAAGTTTGATACATTATGTGATTTGTATGATACGTTGACAATTACACAAGCAGTAATTTTCTGTAATACTAGAAGAAAGGTAAGTGAGGATGGTTTGCTGCAAGAGGAGGGGTGAGGCTCACAATGGCTTGCCTTATAGGTTGACTGGCTGACTGAAAAGATGAGAGAAGCAAATTTCACTGTATCTGCCATGCACGGCGAAATGCCTCAAAAGGAGCGTGATGCCATTATGCAAGAATTCCGTCAAGGCGCTAGGTAAATGGATCTCTTTCTGATCTGATCCTGCAACAAAGCTAACATGTCATTTATAGTCGAGTGTTGATCACAACTGACGTTTGGGCTCGTGGTATCGATGTTCAACAAGTCTCATTAGTCATCAACTACGACTTGCCTGCTAACCGTGAAAACTATATTCATCGTATTGGTAGATCAGGTCGTTTCGGTCGTAAGGGTGTTGCAATCAACTTTGTAAAGAATGATGATCTCAAGATTCTGCGTGATATCGAACAATACTACAGTACACAAATTGACGAAATGCCAATGAACGGTAAGTGAGGAGCTCGATCTTCTGATCTGTAGATGTGAACTAATTTTGTATCCTCTAGTTACCGACTTAATTTAATCACAACGCTTGATATGGATTGGACATTTGAATAAAAATTATATAATAAAACGTTGAAAAAAACAGTGTAAAAAGTCATGAAATAGATCTACACGAGATGGCCATTACTAGTAGACTACAGCAGTGAAATCGTTTCTTTGAATTTATTCCCATTGCCATCACAAGGGAAGCAATCAATGCAGCATTCTCCTGCTTGGCTGTTCTCAAGTATGACTGGCCTTATAGGAAATGCATAAGCGACGAGACTCTCATTATGTTATCTGCGGTATTACTGACCAAAACCATTGCTCATTGGGTCATGGATGGGGATGGATATCAATATGATACATTCTACATGTTATATACCAGGTTTTTTTTTTTACGAGAGATATACTTTTTTCGATCGAGGCAAGCGTTTACACGAACAGCAACCAGTATATATATACTTCAGGAACGCCTAATATGATCATTTCAGCCTTTTTAATTCCATGAAAACACGATTCATCATCTCAATGTTTGCTAACCATAAATTGGAGCATATACAAAGACCCGTTAGATTATGCTCAGTCGTACTTTAAGTATATTTTCACGCGCATAAGGCTTAGTACATACCGAAAACTCCCCTGAAAGCAAGGTGCTCTCTTATCTGATCCTATCAATCGAAATTAAGTTTACGGTTACAGTTGTGGCGGTAATGATTCAAGTCAATGTCGCCACATTTTGTGATACTTTCTTTATCCACGGTATTTGTACCCTGATTCTGCAAATACCTGTCGTCCTTGTATCAACTTTTCATTGTGTTCTTTTATGCATATCTGTATTTGTGTGTGTGATGTTGTACATTACAACATTTGGCATCTAATTTGCAAATAGTCTGTGCCATGAAGGGCGAAGGATTTTGACAAGCAGTAGCGGCAGTAAGCAGCATCAGTCAATACTATACTACGTTTGTAGTTATTAATGCAGTTGTGCACATACGTTTTGTATTTATATGAATGTATTATTTATGCCATTTATATAACGTTGTTTGAGCAAAAAAAAACTCTCCTGCCCTACCCCTGGATTCTCCTGAAGATCATTATGGGAATTAATTGTTTGAATTTATTTATGTAGCAAAGTGAAGGAAAAGAAAAGAATAGTGAAATAGGTATCTACAACTTGTGAAAGAAAAATAATGACAGAATTAAGAACGGTGGATATACAAGTGAAATGTTTAATGCTGTCGAGGTTGCTGTTGCTTCTGCTTTTGCTTTTGTAGCTCTTTCTGCTGTCTCTGTTGTTGCTTCAACTGTTGTTGTTTCCAGTTACCGACTCTTTCTCGAATCCTTCTTTTCAAATTAAATTGTCTGTGTAAAATAATCCTCATATCGTCTTTTCGATCCGTTAATCGCACTAGATTTGACTCTAAAAAGCGTCTCAATTCGACCAATTCCGTATCTGATTTACCGCCTACATATGCCTCAATGGGTATTAAGTTGCTGAGGTTGAGAGATGCTGCATGAGGGGTATTGTCGACTAGAAAGGTCTTGCTCAAATCACGCCCGAGCGCACAAAGATCTTTTATATACAATACTTCTTTGGTAGAAGCAGATCTCATTCTTATACATGAGTTTCGGGTCAACATGTGTCTATACAATGAACATGAGAGACTGATCATTGATCCAACATCTACATCCTACTTACGTTATCAGCTTGTTCTCAGGATCCAGGCAATCACGAGCCATCCTCGCATAGTCCTCTCTACCAGCTGTCCATACAACCACTTCAAATGAACTTGCAGCCCAAGTCAAGAAGTCTATCACTCCCGGTCGTAGTCTACCCGCTAATAAGCAGCTGTATCCGTCTTTTGCATAAACCACATAATCCACTTCGCCATTGTTGATTGTATCACGATAGGTGTGTAGTAATGTTTCGTCCAAATCCAGCACTATAATTTGATGCCTGCCCTTTAGTTTTTCTGAAAAAAGATTTTTTTTTTTTTTGTTGTAGAAAAATGCAACTTACCTAATGTAGGCTTATAATCGTCTTTTTTCGGTGGTAAATGAGGCTTCATTCCTTTCAATCTAGCATGCATCGAGGGCCAGCGAGCCATCAAAGCATCTAACGTTGAGCATTCAAAGCTATTTCGACGATGGGTTAGATATGAAACTGGGGTCAGTCCATGATAACTTACTCGTCCAATTGCTCCAACAACACATCTACTTTAAATGCAGTATCTAGTTCGAACGAATCGTCGTCAAATGTGTCTCTGGAACGAGATATAGTGAGCAGAGGCGGATCTTTGACGAGTACAGCTTCATTGTGGTCATTAGTTTCCGTCAAAGCTGCTATCCTTCTCTTTTGCTTGTTCTCTTTTTCATCTGATGTTGGCTTCAAATTTGCTTGTTGATACCGAGTTAAAACCATGATGAAAAAGTGGCGAAAGAGTACTGAACCAAATAATGAAACTAACAATGAAATTGTTTAAAGGGGTGATATGTATATCTAAAAGAAAAAAATTAATAAGAGAAAGAAGAGTGGAAGAGCAAAAAAAAAGAAAAAAACAGGAGGAAATATGCCGCTTGAACCATGTTATACACAACCCTCCCAATTCCAGAATAATGATTGAATAAAATACACCACATGAAGTATTTCTGTGAAAGGCTGTACAAAATGGATCATCATCTACGTACGCCGTTTTGAGATTTTGTAACATGCTGTTAAGAAATTCTGGTATTTGTAGGAATCGGTGTGAATGTTTACCATCTATTACTAATTGTGCGTTATTATGTACTATGCACAAATAAACCCCATTTTCCAACACTCTTCTATTGCAATCCGCTATTTAACATTGCATAAGCGTATCCTGTTGTCATGGTAAAGAGGTTGAATGTTCACTTCATGTTGCCATCTTGGTATCATTGCTCATTCAAGTGCCATACCCTCAACATTGCTCCCAATGACGTCGAGCAAGACTTCCTTTTACGGTTTCTAAACCATACACACACATATAACTGTGTACTCAATGACCCATTCAAAGCATCTTTTTACTACTGCACAAATAAAAAAAATAAAAAAAAAAAGTTTTTCTATACAAAGCTATTCACTTTCGCCCTTGGTTTCCAATATTAAACTCAATAGATAAAATCAATGGGGTGCTGTGGAAGTAAAGAAGACCGTGATGAAGTATGTATTCAACCATTACTTTTCCGGGAGTTTTTATTCACTGTTTTGCCACCCAGGATGATGTGAATGCACCTTTATTAAACGATGATATCGTTGGAGACAAGTAAGCACAGCCTACAGATGTCCATTTGATGGACCACTCACCCTCTATGTAGCCGTATGAACTACCAGACTTACGAGACTATCGATGTACAAAAGGAACAAGAGTTTTGGAATAATATCATTGATCGAACAACACAGTAAGCAGTACTACCTAGGAGTAACACTCTATACAGTTACTGATCTCTCTGCTCTAGGAATTTGATTGACATTTCAAGCGCACAAACAGATCCTCTGCAGGATACAGATGTACAAGAACGTGAAAGCAAATACAGACATCTCTTAGAACAAATCAAGCCCAAAATCCAACAACAGTCTACATTAGCCATCGATACCAGTATTAACAACACCGTTGATATATTAGCCAATGCAAAGCCCAATGGTGGAATGACTGATGGTGAAGTAGATTGGTTGTATCAAACGATGGATGAGATTCAGGATGCTCTGCAACACATTGATATTCAACCTGTGGGAGACATGGTTGTTCATTTGACAATGACAGACAACTCATCAATAAGTGCATATTAAGTACAATGTTTATTAGCGATTACATATAATTATAACTTGAATAAATCGACACGCACTTGGTTATTCACATCGGTGGTAGGATAAAGTACAACACGAGCATAGCTTCCTGCTGCTAAACTCTTGCATAAATGGCCGGGATTTATACATACGACATCATCTATGTTCTAAATTCAGGTATATCAGTATTCGTATCAGACACTGTAGAACCAAACAATTACCTTGACAAAGTATTTGAACTGTGATGGGAGAATCAAAATGTCAGGCAGCCATGATACTTGGATATTGACTAGCTGACTGGCGTCTATACTGTCGCCTAGTGCATGAGGAAACAGGGGATAGTATGTGTGTTGCTGTAAAACATGTCGAACCAGTCTCGAGAAACGATCTGTATGCTCTGGTGATCTACATCACAGCTCAGTACAGTGTACCATAAGCACTCGAACAATGATAACTTACTTTGAAATTTCTTCTTTGGCCAATCTGAACAAAATGTCAATGTTACTGGCTGAGATGTTGTGTCCATTGATGCTGATCTGTGCAGGATTGCTCAACTGGTGCAAACGGCCATGTCGAATCGTGTTTCCAAGTGGTGGTTGAGGATATAGAGGAAAGGATTGAATCATGTCGTCAGCATGAGGCATAAGCAACACATGCGAATGCTGGCTCTTTTCTAAAAATTGTTCTAATCTTTTGGCGATTTGATTGTGGAACACATCTTCTGGCAGAGATTCGATTTTACCGCTTGCCACTCTGGGGTGATTTGCTGAAATGAAGGGCCCCATCAACAAAATCACATTGGGCTGGTCCTGCTCGCATTTGTTTAGTAGATCCTCTAATGGCTGGTATGATAAATCGTCGTCTAATGTGTAAGGTCCACTTGCTACAATCATCTCTACGGGCTTTCTATCAGTGAGAATGTCGGATTCAATGCTGTTTGGCATAGGAGGCTATCAAGTATGTCAGTAAACACACAGACCAAGATGGTATTATGTAATTGCTTACCAAGAGGAATTGGTCTACATGAAATACATCGCCACGGATGTTGGTTCCAAAGACACCCACAATCTGTCCAGGAAACAGCGTATAATCACTGACTTTGGCCAAGTTGAGTCTGACTCGCTTACCCATGCCCACATCTCTAGAGAGCTGGAGCAACACAGACTGATCATTCAATCGACCCTCAGAAGCATCCGAGCAGATGCGACCGTACGCATAAATAGGGTCCTGACTTGCACGAGCAGGGTTTGCAAATGCCTCAATGTTGTGATATTCCCTGATCAAACTGCCAATGTAGTCGATATGCTCATCCATCATATCTGCCTTTTCTCTAGTCTTTTCATACATGAATCGATAGGGTTTGATGGGGTCTTGTAAGTGATTGAACATGGTGGGTTTGTCCTCTGTGTAGTCGCCGCGACGGGGAAGGTGAGGGTTGTACTGTCCATCCATGACATGTGCTGATTTTCTAGTCAAGAACTGGCTGGAAACTTGTGATCTATCAAGAGGCATTATATTAGTCTTGAGTATCATGCCTTCCTGCTGGAAACTTACAATTGTGTGTCATTCAACGAGGCAGATGGAGTCATTGGCATGACCTTGGCGGGCCTGGCATGAGAGCTGCTAAACATGTTGGACATGCTACATACAAGTCAGTAAATAGGCTCCAGTTTTGCTTTGGTAGCAGCTTACAAACTCTCTACCGAGTCTTCTTGACTATCCGTGTTGATGCCGTAATCTGATAGATTCATACGGGGTTTCTTGGTAACAACAGCTCCCCTTGATGTCTTTTGCTTTTTGAGCTGTCTGTCAAACTCTCTTTGGAGCGAGTTCTTCAGATGTTTGACGTAGGGAAGAGATGGCTTCAAAGCACATCCCGTTGTCAAAGCGAATGCCTCCCATTTGTTTCGCAATACCTCTGGTGTAATGGTGTAAATGGTGCACAGGGACGATACTAATGAAAGAGACAGCTGGTGAGCCTTGATACATTAATGTCGCAACAACTTGCCAACTTACATTCAGTTGCCACTTCCTGGTCGTCTCTGCTGTTTCCAAGTGAAAACAAGGGCTTGATATCACTCATTTTTGTGCGGTTGAATGTGAAAGAAAGAGTCAAAAAGTCAATCGCGTGCTTCAAAGCATTCCAAATCTAATAAAGTCGCGCGCGCTCAACCCCTTTGGACAATCAGTGGCTAAACGTTATGACTCGTTTGCCTTGTCCTGCAAAAGAAAGAAAATGTCAATAACAAATTTTGCTTTCTTCTTAACTAACAACCCACAACACCATGGCAGACTCACAATACGAACCCTCAGAAATTGATCCTCAAGGTAAGCAATCAATCACTTGTTAGATGGCGAGTACTCACTCAAGCGAACCAGATCAAGCTTGGGACGACTGGTCCAACGATGAAGAAGAGCAAGAGGACTCCCAATGTCTGTTCTGCCCCCAGGTCTTCCCTCAGCCCTTAGAGACATTCAAGCACATCAAAGAAGCCCATGGGTTTGATTTCCAATCTGTTCGACAATCCCTCCAACTCGATTTCTACAAATGCATTCGTATGATCAACTATATCCGTCAACAAGTCAAAGCAAATCCCGAGTTCAACAGCGTCCAGTTCAACGGCACAGAAGCCTTCTTCAACGACGATGCTTTCTTGCAGCCTGTAATGGAAGAGGACGCTCTTCTGTTTGCATTTGACGAGCTTGATCTCAACGAGAATGATGGTCCTGCTGCACCCGAGAACACAGCGTTTCCTCCTTTGCCTGCCATCGACCTCTCTCAAATCCAGACCAGCACTGAGCTCGAACGACAATTGCTCAAATTACTGCAAGCAACTCAAGAAAACAACAGCAACTTGGAAGGCCAGTTTGAGGAATACAAAAACATGGTGAAAAAGACATTCTTTGAGCCTCTGGCCAACGAAGGCAGTGCTGCTGATGCCAACAAGAAGTCGGTTGCTCTCGTGGATGAAGGCAATTACTATTACAATGGTTATGCTCACAACGATATTCACGAGCAGATGCTCAAGGACACAGCACGTACAGAGGCATACCGTGATTTTGTATACGAAAACAAGGATGTGTTCAAGGGCAAGGTTGTCCTGGATGTTGGTTGTGGTACTGGTATTTTATCCATGTTTGCTGCCAGAGCAGGTGCCAAGCAAGTTTTCTCTGTGGACAACTCTGCCATCATTGAGAAGGCCAAGCTCAATATCAAGGAAAATGAGCTCGATCACATCATTACGTGCGTGCGTGGTAAAGTAGAGGAAATCGAGTTGCCTGTGTCCCAGGTCGACATCATTATTTCAGAGTGGATGGGCTACTTTTTATTGTTTGAAGCCATGTTGGATTCCGTGCTGGTAGCTCGTGATCGTTGGTTAGCGCCCAACGGTATCATGGCACCCAGCCAAACCCGCATCTTGATGGCTGCTCTCGACGACAAGGACCTCAAAGACGATCGCAACAACTTTTGGAATGATGTGTACGGATTCAAAATGACCGCCATGAAGGAGCCCGTTGTCAATGAAGCCGTTGTGGATTTCTTCAATGCCAACAGTGTTGTGTCTGATATTGTCACACTGAAAGACTTGCCTTTGCAGACTATCACTATCAAGCAGTTGGATTTTGTCAGCAAGTTTGAAGTGCAAATAAAGCGTGATGGTGTGGTTACTGCTTTTGGCGGTTGGTTTGATACCTGGTTTACAAGAGATGGACATGCTATTCCTGCAGACAGAGAGGCACAAAAGGTGGAAGGCGAGGTCTTTATGACAACAGGTCCATTTGGACAAGACACACATTGGAAGCAAACTTCATTTATTCTCGAGACACCCATTCCAGTCAAGGCAGGCGACAAGATCCAAGGCGTCTTCACATGTCACAAGGGAACTGACAATCCCAGAGAGTTAGAATGTGAAATCGAGTACTTTGTGGATGGCCAATCCAAGGTGCAAAATTTCTTTTTGGGCTCGTCATAATAGACAGATACTAGTAAATAAATAAAAAGCATGTGTTGTAGTATACTTGGAGAATAGCTTTATTGAAAATTGATAATATGGCAAGATTTGGTTGAAAAAATGAATGAAATTTAAGCAAAGGCATCTTCAATGTCTGCTTCAGTAGAGGCTTCCACTTCACTACTAAAGTTCATAAAGTGAGCAGCACGGTGAGATTCATGGTAAAACTCCTTTGGTACATCCAAAACGAGTCTATAGTTGAGATTAGCACTGAATTGAGCACCCATAACTAGTGATTAAAAAGAATAGATGAGTACAATGCACACTTTAAAACGATCCAAAAGTACTTACAGTTGTAATTCCAAATGTCAGAGGGAACCATGAAATAACCCAGGAAACGGTCAGACAAGAGAACTTGCACCTTTTCACCGTGTGTGGGCAAGTAACCTTGAGGTTGACTTCCAGGGTCAACGTTGGTTTTGCCCCACTCGAAACCAGCAGGAGACAGCTTGTAGGCAGTAAGAGAGCAGGAACCAGGGGTGAAGGAACAGGTTAAGACAACTGTCTTTTCACCATCCCATGTCTTGTTGTTGACCAACAATTTGGCATGTGTAGTGACATCTTGAGGAGAGATGTTCATCAACTCTTGTGGTTGTGTGTGGATCCAACCCAAGGGCTCCAGATCATTCAAATACTCATGCTCAGGGAGCGTGTTGGGCAGATGGACTGTCTGATGGGTACCCCATTGAGGAGGAATGACAACACAGCGGATTTCCTTGACATTGGGAGCATCAGGAGGACTGACACCGTACATGAAACCAGCAATTTGAGTACGCAAGTCAGAGATGGTGATGAATCGCTTCAAGACGTTCTTGGGCATGACATAGGTGTAAGTATCTTCCTTGATATCGTCCGAGTTGACATAGATGTGGTTGGTTCTCAAGTACAGATTGGTAGCAGAGATGGCACGAATACGCCATTCCGTCTTGCTAGAGAAGGTGGCTTGTTCGTAGTTACTAGTAGTGGTAACAACCATCTCATCACCATGAATGTTGTGTGTCTTGGTGGTCACTGCAGTCAATTGGGATTGCTCCTTGGTTTGCTTTTCGATCTCGGCAATTTGTTGACGTTGAAGAGAGGGTGCCTGGATCTCCATACCCAAAATGATGTCTCTGATTTCAGATTGTGTGAGAGAGGCGACGTTGACATTGTTCTTCTTGCCGTAATCAGCTAAAATCAAATCCTTCAGTTGCACTTCGACCTTGGCCCATTCTTCGTCAGACAAGGTGGGCCAGATGTGATGAGGCTCTGTGATGGTGCTTCTGTCGGGACGCAGAATCATCTTGGTTTTGTCCGTGTTGACATGGAGAGCACGCAAGATGAGCACCAAACGAGAGAAGGCAGTGTAGGATGAGAATGTCTTGAGCCAGTCATCGTACAAGTTGAACAAGACCATTTGAGGCTCAGTGGCTCTCAGAATTAAATCACCAAACTTCTCCACCTTGAGACATGCTTGGAAAGGCAGTTGCAGCTCTGAACCCTTGATGACAATGTTGGGGAAATCGAGCAAGTGGACTTCAAGAGGATCCAACATACCCTTTCTAGTGACAATGATTTGCTTAGGCTGTTCTTCTACAGGCAAGGAACGAATCAAGGCAGCAACTTCTTCTGCAGTCTTCCACTTGGCCAATTGACCCAAACGCTTCTGGCCAGCCCATACGGATGTATGAATGATCTTCAAGAAGAGTTGACCAGTACGAGGGTTGAAGATGAAAATAGCACCGTTGATGGGTTTGGTGGTCAAGTTACCTTCAAAGGTCTTGTGGATAGTGACACGATAGACGTTGGTATCATCGACAAACCAGATGATCTGGTTACTGAACAGCTCACCATAGTTGGTAGAGGACAGGTAGGGTTCAGTAGGTTCAGATGAATACAGTTGAAGAGCCTTACGAATACGTTCGCGCAGGACATACAGGGCAGGATTAGCCTTCATGACCTTACCCATAGCCTGTTGCACCAAAGGCTTCATACCAGGAATCCAGTTACCATAGGCAGAGTACATGTTGTAAGCGAGATCGACACCGACCATCAGACCAGTAGGCGAGGGATAGATACTCATGTTGTCTGTAGTGTAATCCAAAAATTTGGCACGCGTATATCTCTCAATATCATGCGAATCGAAATCACCCCATCTCAATTGGATATCGAGCCAGTACTTGGTGGTGGTAGGGCCCTCCATGACATCTTTGGGATCGTTCAGGAGCGAGGGACGAGACACAGGCCACTTGTAAGCAGCAAACAAGAGAATATCAGAGGCAGACGAGTTCATCTTGTAGGACTTTCTGGGATGGATCGTCTCCTTTTGCACAGTTTCAATCTGGAGAGCCTCCAATTCACGATCAAAGACTTGGGCAAAATCCATGGTCAAGGCTTCGTGGATCTTTTGCCACAAATGGGCACGGAAGATCTGGATGAGAGAAATCTTGAGCGTAGGAATCTTACCGTGCATAAAGATACCGGTCAAATCAAGCTGCACTTGGAAACCGACATAGACGTTGGCACGATTGATGGTAGGACTCCACCAGAGAGTGAAACGACGATTGGGGATTTGGTTCAAACCGGATCGCTGAGCGTTCGTAAGCTTCTTGGAGGCCATGGATTGTTCGAAACCACTGCTCTTTTCCCAGAAAAGACTATAGAATACATAAGCATTAGTTACAAGCCTTTTTTTTTAAACTATCCCTATCATGCTACTTTACCCTTCCCAAGACGTGTGGCCAGTGCCCTTAAACAGCGTGTGCTCCAAAATACCTTCAACACCACCCAAAGCTTGGATCATATCGGTACGGTAGTTGTTCAAGTTCCAGAGTTTACCATCATGGCGTTGATGAGTCCACCAGAAGGGGTTGTTCTTGAGCACTTGATATTGCTTAAAGTCAGTACGCACACGCCAGCCCTTGTCATAAGCAAGCGTATGGCGATCCTTTTGGAACAGTGTGTTGATACGAGGAATACCACGGTCCCACGAGTCTTCTAAATCTTCCAAGGTCAAACGTCTGTTCTGGGCATTGGCTTCTTGACGCTTCAATGCGTATTCAGCCCACACACGCTTGGAATCCACAAATTCAGATTCCCAAGATTGGATGTAACGATACAAGTTGGGGATCAAAGTGTCTTCATCATGGCTCATACCAGAGCGGAAATGAGTGATGCCAGTGTCTGTTTGCTTCGACCAACGCAGATCAGACTGAGGGATCAAGACGTGACCCATAGAGAGCATACCAAGACCACCGAGTTCTTTGGGTGTCATAAACACAACAGGAGGGAAACGAGAAGGCATCTTGGAGTTGAGACCAATCTTGACACGCGTTTGAATCTTGTTTTCACACTTGACGAGCAAATCCAGCAACTCACGCGTGTGCACAACAGCCTCACGGTAGTAGGTCATCAAGCCGATCAAAGCCGTGTTCCACTTGTTGGCAATCTTACTGAAGGTGGTACTACCAGAAGCCATCAGGATTTGACGAATACGGTTGTGGAACTTGTCCATGGATTCCTGGTCTACACGCAAATAGGCTTGAGCGGTTCTCTCCTTGGTCTGTTCGTTCACCAAGTTCCAGACACCGTCCTTGAGCGTAAACTCTTCATTCATGCTTCTGATCTTGGGCAGGATACGGATCTCAAAGCCGCTCATGGAGAAGAGCAAGTTCGGGTTGTCCTTGGAGTAGACGCTGACAAAGCTGTTCTCCCATTCAATGGTGGTCAGTGAGCGAGGAAGACGATTCTTGATGTCCCAGAAAGCAGCACGGCCCAAGTTGACATCATGCTTCATCAAACGCATACGGCAATCACGAGGCCAGCACTTTTTGTTGTTGTAGCCCACAATGTTCTCAAAGTTGGGATCAGGATGTTCAGTCAAATAGCGCTGGATCAGATCACGCGCTTCATCCGCAGTGAAGCGGAAGAAGATGTGAATGCGGTCAATGTAGCGAGAGTACAAACGGATGGGATGGCGAGTCTCTGTATCCACATCACGGTATTGCAAGAAATCGTTGGGCAGTTGAGGAGGACCAGCCATTTCACTAGCGCGATGAAGACCCAGCACTAACAGATCCAGAACGAGACCGTAGTACTGGAAGATGAAGGAAGCAAACTGAAGACCACGAATTAGACCAAAGGCATTGACGTGATTCATATCCTTGTAGTTGAGCACAACGTTGTTCTTTGCAGTGGCATAATCAGCCAAATTGTGATCCAGAATAAGACGCAACAGACGACCCAGCAAGGTGAGATCAATCTTTTCATACACACGGCTAAAGGTGGTCTCCATCATCACATTACATTGGCCTTCGGTGGTGTCCCAGACATCAGTCAGGTTGTTGATACCTTGACACCACTTGTAGACGAGCAATGGTGGAGGCTCAGAATCAGAGGGTTTGATCCAGGCAGGGAAGAGATGACGCTTGTCAGCCTCATACCACAAGTACTGATCGAGGTAGGCATCCGTAATCTTTTCAAGAGGCTCAATGTCGTAGACAGGAATCAAGTGAGAGTAGAGATCCATAAACTCGATGCCAACTTCCTTGAAAGCACGTTGAGTCAATAAGAGACGTTTGATACGAGAAAGAGCTTCATGGGGGTTGTCGTACGCTTGTTCAATCAGACCGAGTTCCTCTCTCTGACTCTGGTTTAGACGGCCTTGGACAGAGTAGGCTTCACGGAGACGTTCAAGAGCAAGAATAAGCAACTTGGTATCATGCTTGTAGGAAAGAGGAGGGAAAGGAATGGGGGAGAACTTTCTGCTTTCGAGCCAGTGGACAGTGGAGGTGTAGATGGCAACAGCCTCTTCAGCAGTAATGTAAGGACCGTCCTTGAGGTAGTTGTGTTGGCGCTCTTGTTCAGCCTTGAGCCAAAGACGAGTCAAACGACCCAAGTTCTTGCGACAGATGGTCTTATCGACAGTAGCACCTCTTCGAATACGCTCACGATTATAGTGAGCAACACTGGTCCACCAGTCTGCCTTGGCCTTGATATAACGCAAAATCATGTTTTCAATAGGAGCAGGCATACCAGGCACCTTCCATGGAATGTTGGCCTTCCAAGCTCTCCAGGCTTCAGACAAATGCTGAAGAATAGTACGCGATTTGTTACCCTTGATACCCTCGGGCATAGCATCCATAATATCGTGGAGAACAGCAGCTCTCAGCTCCAAATCATAGTGAGAATCCACACGTTGCTTGGTGACAGTCTTGGCGATACCCTTGGAGTGTCTACCCTCGAATTGACGAGCAAGCAAGTTACCCAACCAACGCTCAAGCAAAGGCACGATACCACGCATGAAGAAGAGCCACACTCTCCATCCAGGAGCCCAGATACCTACACCTGGACCTTTACCAACAGGGCCCGTATTGAAACGGTAGTAGATCAAGTGCTTCAAATCCTTACACATACGAATTTGACGCATCAAACGGTACTTGTAACGATACATACCGGTCAATTGACCCACATGAGAAAAGATGTACTGCAAACCGTCAGCCAATTGGAAGGCATCCACATTACCAAGACGATATTGTACATGAGAATCGACAATCAGCTTAGTCAAGCGCAAGATTTCTCTGCACAAGTGGAAAGCGTTACCGAAACGAGACTTCTTTCTTTCTTTGGTGGTCAAGGTCTTGACAGGCTTCAAGTTGAAATTGTAATCAAGATGGAGGTAGTTGAGGTTCTTTCTGTGGATCAACAGATTCAACATGTTGTAGCCTTGGCGACACACTTGAAGACCTGCTTCAACCCAATCAATCTGAGTGGTTTGGAAAAACTTGGTGGACTTGAGGCTGCGGAAGAGGTACTTTTTGTTCAGTGCCTTGGGAGGACGTTGGTGGAGAGCATTCAGGACATAGCACTTGAGTAACTTTTGGTACGAGACACGGACCTTGACAGGTTGGCCAGCGGGACAGTGTTCAAGGTACCAGCTCTTGACCAAAGGTACATCTTGGGCACGACGGGTGCGACCAGATCGCTTGTCGAAAGGATGAGGAGCCCAATAGAGAGTAATGGCACTGGAAGTGTTGTCTGTGTAAAGTTCAGTTTCATCCAAGAAGGGGACAACATGGCCGGGCAAAGTGAATTCAGTGTCCTCGTCATTGTCGCCAAAGATCTCGTCTTCGTGTTCCTTGCTGGCAGCATCTACATTGCGTGAAGAGATGGGGTTGATGATGGGATCAAAGTAAAAGGCAGGGAGATCAGGATCCTCGGTACGAATAAAAACGACAGAAGGATAGTGATACCAAGAGACCTTGACACTACGGGGAAGAGAGTTGTACAAGAAGGGGAATGCAATTTTGTATTCGGTACGCACAGGCTGGCGAATGATGATCTTGTTGATGTCGTTAAACTCGTTCCAGTCATCGTCAGCAGTGTCCATATCACGGTACAAGGGTTCAAACTTGGGACCACCTGGAATGGCCATGCTCAATGCCTTGGCAGTGAAGAATGAGTTGAGATCAAACAGATAAAAATAGTTCTTGTCGTTGAGATCAGACAGCAATTGATTAGCAACACGGTACAAGGTGGACATGATGGGCAAATCAAGACGCCATTTGCGGTAAGTGGAGCCATTGACGTATTTGGTGTCCATCAAAGGCTTGTTGTCGTAAAACCAATCGTAAATAGCTTCATCTTCATCTTCATCCAATTCCATCTGAATTGCTTCCAAAGGCTCCACGTCCATGATATTGTCGCCGTAATCAAGAGGAGGCTCTTCGTCATCAAATGGAGGGAAACGCATACGCTTAAAGTGTCTTCTGTCACGCTTTTCTCTACGCATCATGATCCATTGAGAGCCCCATTGAGCAATGTACACAGGTTCAATGACCCAAGGGATTTCATTGACAAAGGTAATAGCACCTGTGATATGGTACAAGACGTTGACTTCTCTGACTTGTTCCCAAGGCATGGGCATGTTTTCCAATAATTTGAGAACAGCATGAGGTACATATTTGAGAGCACCCAAATAGATACGCTTGTCATGTCTAAACTTCTTTGCTGTCATATCACCATGATCTTTGATGATTTTGCGAAGATGCTCAGGAGGCATATCAGCTTTCTCGTGTTCAATGAAGCCTAATGTGCCCTTGTTAGTCTACATGTTTTCGTGGCGCAGTTCTAGCAATCGTGATATATACTACGTACCAAATTTTCTCTTTTCACCATAGCGCTTGTTCTGTAATTGTTGCCATTTTCTAGCCTTCTCCTTGAGTTTGTCTTGTTGGGATTTTTCTGTTTGAGGGTTGGATTCATAAGCGTATTGATTGTATTGATTTGAATAAGCTGATGGTGCTCCACCAACAGGGATAGGAACTCCCGAGTCGTTATTTGCCATTATCTACATGAAAATGTTAGTGTTTCTGAGCCATGGACGTGAACATGCATTTCTTGTGACATATTCTTCATTTACCTAAACAATACTATTTAAAGAAAACGATGCTGTTTTTATTTAAATGTTTATTGATGTTGATTTCTAGAAAGAAATGTGATGATGATGGGAATAAAGCAGCAAAGAAATTGCTGCGTTGTAAAAAAAAAAATTTCTAGTTCTTTATGGAGAAAGGGATGTTATACACCACATCGCTGTGACTGAATCAAGCATGGCCCTTCTTGTTTCAAGATCCATTCGCATGTCAAATGCTTCAAACTGGCTCCACGACTCTCACTGCAAACAGTTTTTCTACGACGTCTATAGGAGATGGTTCTTCGTTTGAGGTCTGCAATTTACAGAATCCCGGCTTCATTCCAATGTATCAGTACATGGAGAATAAGATGGGCAGTTAAATACTTACCAACGACATGACGGATTGTGATTTGCGAATGGTCAATATAGGAGGAGGCAGATCGACCTTTTTGTTTCGCTCCTTCCGTTCTTGAATGACAGTGGGTATATCTTTGAAAATCTGCTTTCTCGATAACGGGGGCCTATTTGCACTGTTAAGTTCGACATTGACAAGTGTTACACACTACGATAGACATTACGTTTGGAATTGAGGGTATGATGATGGTTGGTTTGACGTGGAATCGGGTTTTATATTCATCCGTAATGATAGCTAATACACAACAGAGTGATACAAATAATAATAAACAAGATAAGCTTAGTAACGTCGACCACAAGAAGCCCATAATGATGTTATAATACCTTAATAGTCGAATTAAATTTACAGTTTTGCAGTAGGTATCGTTCGGTTGTTACTCCTGAACCAGCGTATTCAGACAAATTGATTGATAATGTGCCAATCTCTTTGCCGCCTTTCTGATAAATGTCGAGTTTCAGCTCGCAATCGTTGAGCACCTGCTGCTTGTTGATGACTAGTTGCACCATTGTATTGATTGGATGATTCCATGTAATTTGGTGATCTTTAATGTGCACTCTAACGGACCTCCCCAATTAGAGATCGTCCAAGGATATCTTAGTATCAAATCTTACCTTTCTGTTGTGCCTGTTGTATGCGATGCATTTCGCAGCTTCCAATTGACATAGTAATAGCCACTCACAAGTGGCACATTGACTAAATCTCGAATGATCAGCGACAATTCAAAGTTGACTTTACGGTTTTTCGATATAAAGAGGTGGGTGAAAGGGGTCAACATGTTGTTCAAATGTTGGAAATGAGGGAGAAAGAGAGAGAGAGAGAAAGAGGAAGGAGGGGGGAGGGGAAATGAAAATAAATAAATAATGCTCAGCCTTTGATCAATACAACCAGTACCTTTGTCGTGCGTATATATATAGTGTGATTGATAATGTGTTTTAGCGGGTAAATATGCTTATTTCATTAGACACCTTGATTTGGGATGTATAGCAAAATTTACGTCACTGTTAAAGCGATTTGAAAGACAAAAAAAACATGATTTTATTCCTTTTTCTTTCTTTACTACACTCATCGAGATGCCAAAAACTAGCACACCAAGTACCACAACGACTACAAGGCCCCTTATATTTCAGCAATTGTATCAGCTATTCACGTTTCTATATAAATATCTTCAATCGATATTATTCATTAAAACTCAAACTCCTGTTACAAAAACATCTACGACAGTGCATAACTCAATAAACCTTCAATATTATAAGGGAAAGACGCTGGTGCTAGATCTAGATGAAACGCTGGTCCACTCAGTCAGGATGGGAACGACCGAATCAACTGTGAATGCCTCGATCAAGAAAAAAACAATTGAAGTAACGAGTGATAAACAAAGCATTTTGTATCAAGTCTACAAGAGACCACATGTTGATTTCTTTCTGTCGACTGTATGTATTGCTGTATACTTGATCATACCAACAGAATACTAAACTATGCGCACAGATAAGTCAATGGTATAAAGTGGTTATCTTCACTGCTTCCATGTCAGAATACGCTGACCCTGTCATTGACTGGCTGGACCAAGATCAAACATTTATCAGCCAACGCTATTTTAGACAGGTATGCTGGTTGTGATAATATACAAACAAATTATCCTGTGTATTCACATGATTCTAGTCATGTTTGCTTAAAAATGGAAACTTTCTAAAAGACATCTCTCTTGCTGAATCTGATCTATCCAAAGTTTGCTTGATTGACAATAGCCCGTCAGCGTATGAACTGTGTCAAGAGAATGCCATTCCATTACCTACCTGGATATCCAACCCTAAAGACGATTGTCTACTAGATTTACTACCCTTATTAGATGCACTACGCTTTACTGCTGATGTTCGGAGTATTTTAAGCTTGAGAGATCCTAAACACATCTGATCTCCCATAGCATATACTCTAAATTTTGTAAATATTCCCCCCCCCCCAATTTCATATATAGGTTCGCCTCCCTAACAAAATCAACTGTTTTCTTGTTGTAATAATATTCCTCCCGTTTATAATCTTCTCTTTTTTTTTTCTGTAAATCTGTTGTACTACCAAATGATTTTGGTTTTTTAGCACGAGGCACTGGAAAAATGGTGCTTGTTGGATCAACATGTGATTTACATGTAAGATGCCAAAACTGGGTGGCTTTACTTTTTCGTACATGTTGCATGAAATTAAATACAAGGCATGACATTGTGCTTGTTTGTTACTAACGTACAAATGATTGCTCTATTGCTGACAATTGCGTTAATTCGAATCATTTCATTTTGATATATTGAGTAACTGTAGCACACCTGCATTGTGTGTGTTCATCATTGGCCAGAGTATGTGAATTCCGTTACTCAAAAGATTTATATCCCATCTTTCCGCTTACACAGCTTAAATGCACTGTTGCTCTCCACCGGGACAATGTCACCGAGAATTAAGATGACCCAAACACGAACCCAAGTATCAACTAAGATTGCATCTATTGTAATAACGGAAACCTGATGTCATTTCCTTACAATTGATGACTACAATTGACACTAATACTCTATGTGGTCAATCACGTATTACGTAATGTTGTCCTACAGGAATTACTATAGTTCGGCTTCACTGGCAGATGTGCAGCTACAACAAACCAACCTAAGCTTTGCTTGGCACCTCATTTGCAGTCTCGACGTTTGGTTGACAAGCCAGTTACACATGATCCATGCAAAAAAATAAAAATAAAAATAAAAAATAAAAAAAAAAGTCAGGTACGATAGCTTTATCTCGGTGCATTTCTTATAATCAGATGGTGGACGATCTCGAAAGTTCGTACGTTTATTATTGAGTGCGAGTTCGCTTCGCGTTTTATATTGCCAATTTTATCACGTTTTTGCTACAGATTCTCAAGTAGAACCCTGTTATGAATGCGCATTTGTCTCTTCCACGATGTCTCACAACCGTATACATGAGACTATCTCATTTACGAGCATACAGCATATCTGCAATCCCTCTCACTACTCTGAAATGTGCAAAACACAGCATAATTGGATGTATTTTAGCCGTATTTTTTCGTGTTAGAGGCTGTTTGAGACCACCAGAATAGTATCAAACAATTGCTCTCAATTAGCAGTTACTTCCTAACACTTTTGCTCAACTTTTTCGAGATCGTCAAAATCGACAAAAAACCATGAGTGATACCTCATGGAAATCATCGAAAAACAAACAATCGCGTTTTTGACCTCAAAAATAAGGACCTTTACTATGATACATATAACATCAAAACTTTTCTCTTGATCCAATGCAACCCCTGAAACCTTATTTGTGACACCTTGATATGTAAAATCTCGACATTTTTGCCAAAAACATCATTTCATATTTTATGATATTGCCCAATAAGTTTATTCAAAACATTTATTATAGTTAACATCGTTGGATGCGCCTTGAAAAGTACTTCTAGAAAGCTTAAGAGAGTTTGGGATAATCATCGCAGTTTATATAGTCGAATCTGGCAAAATAGACTGACGAAGTCGAAAATTGATCAAAAATTTCGAGGAAGAAAAAACGTCGGAGATACAACCACCTTGGCCTGCTACCAGGAGTATCTTCAAGTAAAGACAATCCATGTTTGTAAGGATAATAAGAGGGGAATACGAATTCAAAAGCACAATAGCTTTATATAGCTACTTTATATTAACTCTGAAGCTTATGTTTTATATATATATAACATAGTTGGTTGTTGCAAATTGCCCATCTGAGGGCGAATCCTAAGGCGAGGTGCAAAAGATTCATGTTGCTCACATTGCATATGACGGGTGCGAGCTCTAGTCACTGTTATTATTATACCATCTTCAAAACAGAACTCCCCTGTCCTAATAGCTAGCATTAGTCATATTATAATAAATGTTCAGTCCCTACACACTTTTACAGCCTTATTAATATGGAAACTGAGTTTCCAGGCATCTGTCAGACCTGCCTCATATATGAAGTAGCTACGTGTATATGGGTGTAGAGCATCACATAAGGATCAGATCCACTGATACTATGAAGTATTTTCATGTGTAAGTAGAAAGTCAACATGAAGGTAGCAGTATTCTGATGAGATACGCAAGGGCAATCAGTAGCGCGAGAAGCTGCTGCGCAGGTTGGTTTTCACCGAAGCGAAACGAAGGTAGAAAGCCATCCGAAGCATAAACTTTTCTATGGTGTGTGATTTTACATCAATCAGTAATCAAGGCTCTTCTAACATTTTAGCTATATCAATTTTGCGATACTAGCCAAAGGCTCGTTATGCAGGCCAACGTGATTTCTACAGGAACGATGAATCGTTTTGTTCCAATTTCGATCATGCAATCATGATGTATGTATATGTTTGATAGACATCAATTGCACTTCAATTTTGAGGGCAAGTTATTTCCATTAGCAGTTACAGGCCATAAAGTAGACGACATTAGTAAACTATTGGATGATGACATTCTTTGACAAAGACTGCAAACTTGCCTGCACTCTCATCTGCACAATTGATTGTATATCCGCCTTTACGTATCCTCCATTCAAACAATTACCAAGCAATAGAACTATGATTCTTCCCCAATGTCTGGATAAATCATCCAATCATACTCAACGTAGTTCCTTAATACTGCGACATGCAAAATTTTTGCTTTTCTTCTTTTTACATTCATTATGGATACAAGATTAGCGTATGAGACATTATCGCAAATACTAAGCTATCTAAAAGAAGATCAATCAGCACTATTACAAATCAACAGAACATGCAAGAAACTCCATGAGGTTTCGTTACCACTTTTATTCAAAACACCTAAATTCGAGTCATTCAGCTGCTTTGAGTTGTTTGCAACTACGTTAACCGAGGCTAATGGATTGTTTGTTCGGCATATTGATCTGCACATGGTACCTCACCGTTGGGATTCATTCAAGATAAACAATCTCCTGTTCACCTTATCTGAAAAGACGCCGGATCTCGAGTTGCTCAATTTAGATCTATGCTCACAACTGTAAGTGTATAATATGAAGCTCATACGTGCTTTACTGATAGATCAACTTTATAGAACCAACAAAGCACTAATAAAGATTACAAAGCCGTTGCACGATCTGAGGATATTGTCAGTGGATCAATGCGAATTAATCGGTGATGAATCAATAGAAGCACTGGTGAACAACTGCCCGTACATACAAGAGCTCTACTTGGGATCGACACACATCACAGACAACTCACTGAATCTGATAGCCACCAAGTTTATTCTATTGACACATCTGCACTTGCCAGGATGCGAATACATATCAGAGATAGGCGTGGATAAAGTGACTAGTGAATGTAAAACTTTGCGCTACATTGATTTGCAGGATTGTTACAACGTGCTTGGAGAGAGAACATTTCAGCAAGGCGCTCTCTTTGGGGACAATACACGGCCTGATATTCCGTTAGTATTTGAAGACGATCAATGGGAAGACATTGACGAAGACGACGGCGACGGCGAGGAGGAGGAAGACGAAGCAGAGATGGAGCAAAATGATGAAATGTGGGAAGATGCTCCACCTGCTTATAGAGCAATTAATTGAAACCCAGTACAGCTTAAAGTGATGTGTTTGCCTTCTTGAATAAAGCTTTCATTTCTCTTTTTCTCTTTTTTTCTCTCTCTCTTTGAACACCAATCGTTACATCAATTAGGCAACCCAATGACAAACAATATCAACAAAGAAGACGACACTGAAACTGCGTTAGATTACATCCAGCGACAAGAGAAACTAGAGAAGGATGCTCAAGACATTCTTCCCGGAAACTTTGACAAATGCACTTTTTCCTTGGGTTACATCCGTCAGCCCCTTTATGCGTGCAAAACTTGTACCGTAGATCAAAACGAAGAGCCTGCTGGTATGTGCTATAGCTGTTCCATTGCTTGTCATGCCAGCCATGATTTGTTTGAGCTGTTTCCAAAGAGAGCTTTCAGATGCGATTGTGGTTTATCAGGAAAATTCGGTGGGCATGCCTGCTCTCGAATGGTGCCTGAAAAATTAGAGTTTGCAGCAAATGAAAAGAACCAATACAACCACAACTTTAATAATCTATACTGCCGGTAGTGTTGCAATCTTCGTTAATAGTAGGAGGGTATATCATTTATTCCGTTTATTTAGATGTAATCAAACCTATGATCCCGAAAAAGAAGAGGAAACCATGTATCAGGTAGCGTTTTGTATGCTTTCCACAAGCAGATGCTGTTTGCTCATCGTCCGACTTTAGTGTATTGTCTGTGAAGACTGGTATCATGAAAGATGTATCGGAAATGTAAATATCAAAACGCGTGTAAGTCTTGTTAATCACTAACGCGTTTCCTGCTTCATCTGTCAAAATATAGATCCCCGAAGCCATTGATGAGTTTGATTGTTACATTTGCCGAGATTGCACAAAGAAATACCCCTTTTTGATGAATGGAAAGGATGCCAAATTCAGTTATGGTCTGTCAAAGGGAGATGAGCCTATTCAACAGTGGATATTACCGGCATCACAAGTGAAGGATATACAGCAGAAAGAGGACAGCACAGTAGCAGTTCCAGAGGCTACTACGGCGACAGATGGTACTTCAAATGCGGACACAGCAGCAGTGGCAAATCAAGACACGGTTTCTTCAGATCAAGGAGTGGCAACTCCCGGTGAAAAGAGAAAGCGTGAAGAGGAAGAGCCTACGAGCAACCAAAACATCATTGTCAATGTGTTTAAGAAAGCGAAATGCGAATCGAATTGCCAAAACGGTAATGCATACACTTGTAGTCTGTTTGAAATAAGCTCATATCATCATATTATAGTGGATGTATCGCTTCTTCCAGAACACGATCACATCGAAGTGTTTTTACAGGATGATTGGAGACAAAGCCTATGTAGATGTGTCAAGGTAATGGAGGTCCTCTTATTATTTGTATGTATATTAACGATTTTCTAGTGTATGGAGGATTACAAAACGCATCAAGTGGAATATCTTTTGGAGGAGGAACACACCGTGGAGCCTGAGAATGACGAAGATGCCGGAAAGTCTCTACTTGAAGTAGGCATGGAACAGTTGCAGCGTATGGACCGAGTACAAGCTATAGAGAGCGTAAGAGCATTTCAAACATTAGCGTCAGATTTAAAGCAATTTTTTGGAAAATTCAAGGAAGAAGGCAAGATTGTTACAAAAGAGGATGTTCAAGAGTATTTTGATGTAAGTGTTTAATGCGTCTATGAATGAATAAGAGTACTAAAATAATGATACTAGGCTAAACGAAGAGAGAGACAGGAGCAGCAATAACCTTTTTCTACCAGTCCTCATCATCATCGTCACTTTCGGCTGCTTGCTGTCTTCTTGCTTTAATCTACATTCATTATTCATCAGCCATTATCTAATAAAATACACCTTACATGAAATACTTACTGCATCAGCTAATGAAAGTGCTGCCGGACTACTGTTTCTAGGTGGTGCTTGTGGAATGAGAGCTGCTTGAGGCCTTTCAGGAATACTAGGCGCAGGTTTGCCTGCTGATGATGGGATGCTGGGAGTTGGTCGACTTCCAGGAACAAAGGGTTTAGCAGGCACAGGCGGGCCTCTGCTTGCTGGTGTAGATGCTGCGGTGGTATCATTTACTGCCTCGTGTGCAGAGGCATTCTTAGCATTCAAGGCAGCTCTCCATGCTGGAATGCCATTTGTGGTTGGACCACCTACACCTGGCATCACAGAGACTGCATCGCCATATTGACTCATGCGATTGACTGGTGTGATAGATTCAGGCTGACATTGAGGTGTTGGTTGCTGAACATTTTGTTGTTGTTGTTGTTGTTGTTGTTGTTGTTGTTGTTGCTGTTGTGGGATTGGAGGCGGTGCTCGTCTTCTAACAGGTGGAGGTGGAGGCATTGAAGGTTTGACGGCAACGCATTCTTCCAGATAATTGCTTGGGACCCAACCATCCTTGCCATTGATACGAGCCAGCCACCAACCATTTTCGTCCTTTTCTACAATTTCCATGGTATCACCCTTCTGGAATGAGACTTCGCCTTCTTCTTGAGGTTGGAATGGATAGATTGCTTTGTAAAGAGGTAGCTTGGATGGAACAGCAGGAGCAGGTGGTTGTGGCGTGGAAATGGGAGGAGCAGGGAGACTTGATCTAGCTTGAGTTCCGTTGTTGACATTGGATGCGAAAGCTGATTTAGGAGCTGCTATTTTTTGTGGAATAGACTTAGCAGCAGCAGTAACAGCAGTAGGTTTCTTTGCCTGTGGATGCTGCTGGCTGCTAGGCAACTTGGATTTTCTGGCAGCGGGAGGGCCAGACTCTGAAAGCAATTATTTAAGTAAATTGTCATTGTACATGCCATTTCTTGCTAGACACTTACGACTATTAGCAGGTTCACCTGATGGAACACGCACTACATGGCTTTTGTAGAAATCATCACGTGGAATCTTTTCATCTTTGACAAACTGCATGGTAACCATCTTTCCGCCCTTCTTTTTGTATTGGATTTGAGGCTCTACATTTACTGTGATTCTGCCATTGGTAGCCTGAGACAAACGAGCAAGCAATTCAGTCTTGAAAACGCATGATATAACACAATCACTGCCATCAGGCGAGGTATCTAGATGCAAGACAACCCAATCATCACGAAGTGTAGAGACGCTGGTACTTCTAATGGTGTTTAGCAAGATCATCTTTTCATCTACCATTTGAATTGCTTTCCCGTTCTTTGTGGTAACTACGATATGAAACTTTTGATTTGTCATGACAAATGTTCGAGGACTAGGTACGCTTGAACGCATGGCTCTGGGAACCAGCGTGGTACCCTTCATGCTAAACAAGATTTCCTCTCCAGGCTTGAGGTTGATAGCGTTACGAATCATAGTAGCTAGACCAGAGCCATTTTGCACGTCCAGGTAATCGCCCAGAAACATACGCTGACTCACCAAAGAGAAGCGCCGGCGTTCTTTCTTACTGCCTAGTAGTTGATGACCGTAGTCTCTCAGTTGTAAATATCCAATATTGTGCTTATTTCCTCTCCAGAACCGCTGGATCTTTGCTGCGCATTCATTCTTGTACCGCATATGAGCCCTCCAGGCACGTTGAATACGGATAGCCATATTGTGCCAATACTTGTCTCTTAACCCTTCCAAGCCAAAGATCGTCTCCGGATGCTTAATAAAGACCTTGGAAGTGCCCATTTGCCATTCATCTGCAGGTATGTGGTTGTGCTTTAATATCTCCAAACAGCCGCTTCGAGCATCTCCTTGCCAGATATAATCGCCAGCATAGCCAGTAGCAGGACACAGCAGGTAGAACCTCTCGACAAACTTGTCAAATACAGTTCTGTAAGCAAAACCGGCTCTTCTCACGCGGATATTTTCGCATAAACCAAGGTATTTGATCTGATGGTGTACTCTCTGCACATTGTATTCTGTTGAACTTCGATTGTCGTTGGGTTTGATGGTACGAATATAGCTTGGGTGGCACATCATTAACTTTTCTACAAGCGCATTGCAAGAGAATTTGATCTTGTCGCTTGCCGTGGGTGGCCTCTTTTTGGAGTTGGGGTCAATTCTCTCCGGAAATAGTGTGCTGGAGATAAAGGGGTCCTTTGAGCTGGCTGCCAGATCCAGTAGGTCTTTCAATAGCGCATCCTTGTTTTTGTCAGTGATGCCGGCAATGTTATAATACACATCGCCTGCGTAATGGCGAACCAAGAATTGAGACCCACGTGCTTCAAAGTAAGGGTTGGAAGACAAGAAGCCTAGTCTTTGAACAAACGAACTGTCAGCAGCTCCGGGATCTGCATGAGCAGTAGCACACGCATCGTTTAAAGCAGCAAAGATACCAGGAGGACGCTTCGCTTCGATCAAATCGCACACTACTTTGTTGTCAAAAAACTTGATGGGGGTCCACTCAATCTGCTCCTTGACATACTCGTCTTGTTCCGCCTTCAGTGTGAGCTCAATAAAAATTTGCTGTAATTTTTCATTGACATAGTTGATACACAGTTGCTCGAAATTATTGTTTTCAAATATCTCAAAGCCGTAGATATCCAAAACACCAATCGTATGGTGTACGTCAGCTCGAGCTTGTAACGAGACATTGACGCGAGTGACAATCCATTCAAACAGTCGCTCGTAAATAGATTTTGCAAGCGCGTCTCGCACGGATGTTGCTTGATTGATGTTGAGAGGCACCTCGTAAATACTGCCACGACGACCGCCATGCTGTGTTTCCATGATACGCACTGTCAATGCCTTGTTGAGATCCGCGTACTCTACTTGTGTGAGATAGGCAATAAAATTGACAACTAATGAAGCACGATAAGCCTACATGCATGTCTTGTTTAGTAGATCATACCTTCTGCGTCAGTCACCACGGCATGGCCCTGCTCATTCTCTGTGAACATGATGTTTCCGAGCCATAGAATAACGGATAGCATCTTGAAGATGTCGTCTTTTTCTGTTTGTTGCAGTCCAATGACATCCATTGCCTTGAGTGTGTCTTGAAAGTCATTCATGTCGTTGATGCCTTCAACGTTCAAGCAATTACTACGGCTTGTGTACAGAAAGCTCTCTGGACCTTGCAAGCCATATTGCTCTATCCATATGTAATTCAGATGTGAGTATAGCGTCTACAACTAGTAGTGCAACAGCGCCCACCTTTGTATTCAGCAGGAGCAGATTTCGTAAGTTGATAAAAGATATGGAAATTTCGCTCGTTTTCAATCTGGCCAACAACACGGTTCTACATCGCAGGACAGGCTCAGTCTATATATGCAATGCAGTTCGTACAATGGATGGTACACACCTTCTCCAGCAAATAATTTGTAATGACTGCACCCACAGGCTCACCTTGAGCACTAAACTGAATCTCGAGGTATTTGCCATGTCGACTGGAATTATTGTTTCTCAGTGTTTTTGCACAACCAAAACTCTCCAACAGTGGATTTGTAGCCAATACCATGTCCTTGATCTCTTGAATAGCAGCACTCTTGCCTTCAGAGACAGCAGCAATGTACTGCATGATTCGTTTGGCTGCCTCCGTTTTACCAGCACCCGATTCTCCACTGATAATGATGCACTGATTCTCCTGGTAGCTGTTCATGTGGTGATACGACGCTTCTGCGATTGCAAATACATGCGGTGTAGCCTACACCGTCGGTGTGAGCGATCTTTTACACACATATACACACACACACACACTGATGTCTATCCTTACTTCCAACAAGTTCTTTCCTTTGTAAGATTGCAATATCTCATCTGTATAAATGCCTAGATCCTTAAACGGATTTACACTGATGAGCACATGGCCGATATACGTCTACTCATCGTGAGTTAGTATCACGGCATCTCTTCTCCTTTGCACTGTGATAGCTTACGTAAATGTCTCCATTTTTCCAACGCAATTCCAGATTCTCATTGATCGCTTCATCCGTAATCTTTGTCAGCAGAGTCATGTCAGACACACCCACCTGCCTCTTCTTCATGCCTTCTTTCCAATCAGCTCTGGCAGGTCGGTTGGCCTTGATCACCTTTTTGTCGCCTGCATTTCCGGCCTTCTTTCCTCCAAATCGCTATGGATAGATTCAGTATAACAATGACATATATAGCAATATGTCAAGTGCTTACTTTCATAATGAACGATTATCAGTAGATGAAAATTGGAAAAGGAGAAATAGTGAAAAGAAAGAAAAGAGGAAAATAAAAAGACCAATTCATTGTATGTGGTTTCTGACAATGTTTCAGTGAGTTGGATTCTTAATTTGCATGTGGGCAAGATATACCACGCTATTACTTTGTTTTCAAGGGTTCCCGACGACTGAATGATAAGGGCATGCTCTACCTTGCTTTTATGTCAAGAGTCGTTTTGTTTATAAAGCCTTGGATGAGCATCATTTATATACGACTGCAATCAGCAATACAAAATGTCTCCGAGAAAAAAAGCGACATGATGGCCATCTTGAGCTATAAAGCTAAGAAACAAACGCAATAAACATGCAACAAGCATTCCTACATTGGCAAAGCTCACACGGCCAATTTGTATGGGATCAAATCAATTTCATGCATGTCTACTGGAAATAAAGCAGGTGGGTCCAATGGTTGTGCTACTCAAAAGGCTTAAGCGAGCCACGAAAAGCAGTACTTTTCAGGGAAACAGCTGCACACTTATAAAAAGAGAGCATCGTTCTGTCTCAAAACTTTCAAAAAGCATTGTACTTTGTCATTAGCAATGGAAGTCTTGCGAAAAGAGTTTGAAGAGAACTTACCCCTCATTGAGGAAGCCATGACCGAGGCAGATTTTATCGCAATTGATACAGAATTCACAGGTATAGATGAGACCACATGAGCGCTTTATTCTTTGCTAATATCCATAAAGGTCTTTCCACACCTGATATCCAGTTTCAACATGCAGATGAAATCTCAACCAGATACTCCAAGCTCAAGCGTTGTGTGCAAGAGTTTACGGTCATTCAGTACGGTGTATGTGCCTTCAAACGAGACCCATCCAACGGCAACTACATTGCCAAACCCTTCAACTTTTACATATTTGGCGCAGACACCCACGAAGTCCAAAGTCGACGTGTATTCTCAGCAACACCTAGCAGTTTGGCCTTTTTGAGACAAAACAAGTTTGATTTCAATAAATTGATCGAGGAAGGCATTCCATTCTACAACTACACCGAAGAAGGCTCCATGTTTCAATCAAATCAAGGCACCAATGTAGTGAATCGACGAGCCATGATCAAAGGTATATGCGTAGACACACACACACACACACACACACACATATATCAACATCTACTTATTCTCTTGCCTTGTTAGAATCTGATTTGAACAAGTCCGGAAGAGGCTTCTTGGAATACAATAGAAATTCAATCAGTAAATGGCTTCAAGGCAACACAGAGCAGCCTCTGATCATTCAAGTTAACAGCAACTTTTACAAGAAATTAATATACCAAGAGATTCAGGACAGCAAATACAATGGATTCTTGCAAGCAACACAAAGAGACAGTAAACATCTGCAGATTTCTCGACTCAAGGAAGAGGACAAGCGAAAGAAAGCAGCCAATGTAAGTATCTATCTTACCTTGAATGAATGCCATTGCTTATTTGTTTGTTACAGTCGCCCAAATTAAATTTTCGTGCTGTCATTGAGTTGATTCGCAAAGCAAAGTGTCCTGTTGTAGCACACAATGCCGCCTTTGACATCTTCCATACTGTAGATCAATTTTGGCAGTACTTACCTCAGACAATCGACGAATTCAAAAAGGTGGCAAACAGCATGTGGCCAAACATTGTAGATACCAAGTATTTGGCAGAATATCACCCTTCATTAAAGGTAAGCTGCCATCCTCTGCTTGGAACACTAAAACAAAAAGGGGGAGGGGAGTCAAGCTCAAGTTTCTGTTTATCCTAGAATTGTTTCAACACTTCAGTTTTGGGATCATTATTCAACACAGTGTACGAGGAATTGAAAGAAGCGGGGCAAGATGTTGGTAAGCGAGACAGAGTCTGTAAGTGGAGTATGCATGTATTCACATATGCACAGTGATGGCAGAGGGGTTCGATAGATACACAGGCACTGGAAACGATGTGGAGCATGAGGCTGGCTACGATGCTTACATGACAGGTGTCATTTATCTGGCGTTCATTTGCTTTATTCACGAAAAGAAGGGTAAAGTGATCCACTTGCGTGCTATACCGTGTTGAGCTAACTTGTGCCTAAAGCAGAGAAACCCGATACACAAGTTGGCGACAAGAGGAAGAGAAATGACTCTATAAGCAGCACAAATACTAGTGTATCCTCCTCGTCTGTTGAATCTTCAACATCCACATCATCAGCAGAATCCGCCTCAAAAGTAGCCTCTGACAATACAAAGGAAAATGAAGAGGAGGAGGAAGAAGGAGAAGTCAGCGCATCAGATTCAGATGATTCCGACGAAGAAATTGCCAGTAAGAACAGTATATTCATGGATAAAGCGATTGTACCCTACTATGGTCGCATCTACTTGATGCGTAGCGACATTCCATACATCAACCTCAAAGGAGAAGAGGCCATGGAGATGATTACCTACCCCAATCGATTTTACCTCCACAACATCCCTGCTGGACTGACCAATGCTGCTATCGAGCTATTATATCCCTCCTTGGTACCATTTGCAGTGTCATGGATCAACGACAACAGTGCTTGGATTATATTGAAGGATGAAACCAAGATTCCTTTAGTGAAAACTGGCATGCTCGGTTTGAGTTTAGTGCAAAGCTTTCTCCCTGGCTGCTCGCGTCAAAATGAAGGTGCTGGCTATGGCATTACAAAAGAGGCCAGCCGAATTGAACTGATTTCACATCAGCAATGGCAAGCATTGTATGGACCCAGAAAGACGGTGAATTATAACAGCACAGCATCTATCTTGGCCGCCAACAATATCAGCAACAAGCCTACCATCATCGACAATAACGAGAGTGTGCCAGCTGGTGGAGCGGGCTATGACGAATTGGATATCCCTTTGCCTCCTAGTTTTGCAACCCATGTGAAAAGAAATAGAGATTCCACCGAGGAAGATCAAGACGATCAAGGCCATACATCTAAAGCTAGAAAAACAGAATAGAGCCCTGCCCCTTTTCCCCAACGTTGTCATGTAAAATATCCATCCATCATGTCTATATGTCACTGAAAATAGCAAATGGCTACTCGCCTTTCATCTTTCGCGAATAAACAGCAGCACCAGTCAAGCCAACAGTTGTATTTACCGAGTTTGTTGTAGAAGTTTATTTGCCTAATTTGGGGTTTTCTGTAATAAAGAAGTTTATGGAATGTCTCTTATGTCATCTCTTTCTCTCTTGTGCTTCAGTGGATTAATTTAGCGTCAAAGTTCGAAATCAGTTTTAAAAAAAAATCAATAACATGTTTATTGCGGTTTGGAAGAATCAGTTACAGCAATACACCACCGTCTTGACCAACCATCTAAATTGCGTGAAAACCATCTAGCAGAATGAATACGCTTGGTTATGTTTGCATTCGTGGATAGATCCCTGCAAATGCACATTGAGCATGGTTCTGGTTTGACATTTTACGTGGATTTGCGTAGATGCTTGCAGAAGATAACGTCATAATGAAAAATGGCTGGCGTGGTTTTTTTTTTTTTTTTTTTTTTTATTAGCGTAGTGTATGGGGGGAAAAACACCAGCGAAGTTTTCCTATGCATAACCAAACCTATGTGATGTATTTCAAAGTGATTTGCATTTACGTCAGAATGATTACTTTACAAAAGTGAATCCGCTTGAGAAAATGTATATAAAGGTTGAATTTGACAGATGCTTACAAGACTCATCTTATATTCATAACATAAAAACTACAAATCAAAATGTCCAACACTCCTATTACTAAAGCTGATGCCCAAAACATTCAATCCATGGCCTCCCATGAAGGTCTCGATACCGGTAAGGGCTCTGTTCCCGCCAAGGCCCAAAGTTTCGGCGACAAGAACCTCGATGCTGCCAAGGAAGCTACTGCTAAGGGATTCGCCACTCAATCCAGCGATGACAAGGATACCACCAAGCCCGGTACTGAATTGAAGAAGTAAATCTACAATACACTGCATTGATTTCAAGACACTGTTAATATGTAAATATTTTAAATATTTCAATTATTATTGCTTTTAATAAACGAAATACCTCTAATCGCCTGTGTGCAAAGCAAATTAATCAAAATTCAGTTTGGCATGTGTGTATCATTAATTCAGAACATACGTCTGAAACCAGTTCCTAGCCTAATGCAAGCTGTTTCTTGCAGGTATTTCATGCTGGAAGAGACGTGAATGCTGGATGTAACCATATTCTTTTGTCCCAATCATTCATTTGCACGTATCTGATATCATCTAGACAAGGACTCATGGGATTGATGGATGTCAAGATGTCCATTTAAAGTATCATACGCGACTTTGTTCAGAGCGACATTTCACATTTGGTATTGCTGGACTTCCTATATAGATACCCATTAAATTGATCAAATATGAAGCGTGCAGCATATCCAAAACACAACACAATTAGATAGGTTATCGAATCGTCTAATTTGTGATCCTATTCATACCTACTTCCAACAGCATCAATTACGTTCACAATGAGCCATGGCATATGTTTGCTAGCAAGCACCAGCAGCGGAAACTCAATTGAATCTTCGTGCATTTCTTTTACTCGAAATAGGAACTTTCCTTTGATTTTCGACTTGGTCGATCTATTTTGCTAGGTTCGACTATGTAAATTGTGATGGTCATTGTATCCCTCCTTAAGCTTTCTTGGAGTACTTTTTAAGACACTTCTAATGGTGCCATTTATAAGAAGTAATATTGATAAACTTATTGAACAATTTTTAAAAAATGTAAAATGAGGTGTTTGGCCAAAATGTCGAGAATTTGCATATCAACGTGCCACAAAAGTGGCTTCAGGGGCTGCGTTGGATCAATAGAAACGTTTTGAATTAATACATGCTATAGTAAAAGTCTTCAGTTTTGTGGTAAAAAACGCGATCGTTTGATTTTTGATGAAAAGCATGAGGGGTGCCTCATGCTTTTTGGCCGTGTTTTTGAGATTCCAGAAAAGTTGAGTAAAGGCAGCAGTAAGCAAGTGCTGGTCGAGAGCAACTGTTTGGTACTATTCTGGCGGTCTGAAACGGCTTTTAACGTGAGAAAATACAGCCGAAATGCGCCCAAATTTTGCTGTGCTTTGCATAGGTTTGAGTATTAAGAAGTAATGATGGCTTCTTGTCTGCATGTATATGAGTTGTTTCATTGAAACGGACGTGGGGCACAGCAGAAGACTTTTATAAACATACGTAAAGTATCTCTCACCCAATGATTTATATAATGCAAGTAGTAATATTGGTTTTCAAACATAACAGCTGATTAGTTTATGAGGCTTCTGCGCATTGAATTCGGACTACCGTATAGACTGGCCTCTATATCAATATCAATTAGTTTTTTGCGTTCGCAACCATAGCTATTTATCGTACGAGAACATTTGCAAGGCAAGCTCTCTGATTCCTTGACCTGGGAACAAGGTACAATATCAATTCGATCTGTGTATTTCTCATGTGTTACTTGAGGTCTCCAACACTTGACATTATATCTTTGAATGTGGCGAACCCAGCTAGCCAATACACTCTTTTCGCTTAAATATGGACCGAGATAAACGGCATTTTACAACAGCAAAAAAAAACATTATCTTCTGCATCCAGCTTCTCATTTCTTACTTTTTCATTGCATTTCATTGCTCTCTAACGGATAAAAACAACTTTTTTTGAAGCAATGTCTACACCATGGGGATCTTTCCAGGGACGAGCCCCTCAACAACAACCTCATCCACCTTCAGGGCAACGAGATACTCCTATCTACCCGAGCAGCACATCTTCACCCGTTTCGCCAGTACCAGGAATGCGATACACACCCATTGCACCGTTTGGCGGATCTGCTGGACAAGAGAAAACACCTGAGAAGCGACGAAACAATAGAGCCTGGTATGTAATCTCTAAAAGCTACAGCTTCCCATGCTTTGACAATTTCCCCTCTAACACAATTTGTAGTGATGAATGCAGACGCAAAAAGATCAAATGCCAAACGGCCGAGGGTGCCAGAACATGCAAGAATTGCATTGCCTACGAGAAAGGGTGTACTTATAATACAAGGTATGTAAGTTGCTGGTGCAAGCTTTCAATTTGATTCACAGTTACTACAATTAAAGCTTAAAAAAGAGGGGTCCTCCTCGAGGGTGAGTTTGAGAATATATCCAATGATTGATTCAAACTAAAAGTATACGGCAGATACATTGGACTATTGGAAAATAGATTGAAGCGTATTGAAGGGCTGATTGACGGCATTTCATCTTCAGCCATTGCCTCGAGTGATTCCTCCACGTCAAAGCGTCCAGCAACGTGTGGTGATGCCGCAAACGAGATGGAGGATCAGCATGTGGGTAAAAAGACAAAGACCAACAACGACAAGACAAGCATTACAGAGCGAAATACGAGATGGTTGCTTGACAGACTCAAGAGCACACATCTGACATCAGAAGGTCGATTTTACAGTGGCTACAGCATGTCACATATCATCAATACCGATAAATTCGAGGAATTCAAGAAGAACAACCTGTCATCGTATGGCATTGATATCCAGCATAGTAAAAATAGCGACTACTTCCACATGAAACGAATTGAATCGTTTGATGACAAGCGAAAGGAACAGATCCGAGAGCTGCTCAGTTTGGGTGTGATCAAATCGCGCGACGCCATCATGAACATAGATGACTGGATATTCAAAGTTGCTGGTATAGATCGAAGCCTCAGTGATAGGCTATTGAAAGTGTATGTACCATATGGCAACCACGGATCACAGCATCTCTAATCGTTCTTATGCAGGTACTTTGCATACATACATCCGCTGCTGCCCGTCATCAATAAAACAGCCTTTCTCGAAGAGTACCGGGGCATCAGGGCAACCTTTCCCGCAGCAACCTTGCTGAATGCCATCTATGGTGCATCAGTGAGATACGTGAACAATTGCATCAAATTCAACGACTGGCAGCGACTAGACAATGGTAGAGAATGGGTGTTTCCTCACAACTTTTCAGAGAAGCTATTTCAAAATTTGATCATCTTTGTCAAGGGGAGATACAACCCGCGTTTGTCCACTATTCAAGCCATTCTCATTGCGCATAATCACTCTGCCAATGTGGAAAGCTGGACGTCTGGATGGCTTCTCAACTGCATCGTAGGTGTAAAAATATTGATTTTTTTTTATCCAGCACGTCTAACATTGTACGAAAAACTTTCAGGCTGTGAGGATGGTATTGTAGGCCAACAAAAAATGGTATGATATGGATTCTAATGATTGCACTACAGAGTCAGGATATAGGGCTGAACAGATCAACCGAAGGATGGACTATTTCCGAGCAAGAAAAGCAAACAAGAAGAATGGTGTGGGCATCAGGTAAGCTGGGGATTGGCAAGCATAGCTCCATTTGTTGACACATTAGTAGGCTACGTGCTGGATCGTTGGTTTTCCGCAGGGACAGGCCGTCCATTGACAGTATTCGACGAAGATTGCGATGAATTGCATCCATCCGAAAATGTGAATTTGGATGAAGTAATGGACACAATGACGGAAACAGATCAGCATCTTCCACGATTCCCGTCGCTGGACAAGCACATTGCAGAGAAAGCAAACGACAGCTCGATACCCATGTATCAGCCATTTGTGCAGTTGCTCAAGCTATCAGAGATACTGGGCCGGATATTGCAGTGCCTCTACACGCCAAAAGCCAAAAAGCACAGCGCACAGTACGGAAGTGATGCTATGGTTGCTTATTTGGATGACCAACTGTCGAAATGGAGAGCAGCACTGCCACCCCTACTAGAGATATCATCCGCTGGCGAGAGAACAATGCAGTCCAAAGAACACCACCCTCTACTATCTATGTCGGGCCTGATTTGCATGTCTTATTGCACGCTGCTAATCCTACTACATCGACCTTTTATTGAAAAGGAGCCGCACAACAACAAGAACTCAAGAATGTCGTCAAGAAGCTCGTTGACCATTTGCACTAGCGCTGCTATTCGTATTGTAGAGGTGTCAGAAAGCATGCACTATAGGGACTTTTTGATGGTCTCATGGGGGTTTGCGCTATATCCGCTGTTTACAGCAGCTTTGATTCACATTTACAACTCTTCCAACCCTGACTCCATCGTCTCTGATGTGGCCAAGTCGAATCTGGTGCGTGCGTTGGCTGTGGTCGACAAACTGTGCTTGCTATCGCCCATGACAATGAATATGAGCAACATTCTCAAAAAAGTGATTGCATTGAGTCCCATCTTTGTGAATGATCCTGAATTTGTGGCTATGGTCAATATCAAGAAAAGCGCAGTCGATTCTGAGGGCTTGGAAAGAGTGGGTGACCCATACTCTAAGCCTGACGATCATACTCCAGATTCGCCTGCTCACCAACACACATCGGTTCCAGATGCCAACGAAACCGTCGCAAGCAGCTTGCAAGATCAGTGGTTTGATCATAACAGCAGCAGCAGCGGATCTGCAAAGGACAAGAAGCCTTCCATCGGTAATGTCACAGCACCGGCGTGGGATGAGGATTGGCTTAGTCAACTGTATACACCCACACAGCCTAATTTTAATCTACATGGTATGTTTGGATACGCATAACACGCTATTTTACGATAACTGACACATGTATTGTGTAGATGACGAGTCCAACAAACAAAACGAATCGTCAATTATCAATGCTACGACGCAGCAACAATACCAGCAGCAGCCGAGTAAAGTGGATGCTTATTCCATTCGACAGTTTGGATTTGGAGTGGATCAAGTACAGCAAGGCATAGCAACTACTTCCAATCAACCCCAACCCCAAGCTTGCTACAAAGAGGTTTCACCTCTGAATGCAAACAACAACGCATCACTCAACCATAGTAACACAACATCATCTGCGCCTTCCACTGCATTATTCGATTACTCAGATTTCTCCTTTCCTTATAATTACGGAAACGTGATACCTACTGCAACAAATACAGCAGCTATACCGGCTACCAATACTGACAACTCGATTCCAAATGGCTGGATCAATAATAGCAACAATGTCAATTTCATCTATCAGAATGACCCTTCAGCTCTCTTTCGTTATCGTCCGGATAATCCATTTTGGGGGATACCGAGCAGCATGGAAGCTGACGACTGGCAAGCTTACTTGTTGCCACATCAGCAAGAGCAGCAACAAAGACAGCAGCAACAATAAAGACCCCAATTTAAACTTATTTGAGAATGCATCATCATATTAAGTCTTAACCTTACGAATAGGATGTCGAGTATTCTTACAGTGGATATTCACTTCTAGGGATTTGAGGCATTCAAACTACTAGAATCAGGATCAGATTCTGTCAAGACATGAAAGCACTCTTCTATTGAATATGACACTGTATCATCTGTGATACTGCATGCGATACTAGCGCTTCAAGTCTTACACGATGCTGTATGGTAATAACTTGTCGATCAAATGCTCCTTAAAACATTGTATATGAGCTTCTGCCTTAAGTAGCATATGTAGTAAATATTACGACGCAAGTAACAATTTCTTATCGTACAACTGTTGATGATGATGATCTTTTGGCTCAATTCGTACATTGCAGTGACATTCTCAGACGAGTCATTCGAGGTTCGTTGCATTATATTCTCAGGAATAGTGCCTCGAGTAGAAGATAAGAGAGAGGCTCAAGTCTACTGCATACTTGGAGGATAGTTTATTGTACATATGATAGTGGTAATACATAAGGTAAATATATAGATATGATAGATGTTGTATTAAATGAATGTGGTATATATGATGTGGAAAATGAGAGGAGAGAGACCTTTGGCTCAAAGAAGCGCAACTTCAGATTGTTTAACAAATATACCTCTATTAGTTAAAGTGCTGAAATAACGCTTACCATCAATAGAGCCATCATTGGAACCAACTTTTATAGGAGAAACAATATTAGTAACACAATATAATGCATTGCAATGTGTGTGATAAACTCACCACTTCTGTCCAACTCGACACCCAAGAAATGACCAGGTCTGTTTTCCACTTTTCCCACATATAGGATGGTACCCATAGTCAAAACTGGTTTATTCAGTAGCTGTACACGCTGGCCCACCTTGAAATGGAGTGCGGCTTGTCCAAAGACCATGGTACATAGTCGTGAGCGAAATTTCATATTCCAGGAAGCGCCCTTTCTTTGTTTAGATGACACAGGCGGTGATTGTGGAGGTGGCAGCGGTGTTTTCGTAGTAGTGTAATTACCAGGTTTATGATTCTGTACTAATAGAGTATTCGCTGGTACAACCAAGTCTAAAGTGAAATTTGTTTGTATACAGAGGCATGTCTTATGATTTGATTTGTATATCTACCTTGTGCGAGCTGTTCTATCACATTCTTGTCAATTGTATCCAGTTGCTTTATTTGAGCCAAGTGTTTGGCAATGTATCTTATTGTTTTTGATTTTGCTGATTGCAGTATATCCTTGACAAGCGGTGTACGCTGAACGGTGTCTCTGCACATGAGCGATTTGACAATACCCTTGTACAAGGAGCATGCGTTCATGTCGTTCATTTCCTCCAGGATGCAAGACATCAAGTAGTCCAGGAATTCGAAAGAATAGGTGATGCCATCAACGCACGACAGCAGTTTGGGATACTTTGTGCAATAAAAGTCAAAGTGATCTGCCAGCAATGTTGATCCCATTTTTTGTATCTTCTCTAGTGTACATCTTACATCGGCGTTTTTGGCTGATACCCGATCCTTGGCTAAGAAGCAACCATGTAGTGTTTCAATGGCATTATTCCTGTTGACATGATTCAATAACCTTGATTCCAAGTAGTCATGCAGAGACTCTGTTTCGGTAAACAAAGCAGCCATCGAGTCGCTGGACCAGTAGCTAGGGAGTGTCTTTTCTGGATCTTGATCTAGCAATCGCAAGATGGCATGTGTGATTTGGTTCAGATAAGGGTCGTTTTGTTGATGTGAGCCGGTAAAGGAGAGTAGCTGGGGGACCAATTCGGTACAACTGTTACAGTAACATACTAGACCATGTGTCAATTGGATAATATGATCTTTGATGGCGGAGCAAAGGCCTTCTATTCCAAGATAATCTGCTGCCAGGTAGACTGATTCGAGCTGCTCCAACTTCTCCATATTCCGATCACCCGATTCTTTTATTGATTTTGTGTACATGTAGTAAAGTACGTCATCCAGCACTGTCGATGTAAATATGCCTCTTGGCAAGAAAACAATGGACGCTTCAGCTTCCTGAAATTGGCTGTTGAAGACTGCATCAAAGTAATGGGATGTTGATTTAAGCACATCTTTGTGACATACCCAATGAGTCTTTTCAGGCACGTTTGAGCTACAGCTGCTGCTGCTATTCAAACTATCACTTGTCCCTGAATCGGAATTGCTGTATAGATGCTTCTCAGCGGGTGCTAGTGCTAATATAACATTGTGATTTGACCCTTGACCAAAGGATTGTTGGCGCATTCTGCTTGGAAGGGGGAAAAAGTGAAAGAAAGGAAAAAAAAAAAAAAAAAAAAGCGAAATCGGATGTTTACACAACTTTATTTTGGATTTAACGGTGACTCTTCTTTCCTCTTGAATACAAATACCATGCGATACTAGCCACCGCAATAACAGATCCTAACGCCACAATGGCACCCACAATATCTCCTCTTTGCTTGGTCTTGTTTGTACGCTTGACTCTTCTCTTTCTCTTCTTTTTCTTGTCACTGGTAACCGTCTTCTTTTCTTGCTCCTCTTGTTCCTCTTGTTGCTCTTTGGTCAAATCCCAGTCAATGATGCGGACGCCTTCAGGGACGACCAGATTGCCAGTTGTGTCCAGTTTCATCGCTCTGCCAAACCATTTGCCTGCTGTCCAAATGTCTTGCTCGATGCCCATACCATTTGCATACAAAATGCCAATGTTGAAACATGCTTGAGCATGGCCCAGCATGGCAGCCTCCTTCCAATATCTGACTGCAAGATCCGGATCAACCTCGACCAATGTAGTAGAGTGCATTTGTTCGCCTTCAGGCTGTGAGCCGTATAAATAGATGAGACCTGTTTGGAAGGCTGAGCTACAGAAATAACGCTCATCGCGAGTATGGGGTGCATGGTTGCGCAATTTGCTCTTGGGGATATGTTCCAGATCCAGCAGGGAAAAGTCGATATCAATACGAGGTGCTGTGATGGTCATGCAACGGTTGTAATAGTACAATGCGCTTTGGTAGTCTTTCTCCACATCTGCCTCGGGCAGTCCACTTCCATAAGATGTACCCACAATATAGCATGCTAATGGATCAGGGCCATTGCTGAGCTCTCTGCCAAATGGTTGCTCCTCACAATCCGCTGCACGCTTGTACCATTCAAATGCCTTTTTGCTGTCTTTTTCGGGGATCTTCTTTGCAATGGTGGTTTCCTTGTTGGTTTCGTACAATCCTGCTGCTTTGATCATTGACAGAGTATGGCCTCTTTCGGCAGCTGATTCAAAATACTCGAGCGCTTTCTAACAAATGCCAGCAACAACATCAACACCACACGGTACATCTCATCCAACATACATTAACTTACCACAAGATCGCCCATGCGCACTTCAAACCATTGACCCAATAAATAAGATGAAGTGACATCCATTGTGTTTGTCTTTTGATGTGGTCCCGCAATGGGAACAGCCCACTCGGCAATATCGTCTTCTTTCTCCAGATGAATGGTCAGAATTCTATATTTGGGTTTCTTGAGATGAGGTGGGGTAGCGATCGAAGGTGGGGTATGAAGTAACGTAGGTGAATTAGGCTGTGAGATGCTGTCTTCGGACATGGTAGGTGAGTTGTTGGACTGTGCAGCAGCGAGCAGATCTGACATTTCCGACATGCCAGTATCAGCGGCTGATGGCAGGATCATGGAGGAGTTGGGCGAGTGGTTGGGTGATGACATGAATGCATAAGATGATGCAACTGAGAGACTAGGAGAGGCTGTAAGCGATGAAAAGGGTGACATACTGTTCTTTTCGAGCTGCCATAATGATTCGAAATGATTGATAGGTTGGAACAATTTAGCCTACAAAATAGTGCAAGTGTTTAATGACGGATTATTTATATTAAATGTTGATCGGTTTACCTGGATGACAGGTTCCTCTCCTTTAATGCCTGCTTTCAGATATTGTCTTTCAATGGTAATATCCAAATCCTTTGCTTTCGCTGTTTCAGGAACCAAGAAGGAGATGGTTACTTGATCATTGCTTTGGCTCCAAACATAGGTGTTGGTTTGAAGCTGTTCGTCGTTATCTGCCATCTTTGTTACCCCGGTTTTTTCGTAGTTTTTGAGATACTAATGGAGAAGAATAGAAAAAAAGAAGAATGTAACCAACTGGGGCAAGATGATATCATGTTTAAAAGTCTTAAAATTGTGACTGCAGGGATGTGTATGCCCAGGTTCAAAACATAATGCGAGACATGCTCCAGAGAATGAACTCATAGGGAGGTGAAGTAAATGCCTAGTAGCTTGCCCGCTTTGACATGCCGACTAGTTAGTTATTGCGATAGCAACTCCAAAATTTGACAGGTGGTTCCGTATTTGCTATTTCGGAAATCATGTTGGCAATCCCAATGCAGATGCTCATTTGGACATTGATTACCGTTTATGCTTTCAAGCCCGCCTCATTTGGAAGAGTGGTATAATCAATGTGATGTCCATGACTGCAGCAGATCGTATTCTGGTTGATTTGTCAAGGGATCGTTGCCGTGTTTACTGCTAAAATGCGCATTTGATGCGCCATCTGAAATAGTAATGTGGTTATAATAGTGAGATTGGCATGTAAAGCTATGCCTGGAGATGTAACCTTTTGCAGGTTTAAGGTATATGCTAAAAGAGATGAATCATACTTTGCGACGCATGCGGTGCCAGTTGTCGACTTCATAACGGTATGTAATTTTATAGTTTGCGATGATTTTTGAGGGATTTATTTTGAAATTATTTGTGGTTTGTCGTCAGGCCAAAGTCATACACTGGCACTGGTTTTCTGGGGCTGATCTGGCAGTGGTGTTGCAATTGCTACCGGCCTATCTAGTGATGGGCAGCTAAATCTATAGCAAAAATGAGCACGAGAATTGGCATATCAAATTACAGAAAGTATAAACACCCTTGAAAGGAGCATGCCATTTGGAACAACATTGCAACAGAACGTTGACACTTTGCCGCAAAATTGCCGACGAAACAGACGCCCAAAGTTTTTAAGTAGTCTACAGATCTGATTCAGGAACATGATGCCAAACTGTTTTTCTTGGAGTATCGAGAGTAAATTTGCAACAAGACTGATTATTCAAGAAGTATCGTTTTTTTTTCATATAACGCTTTTCAACATTGCATCCATTGAGCAACTACTTGTAATAACTTGCAATTATCAGTTTCTCATCAGTCATCAGCAATAACCCATCCAAGCTAAATTCTAGTTACATTGTCTGTTTTCTCACAATTTTTTGCTGTAAAAGAATGCTACTTTCAGAATTCTAGGGACAATATTTCAAAACTTGATTTTGTTGGATGGCATAAACAACAACGAAATTGGAAAACTTTGTATACATTCAGAAGTGATATGGGATAAAAAGTAGCAACCCATGAAATTGAAACATGTTGGGAATCAATCAAAAACGTTGTACCGGTATGTTTAGCAAGGCATATGGCTTTGGGAGGACCTGGTACCTAGTGTACTGCTGTAGTAGCACCTATATGAATTTCCTCATATAATGAATTTATAAAGAATATCCATTGCATAAAACTGTGCAATAGATGCTAGATTAAATGCTTCCACCTTATCATATTTTTGAATAAAGAAGAATATAAATTTAAACTATTTGGATAGCCTTTTATTACAAAAACGAAACAGTTTTAATGACAATTCAATATGAAATCAACTAGTTGTAGACCTTCGTTGTTTCAACCTCTTAGCCAATCAGATTGCTTGAAAACTCCGCTGACCTAAAAAAAATTTGCGAGGGTTTCCCTCTGTTTTGATGTGAGGCAAAAATTTAAGCGCCGCTATATAGCAATATAGCTGTTACTATCATCAAATTTCCCTCAGGTGCTAGAGCATGCCTTACTTACACCACCTAGCTTTAAATTCAGGCATTGAGACCCTCAATCATCACTAAAGTAAGTAGCGATAACCAAGTGAAGGCAGCCTATCTACCTCCTAGCCTCGGATAAAGTCTTGTTGAGCTTCAGGGATAGGCACATCCACACAACGCAAAAAAAGATATGCTTCAAAAGAAACATAATAATAATAAACGAAAGAAGAAAAGAACATATTACTATAGGAGTATAGTAGTATGTAAACAAAAAAAAGGATACTCACACGAAGTGGGTCAAAGAAAGGAATATCATAAATGCAACATCAAAGATGTTTAAAAGAGCTCGTTGTTGTTGCAACAAAAATGCATACTTGAGCATCGTGCATGGCAGTAATAGTCGGATGTAAAGCAACATAGCACAAATACGCACAATTGCAAAAGCAACAGTGGCATTATGAGTTTGCAATATAACATAATGACTAATGTTATTTCATGTGAAGCCACAGAGGAAGCACCACCAGCAAAAGAAAAAAGAAGAAAAAAGCGCAACAAGGCAAGCATCATGAATGCATTATCACGAGAAAGGAAGCAATAATATAAGCGTTCAAAGAAGTTTTATATCATTGCGACCAGAAGAAAGAAGATACTTACCACTTACCACAGCTACAGATAGACCATACGAGTATAGGCAATCACTGAAGACAGACCAGAGAACAAGCATGCACCAAACATAGTAGACCAGGAAAGACCAGATTAGCGGCAACAACACTAGCACCATAGAAAAATCAAAGAATGAACGACACCAGAGACCAAACAAAGACCAAAGAAGCAACCACCAGACATGATAAACCAAACAAGAAGACAGCAGAGATAGCAGAGAAGCAATGGCAGCAGCAGCATCCACGTCAAACAAACAAAAAGAATTATCAAAGCCTAATAAACAAATTCAATTAGTGTTAATTCTACGCCTTTCAGTGCTCGTTATCGCATGGTACCTAGCATATTCCACTTCAAAGAAGCAGTATCAAGCTCTTCCAACGGTACAAGACAGAGCTATCAAAAGCTAGAGTGTTACTATCAATCAAACAGTTTTCAAAACGACCATGGTTTGATGCTGAACGCGTTTTGCAAAAAGGGAAAAAAAACGGGTTTATGGAATAATGAGAGGGCACCCTATCCGACGTCACCGCCTGTAAATTTAGTTTCAGTATTGTACCGCAGCAGCCGTAGTTGCGGTAATTTAACTTGAAATTGTGCAGTGGGGGTATTTTCGTGTTCAAACTTGACTTGATATCACATCCTTCGAATATTTTTGCTAAATTTGACTATGAAAGCTGTCGTTGCCACACCCAACTTTCTAATACATTTCTAGAGGACTAAAGAAGCCACATCGAATGGCGCTAGTTACTTTCAGCTTTCAGACCAAAAATAATGAGCAATTTCCAAAAACATGAAAACAGGTTCTCTGTGATTATGTCAAAATTGAGCATACGCAATTCTCATAGAAAGAGTTTCCAATGTTGTATTCTGTCTTTACGATCAATTTGATCTAATATGTATCATAGAAAAAGTCCTCATTTTTGGGGTGAAAAACGCGATCATTTGATTTTCATCAATTTTCCCTTGCTAATACTCATGGAAAAACGATGATTTTCATAAATTTGTAGCGACCCAAAAAAATTGAGGTAGAGCATCAGGAAGTAAAGCGTGGCCAAGAGGAGGTGTCTGGTGCTATTCCAAGCGCTCAAAACGCTTTGTGGCATGAGTTATTCATGCTTGAAAATGACTAGATTTGAACAGAATTCGACCTAAAAATAAGGCGTACGAGGTTTAGTTCCTAAAGAAGAAGAAAATTATACTTCTGTCTGATGACCCAGACGTTCTGCACTGTACGGAACTTAGTTTCTAAGTGACAGATGCTTTTATTCTAATTCTAAGGCTCAAATCTATCTTTTTGAAATGCGCGATCGATTACCGTAAATTTAAGACTTGCGCCTTCATGCTATTATGCAAATTTGAATCTAACAACTCGCTCAGATTGTACGAGATGTCTATCAGGTTAACAGGATATTTTTCATGGCTGACCACAACATAAATGCCATATCTAGCCGTAAAACTAGACTTAATAAAGTCTATGCACAATGTTAAACCTTCATATTTAAGGGGAAATGGCTAAAACTGGAAGGCTGAGTCACTGTAAGCACAATTGGGGAAGCATATAACAAAATTTTGTATCAAAGCCGAGCGATTAGAGACTCATGATACCTACAATTTCTGTAATACAAGGTTCGACACCAGGAGATTGCAGTGAAATTGGGTTTAAATCGTTTCACGGACTTATACTATTGAAAACGTCAGCTCCAGCCAAATTGCCCAAAATCAATTGCTCAAATCTAACGTTTGCTACAGTGGCGCATATAAAATCCTTTTTGTGTGCCAGCATGAGTCATACAACGCCCTGAATTTATTTCATAGATAGACATGTTCATCACATGGACGGTTCTGTGCTGCTGGTATTAAGGGAAAACGTATTTTTGCTATGGCAAAAAAAAACTTCAATGTGGGAGCTGACAGTTCGAAATTTGAAACGAAGCATTGTAGATGGCCAAACAGGGCCTCATTTTGTAGACAAAATAGAGTGGAACAAAATGTAATTAATGGCGAGCCCAGGTTGAGTTGGGAGTGGAACAACGGATAGCGTCTAAATACTTTTCTTTTGTACATCGATTACTATATACTTTCCTCGCGTAAACATTTGGCAACCAATGTAGCGACTAAAAATCTGACCATATGTTTAACAACCCATCAAAGCAGGCATATAATCGTTGTGATATGAAGTCTGTAGCGTTAACATGGGGCTCAAAAAAGCAACCCGCTGAGATGAGCAACACAGCTTCAAACCTTCGCCAACCACAGCGAGAAAAGATATCATCAAGCGGTTTTTGCTACAACGTTTCCCAACATCTGGTTCATCGATCAATGATTCGTAATCACACGTAATTAACATGCTCTTATATGGAGCTCATTACTCAAAATCCTCTATTTCTCAGCAACATCCCATTTAATCTAAAATTCAATTGCACCATCGTTTTTTCTCGCGAAAATTTGCCATACGAACAGTTGTTTTCAGAGCTCTAGCATTAATATTAGAGACTCGATTCTAAATGATTAAAAAATCGACATTAAAAAGCGTTTTGTACATTCGAAATCTGATACTACGATAGCACCCCACAAGAATGAAATCTGCGGTACATTTATATTAAATAAAGCATATTTGATTACTGCTACTGGGAAGCTAGGATGGCCCAGTAGACAAGGCAAACGACACTGTACAGATGGCATTTTTTAGGCCAAGAGAATATGATCTTGCCCTCTAGTACGCATAGGATGAATGACCAAAACGCATTGGCGCGCATTTAAAATTGCATGATTCGTTTCTTATAGGAACGCTTATTGATGTTGATGTCATTTGAAGCAGCACAACATTTGCAATTAGCCTTCCGATAATTAAACAACCCTATAATCCACATGTAGATTGCTTTTTTCTCATTTTCTTTTTCTCTCTTCACCTATCCGCAGAGAAAAATGTCTGAATTCCACTCACTCGCCAACCTCATCAAACGACTCGAAGTTGCTACAACACGTTTAGAGGATTTGGCCATGTCTTCTTCCTCCGCTTCTGCTGTCGCTGCCAACTCGCCTTCTTCACCCAAGACTGTTGGCGCTGGTGCTGGTGCTGCTGCTGCTCCTTCATCCACATCAGAAACGCCTGCTCTCGTCGAGAAACACGATGCTGCTGTTAACCCTTCTCTCGAAAAGTATTTCAGTTTGTCTCAAGAGCTGGGTGGCCCTATTGCCGAGCAGGTAAGCAAGTAACTATCGTGATTAGAAGTGTACACTGACTCGTTGGGTAGGCTATTCTTGTAAAGCAAGCTGTTGCTGCTGAACGGGATATTCTCTATATTTCAGCCTTGGCTCAAAAGCCTGAGATGGGCTCTGCTACATTCATGAAACTTCTCGAGCCTATTCAAAAGGCTTTGGCCAGCATCATCGAGATCAAGGATGCCAATCGTCCTAGTCCTTTATTCAACAATTTGAGCACTGTTGCTGAAGGTATTCCTGCTTTGGGTTGGTTTACTTGTGTAAGTAATGAGCAGAGACGTAAGAGAGAGAGAGTGTGTGTGTGTGTGTGGTATGCTGATGGATTTTGTTGCAGGAACCTACACCTGTGCCTTTTATTCGCGATATGAAAGACGCTGCTCAATTCTACTCTAACCGTGTTGTGAAGGAATGGAAGGAAAAGTAAGACCATGTTGATCCAATTGACTGTGATATGTTATTAAGGCTATCAATTAGGGAACCCAAGCATGTTGCATGGTGCCAGTCCTTCTTGGCATTCCTCGAGGATTTAGCTGTCTATGTCAAGGAAAACTTCCCAACTGGTTTGCCTTGGAACCCCAAGGGTGATAAGCCCGATGCTTTCATTGGAAAATCGCCATCCAATGCTGGCGCATCTGCTGCTCCTGCTGCCCCTGCTGCCTCTGACGCTGCTGCTCCTCCCGCTGCTCCTCCCGCCCCTTCTGCTGGCGGTCCTCCTCCACCACCACCTCCACCACCACCCATGGTCATTGAAGACGACAACAAGCCTGCTCAACAACCCACAGGCGCAGCTGCTGTGTTTGCCGAAATCAACAAGGGCACTAGCGTTACAGCTGGTCTCCGTAAAGTTGACAAGAGTGAAATGACGCACAAGAACCCCAGTCTCCGTACAAGCTCTACTGTTGCCGCTCCCACTTCTCCCAAACGTCAAGGACCTCCTACTCCCAACAAACCTGATAAGTATACACTCAAGAAAGCTGCCAAGACATCCCTGGAAGCCAACAAATGGGTTGTGGAAAATCACGAGGGAAATCATCAAGTAGTGATTGAGGAAACCGCCATCAATCAAGCTGTTTATATCTTCAACTGCAAGAATTCAACTATTCGCATTAAGGGTAAGGTGAATGCAGTGACCATGGATTCTTGTACCAAGTGTGGCATTGCTGTTGATTCTACTGTCTCTACTGTCGATATCGTCAACTCCAAATCGTTTGCTCTTCAGGTGTTTAAGGTGGTTCCTACCATTGCTGTTGACAAGTGTGATAGTGGTGAGATCTATTTATCAAAGGAGTGTTTGGGCGTTGAAATCTTGTCTGCAAAGTCAACCGCTTTGAATGTCCTTGTACCCGAGACAGATGCTGAAGATAGTGATTTCAAGGAAGTTCCTGTTCCTGAACAATTCAAGACTACTATTGTGGACGGTAAATTGACTACTGTTACCGTTGAACATGCAGGATAAGCATCAGTTATATCAACAATAAACTATAAACACATTTGCATAGTATACCGAGCTTTTTTGCGTGTTTGGAGTGCTCTTATAGCTGAATAATTGAGAAGCTTAGATCTGACATGAAGCCATGTGCGTTTCATGGACCTCAGTGTGCTTTCTCATGACATTTGGATGTGCTGTTTTACCATCAATCAAGGCTATCTACACAGACTTGCATTGCGCTCGATTTACATCCACTCATAAGCTATGAATCCAAACTCTATGCAAATGGCATGATGGGCTACTTTGAGCTTAGGGATGTGTGCCTTTTTAAATGCCTAATTTGGTGACCCTTTTCTCTGTTTCTTTTTTTTTCTTTTTCTTATAAAAAAAAACCTTTCAAGCAGAGATAGCTTTAGAGATCTAATCGCTCAACGCACCTTCATCATGGTAATGAACAACGGCAAAGCTGCCTATACGATATTTAATCAACATGGATGGCAATAGAGCAACTGGAACACTCTTAACAATGGCTTAACGGCTTCTGTAAAAGATGCTGTCGAGTTACAGGCAAGTTTGTTTTTTTTGGGTAGTACCATGAGCGTGTCATTGACATGAATGATATAGGTGGAAAGACTATTAGAAAAATATCAGAGCACGCTTAAACTACAACACAAGGGCCAGCTTCAGTCAGCAAAGCAAATGTACGAGGAATTAGTTGCACATCATCTTGTCAAAAGAGAACCAAAGCCTGTAAGTCGATCCACTCTCACTGCCCTCCCAACAGATTGCATATTTAGCCTAATCACTGTAGAAGAAGAAATCAGCAGCAGCAGCCTCCTCAACGACTTCCAGCAACGCTAGTAGTAATAATGCTACCAACAACGATGTGGACCATGTCGAAGAATCACCACTATCCACCCTTCGATTCTTGGTGTTCAAGAATTATGCATCAATCCTAAAAGACGACTACATGACAGGGCAAGAGCAACAAAACGCAGCTATTGCAGACAAAGCGCTTTACAACTATCTCCAAGCAGTGAAGATTGATCCAACGGATTATTCGCTCTGGTATTATATCGGCTATCTTTCTCAAAAACTACACAAACTTCGATTTGCCAGACTTGCTTATGAAACTGGATTTTACATGTCTGATCAAGAACGAACATTGAAACTGCCCACTATACGTCCCAACGATGCTATTCGCATTGTGAAAGGAGGCAAATTCACAATAATGCAATGGAGATGTCTGGAGAATCTGTGTCAAGTGCTGTACGACATTGGCGACTATCGATTATGTACATTTTATTTGGATCTTGTTTTGAAAAGAAATGCGCATTGGGAAGCAGGCTTACAGCTCAAGCAGCAGCTGAATGACAGTAAGCTGCCGTCAGCAGAAATAGGTGCTTGGGGTGCTGAAGCAATGGAGACAGACTGCAAGGACAGAAATCCCATCACAATTCACCTGGAAAAATCAGATTGGATTTTGTTGATCAAATCACTCTTGGATGAACACAAACGCTTGGTTTACAAGGATGCTGCAAATAGCAACACATTGAAGACAGCGACGGGCGTGAATGCTACAGAAGCAGAGCAGCCAGAGGAGGATTTTTTTATCAGCCATGCTATAATGATCCATGTGAACGATAAAGAAGAAAAAGGCGAAGACGAGGGAAAAGAGGAGAGACAACAAGCAGTCGATAATCCATCACAGCAAGCTTCAGAAGCTGTAGCTGCGATACCAGAGCCAGCCATTATACTGGAAAAGCCGGTAGGTCAGGAACAACTGCCAAAAGAGCCAACCATCATACTTGAAAGGCCAGTCAACGATGAGAGCGATAGTACGAGTGCGATGGATGTCGATGCTATCCAAGAGCTTGTAGTGTCGGTAGAAAGACCAGATGCTTCAATGGTTGAAGAACCTTCGGTCGTGTTAGAGTCAACTGCCAATGCTGGCTCTGGAGAGCTTGTGGATCAGAATACAGCCACTGAACAGCCAGTAGCAGCAACAGCAGCATCAGCGACAAATGATCAAGTCAGGACTGATCCACAAGCGGAATCCAGTCGACCCAACGCAATCGCCATTTCTGATTTATTGTCCCAGTCTGCCAGTGTACCGATGCCGTTATTGACCCTTTTGCCCAACCCAACAGCAACAAAGCCTATTGTGATTGAATCCATACCTGATATCAGCAATGATGCTGAAATGACAGATGCTACCCATGCGATTCCATTAAAACGTAAAAGAGACGATCGCGGCGACGATGATTCAGCGTCTCAAACAGACACAACCCATGAGAATGTTGGCGGCCGTGATGAAAATGATGGGGAGGATGGGGAAAACGAGGAAGACGAAGAGGAGGAAGATGAAGCCGAAGAAAAGAGACTATCGCTGAGGTAATGACATATCCCAAAACTGGATAAATTATCTAAATATAGCCTCCCCCCCCCCCTCTTTTTTTTTCTCAATAGAGCGTCAAAACGGCAACGCGAAAAAATTGCCAACGAAGAAACCTCACGGCTTAAAATGTTACAGGAAGAAGAGTCGTTTACTGAAAAAGTACGCAACTTTTATGACAAGCTGGATCGTGTGCCTCAATTGAAGCCTCACGTACCATGGTTCAATTCATCTGCCGAGTCCTTTTGGGAGTGGTTTGACAAGAAGATATCAGAACTGGACAGCACGTACTGCTGGGACATTGATACGGTGAATAATGCTATGTAAAGTATAGCATGTGGGTGATATTTGTAATAGCGCGCACTCACCTTTTTTTTTTTTATAAGCTTTTTTGATTCAAGTAAAACTGTTGGTGACACCAGCATTCACAATGCAAGAGCCGCTGGAAAAAGTTTACAATTGTTTACTGCATTGAGACCCTCTGTTTCAAATGGCACATACGAGACTCAGCACCGAGCATTGATCAAGCAATTTATTCTTGAGCTAAACAGCAACAACTCTGGCATTGTAGACAGCTTGTGTAAATTGATCACCACCATTGTTTCCCATGATTCACATCTCGCACAGCAGCAGCAGCAAGAGATCATGAGCACCGAGATGCTGGAACTAGTTACGGACACCATCAGTCAAGTGCAGCTAAACCTCCATCAAGACATTGCGTCTAACGCGGCACTCACACAGCAGGAGCGCGTCTTTGTAAGTATTAATATGCTAATGATACTGTGCCCATCCTGATACAGACACGTTTGACATGCATAGGTCTACTTGCGCATCAGTGAGTATTTAATCGACCGATTGATTCGAAACACGATTACTACTCTGGAGGAGATGCCTTTGACTACACCCAGCACAAACAAGAAGCGCATGTCGATTTCACTGGCAAAGCAAGCTAAATTGAGGGCACTGGACAGCTTGATTGAGCAGGCGGGATTCTGGATCAGCCTTGTAGAGCAAAGCGTCTATGTCACGTCCATGGATCTATTCTCATCTCACACCAACACAGCAACAGACGAACTTTACCATATACAGCTGCGCTACTGTGTCTTGAAGGGCAAATTGTCTCAATGCAGCAATGACATTGAGAGCGCCTATGCTTGGTACAACAAATGCAGACAACTATTGGCAGAGAACGCTACAGTTGAAATTGACATTGGCAGCATGTACGATTCGTTTATCAACACGGTGAGCATTGACAAGAAACTAGAGCTACTGCAGGTGGGCAAGTTGTTTGTCACTGCCAAGCAAAAGATGGCCAACAATGACTACAATGGTGTTATTCAGGATTTACAAGGCATTGTGGAGCCTCAATTATCCAGCAAACAGAACCCTGTTGATTCAGACGAAAGCATACAAATGACCTCCATGTTGGCCAAGGCGTACTTCGAGAATCACCGCTATCTAGATGCCTGGAATTGCTATATGCGTATGTTTTGTTGCGCTATGAAACAATTCCTCTCTTACGGTGAAGCACAAACCATAGTAGCTGTTTCTTCTAGACCAAGCAAGAATGAAGACGTCGAATTCACAAGCATATTGGCTCGCATTAGCTGTATTCTGGATGCATTGATTCAACTAGTCGAACAGGAACAGCAGCAGGAGAAGGAGAAGGAGGGCAATGCACGTCAAGACTGGATGCCCCGTACTATCCATCAAGAACTCTTGGATACATTGTCAGTCCTATTGAAAATGGGCATTTACTATATTTACAGACACCCGGATTTCGTGCCTGTAGTCAACAACTTTAACGACCTACCACCGCATACACCATCCAAGACAAGCAGAGTCAATGGTTTCAACGACATCCTAGCCAAGTCGTGGGTGCTGCACTCTCATCTGATGCTCCACATGGTCAAGATGAACAAGGACTCCGTGCCTGAAGATACCATGGTGGTATGGGCTGAGGTATTGAAGGACTTGCACTATGAGTTGGGTGAAAGAGAAATATGCGGCTCAGGCAAGTCTATCCTTTTGCAACACATGAGAGCAGTGTTCCGTCAACTGGATGGCCCTGTCTTCAGACTGGAGTTTTACCAATGTTATGTTTGTCTGTATGGCGTCGAACATATTCCTATAAGTGGGGTGGAGGAGCATCACTCTGTGCATAGCCATCTGGACCAAAAGGCGGCTGAACCGCTCTTTACGCTCATTGCAGATGAAGCCATTGAGAAACTGCAAGGAGGCCTACTGCTCAAGAACGATCTCAAAGGCGTGGTCGAGACCGTTTCAAGATTATTTGAGGAGCTGGATACAAAGCAGCATGTCCAAGTGAGAAACAACAAGAAAATCATTGAGGACTACCTCGACAGCCCAATTGAACTGCACTCATCCTTTGACATGATGCTCAGAGCAGCGATTATACCAGCAGTTGATATTGATCCAAAAAAGACAGACATATCATCCGTGTTCTTCAAGATATTTTACATTCGTGGCAAGACAATTCGACTGCAAGTCAGGAACAGAAGCAAGAGTTCAAACGACAGAAGCATGGCTGACTTGGAGGAGGCTGTGGAGGAGCTGACTGTAAGTTGGACGCTGCTGCTTTTATAGGACCAAACGAGCTTACAAAACCTATGTATAGTCGCACGTTATTTTGAATCCAAATGATGCTGACGGTTGGTGCGAGCTTGGCTTTACCTACCAACTGCTCGCTACAGAAGAGCTAAACTGGAGTGCAAGCAACATTCTTGACCACAAAGACCAGATCACAGAGTACCAAAAGGTAAGCTGACGCATGCGCGCTGTGTTTGTGTCCCCCCCCCCCATTGCTTACACTGTAGAAAACAGAAATCATTTCATGCATTTGCACGGGGTCTTTACTTACGTGGCTTGCCCTTGACGGATGCAGCAAAGAACGAGCTGTTCTTTGGATTTGGTTGTCTGGTTTATTCTATCGCATCGCGTCCTATGAACATGGAAGCATTTAAGGCGACTCGCAGCAAAAAGAAGACACTGGGTCCTGATGGCCAGCTAGTCAATGCACAGACGAAAACGCCCTCCTTGCACTCTGCCTACAAGCTTGCCATGCGACTCTTTGGCCATGCAATCAAGTACAAGACAGCGGATAAATACGAGTGGAGGTCAGTGGATGCAATGACGCAGTGTTGGTTTGTTTAACCGTTGTTACAATAATAGCTCTTATTACATGGTTGGCAAATGTTGTGCTAAACTTGACAGACCACCCACGGTAAAAATAGCTCCTATGAATTGCCTATTATATACATCTACTAACAATCCATCATAGGAGGTACTTGATTGGTACCTGCAGGCTATTCGCAGAACAAAACTCAAGAACGGAAGACATGAACATGTACTGGAACCTATTTATAACTTTTGCTCTGCTCTGGTTAAATTCTTGTACCAAGGAAAGATCGATGCTAATACTGTACTCGAATTTTTGAACAAGGAACAGTTACTGCAACAGGCGTCATCGTTGAAGCAACAACAACAACAAGGAGAGAAGGATCCAGATGTGGTTTTTATGGGCAGCAGTGCTGATAATATGGCTGTAGTGCCGCCTCAGGAACAGCAACAACAGCGACCCGCACCCAGCACCTCCGCAACAGATAGGGTTTTGAATGAACTGGCCATATTCTCAGGATACCTACCCGTCGATACGGCCAATGCCTACAATTCCATCTTTAAACGTCTTGTTGAAATCAGAGCAGCGGACAGCAAAGGACTGCATCATCGTGTTATTTATAGAGTAAGTCAAGCACAAAACGAGGTTGGATGAGATGGCTAACATGTGTTTATTAGATGGCTTGGATGTACTATCATGTGTACCATCAGACTGAGGAGGCCAAATCCACTTTGCTGCAGCTGTTCTCGCTCAAGGGAAATAGCAAGCACCATGCCAACATCTGGAAGCACGGGTTTGAATTGTAGGTTTCTATGTCGAGCCTTGTGAGGCACTTTGTTTCATCACGAGACACATTCATGCACACGTGTACTGATACACCTCTTTGTAGGCCTGCAAAGCATTATGTGTTTGTAAAGAAATACACGTTATTTCTGATTGAACTGGCAAGAGAATCGAATGATGCTCAGACATTGAAAAACTTGTACCGCAAACTCAAAAAGGCCAAGCAAGTGCTTATGAATGAAAAGCAGGTCTTTCGCAGCGCCTATCGTGCCTTCTTGGAGGTAAAGTTTTCCTTTTGGTCGAATGACTGCAGGATTAGTAATGGATCCGTATCCCAAAATAGATTATCAAGGTTCATCTGATCAGTCTCCACCACTCAGAGAGTATTTTGGAAAGAATCAGGCATTCTCGCCTAGACAAGCTTAACTTTGAGGCAATCTGCAGCACTTGTGTGAGATCCCTCAGTGAAGATAAATCATTAACCGATCCCGAGCTGTATGCATTGATACAGGATTTGGCTGAATTGAGACGATTAACGCAAGGCTTTATATCAGTAACGGATTCCGATAGTGATGGCCTGGATGATGCGATACAAATGTGCTTTGCAGTGGTAGCATTTAGTGGAGAACACACGCAAGAGAGGCTTTCAGAGGGTAGCAACGAGGATGAAAACAACGGCAAGATACTGCTCGAAACACTCTCCACACAGGCAAAGATACTAATGCAAAACACAACCACCACTTCCAAGGTAGCTTAGACATCAGGGAGCTGAAAAGGAAAAATAGAAATAAAAACCTTAATTGACCCTTGGATATCACTTACGCATCCTTGGCATTGATTTGATCAGCAAGATGGAACCTTTTCCTGATCGGCCAGTCCATTCCCCAAGTATGGTAACTGAAAAGTAGAGGTTTCATGAGTGAATAATGACAACATTATGGCACTCAACAAGAATCCAGTAACATGGATTCAATTGGGATCCATCCCGAGCCTCACAGTATTTATAGTTGATTTTGATATCTATTTGGGCATGTCTAAATTGCAGACATATACGCATCACTTTTTAGTGTTAGGCATGGATGGTGCCATTGTACATTTGATTTGTTTGGCGTACATGGCACACAATGATCCCACCTACACTGATCTGTTGACTTGGATAGGCCAAGTTTTATAGCGCTTAAAAGATGGTACAATGTCAAATGTTGCTTATTAGACACTCTTCAGGGATATGTCTAATTTTGAGTTTACTCAACGATTTTGATTTTTTGGGTCAAATCCACCTAAACCAGGGGGGGGGAGAGGGCAATACATAATACAGATACCTGCATACATAATACACACATCCAGATGTTATGACAGTTACACCAAACAGCAGACGCTTGGACCATGTATGACAGTTACAAGACGCATCATGTTGTAATCCCGCATTTTCTATTCGTCGCACAGAGACAGGCCATGTTTTGCTTCTATTTAAACACTCCTTTTTTCTATTTTACATCCGTACCAAAAAAAAAACATATCAGGTTCTATTTTTGGATCGGAGCACAGCCTGTGGTTTGATAGTTTGCTTGTCAAAAACAAATTTCCCTATATAAATCGTGCCCAATGTTGGTCCATGTTTCCCTTTTTTTTTTCTTCTTCTTCTTCTTGTGTACCTTATTCAAATCATCTATTCCAGAAATGAAATTCACTCTCTTTACGCTTGCAACTTGCATGCTTATTTCGGCTCAAGCTGCTTCAGTGACATTCAATGTGGTATCTCCCAATGCTAAACAGGTCCAGGTCAAGGTCAATGGTGTGACGACGACACTCAAAGCGCCTATTCCCAATGTCCCCTTCTTCAATGGCACCGTCAATGTTGGCTCTGCGTCTACCTACTCGTATGTCTCGGATAGCAAGGTGGAAAGCTTTGATCGTAATCTACCAAAGAATCGCAGCTCGACATTCAATGATTTCTATGCCCGTCCTATCACTGTTGCAGATATCCCTGTTCTCCCTCGTCCCTTGGATAACGGCAAGGAGTGGACTCGTGCATATCAAGATCCAGATCTTTTTGATACCAACTATATTCCCAGCATCTTTGTTACAGGCGACAGTCAAGATATGAACACACTGATCAAAGATACACCCAAGGATCGGTACACTGTAGATCTTGCTATTGTGGCCAGAGACTATGTTCAGACCTTTACCAATGTTTCACTCAGTATCTCTGGCGCTGGCAAGAAGAACAATCCCGCCAAACAATCTTGGAGATGGACTCTTTCACCAGGTGATTACATCAATGAACGTAACAATTTCAAGATTCGCCATATGGAAGAGGATCCCACTCAAATGCGTGAAAAGCTGTATGCGGATTGTCTTCGCGCTATGGGTACTTATGCCAATCAAGCGAATATGGTGCGTTACTTTATCAATGGCCGTGGGTTTGGTACATTCAACATGCTGGACGACGTCAAGGATTACTCCTACATTCGCTCTGTCTTTTACAATGGCAACCCTCCCAAGCAAATGGGTCCTTTGTTTGATGGTTCTACTGGTGCTGGTTTCCAATACATTGAAGACCCCTATGGTTACGGAAGCTTCAAGCCCACTGTCGGTTCTCCTGAAGGATCAGAAGCTATTTATCCATTGGCCAAGGCTTTCCATCAACTCGATGTCAAGAACGACGATGATATCAAGGACTTTGAAGAGATGTTTGATGTGGATCAATTCCTGCGTTTCATGGTGATGGAGTATCTGGGTGGTAGTTGGGATGGTTATTGGGCAATGCAAACCAATGACGGTGCTTACAAGGACTATGCAAACAACAACACATGGTATTATCTCGGTCAAGACTACGACGGTACCTTTGGTGTCAACTTGCCCGTAGATCCTCTCAACTGGACGTATCAAAAGTACATTGCCAACTACACGGGTGCTGTCTTGATCAATGGTTTTTTGCAAAATCAAAAGCTGGCCGATACATTTGAAGGTTATATTCAAGATACCGTCAAGCAACTGTTCAACAATGATACCCTTGGTAAACATATTATGGCTTACCGTGAATTTATTGCTCCTGATATCAAGTGGGATCGTTCCATCAAGCAATTGTCACCTGGCATCAACTATGGCTGGAATTATGACCAATCTTATGACAATCTGTTTGAGGGAGTTGATGCGCCTAATCACAATGGCGGTGGTGCTGAATATGGCCTTACTGAATGGATTGCAAAGAAGTCCAAAGTAGTTGCTAAGACTTTCAAGTTTTCTTTGTAATTATGTGTAGTATCTACTGATACTCTTTTGATTTTTTATATATCGTAATATCCTCTTTATTCCCCTTTACTTTCCTTAACTTAAACGTAGACCACCATGGTATAAATGTAATAAAATTATAACTGAATAATTAATACAAAGTATCACTGTTTGATTTATAAAAGAAGCATGGTTTATGCAAATAATGAGTTGTGCTATTTTAGCCATGGAAAGTTTCGATCTCATTATCAAATCATCTATATCATATCTATCAGACCCTTCCATGCATGATATGCACATATTAAGTGTTAATCTTGTGATGATAGAGTTATCCTTACATGTATGTTTGCTTTGCAGTCATGATGCTGCTTAACTTGCAGCAATCCATGGCTTCAGCGATCATCCACAGAGATAGCTAACTTGGTTGGCCTGCGCTTTCCACACTGCTTAATTCTGTCATTTTCAACATCAATTCCAGTCCTGAAAAGATCTTCTAGAGGAAAAAAAGAAGCGCATCGCAATTTCTTTCCAATATTATCCACCAACACCTCTTATCAGTCAGTTCTGGTAAATCCTTACAGACTTAACCGAGGTGATAGGCCACGGAAAGCGGTATATCTCCAAGAGAACAGAGAATTGGTGAGTCCAACCGCTTCTTAAACATGCAGCGCCATTCACTTGGATGCGCCATATGTCGAAAAGTAATCAAAACTTGATATGCTGACGAGGAACGATCTGGCAATTGATTTCACCAATGCAACCACAAAGCCAATGCTGTCTCCATGAAAAGGGTTACAACACACATTACAGTACGCAACTCAGGGAATCAAAAATATCGCGGTCCCTCGGATGATGACTCCAGCCTGTTTGGGGGGGGGGGCTCGTTTCCAATCGAAGCGTCATAACGTGCTGTGTAGGTACCCAATGTTATAGTGGTGATTTGAGTCACTAAAAGTCGTATTTTTCAAGCTACCATAAGGAATGGTGGCGACAGGAGAATCTGGCATGCGAAATACACTTTGTAGGTGTGGTTGTATCTCTACATTAGGCAGCAGGGAGATCCCCAAGATTGCGTTGACAAAGAGGCATGCTGCGACTTTGAAAGGTTGCTATATGCATTGGATGCAATCTGTGGTTGGTGCCTCGAGAAATCAACATTGGTTCATATCTTGATCTTAAACAACTGCCTTGGGAGATTGCTTCGCTAATTCCTTGGGAGACTGGCCACTGTTCTTAAAACCCGATATCGAGAACGTAGTTATTGATAAACAGGAGCTACATGAACAAATATGCAAAGCTGAGGAGGCCTTTCTAGCCAGATACAACTATCCTGAATGCATCCTATATCACATTAGTAAATAAATACCCCTTTTATCAGTCTCAGTCATATAAAGTGGCTCCTGTTGGCCTTCTATCTGTTTGCTATGCATAGCTTCAAGACACACTTTAGCTAGTCATGAGGATTAGGCAAAGGCAATGTTTATTGTAGCAATGGCTCAAAATGTCGTTACTTGCTCTTTTTGCTCTTCTTTTGCTTTTTACGCCAGTTGTCGACAATGCTTTGCACTCTTTTACTAGAATGTCTGTTGCCTTGACCAGCAGCACCGCCTGAAGAAACGGTTCCTGTCACTCCAAAAAAGGATCCAATGGTTGTTTGCTCCCCCGTGGACTAAAAAACACACGATTAGTCGTGGTGCAAAGGGTACAGCATGTGTGTATGGAAGACTTACTTTGCGACTATTCATTTCACGCAACACGGGTAACAGCACTTGATCTGCCTTGTCTTCTGACCATCCAAAAGCTTCTGTCAAAAATATACGAAGGGAGTCTAATTGAGGTTGTCCCCACTCAAACTTTTGAGCAGAGTCGTCCACAGTTGGATGATAATAGGCTGCGATCACCAAGGGGTTTGGGAAATCGTCTGGTATATCCAATGCATCATGTCTCTTTCTCTATTCAATAGGTTAGTCAAGCAGGGCAATAAGTCAAGATTTACTGCTACTTACAAATTTTCTCTGGAAAGGTGTCTCGTCTACGCCCTTGTTATACCACTCCTTGAATCTCTTCAAAGGCGCCTCCAGTGGTTCTTCCTCTTCCTCTTGGCCATCATCTTCACCTTCTTTTGTTCCCGAGAATTCAGACAAGATCTCCATAGCAGCGACTGGGCCCACGCCAGGAATGCCTTCTGTATAATCACTTCCAAGTAAAAAGGCCAGCTGGATCAGTTTCTTTCTTGTGAGCAGCATCTCTCTTTCAACATCCTGTGCTAGGTAACACTCCACATAACGCTGCTGATTAAACATGTTCTTGTACACACGAGAGGCACCAAACAAAAACACATCAGAGTCATCTGTCACCGTGCCATCTACAAGCTTCAAAGCCTCTAATGTTGCGCACTGAGCTTCAGCTTCCATAGGCGATACCAAATACGGGATACCAAAAAGTTTGAGTAGCTCCTGGATGTCTCGCACCATCTGATCTGTAATGTCATCTGAATTGCCCAATTCTTTTCGCTGCTGCTTGTTCAATTCTTTCAGGTCTTTGTACAGTTCAGTGCGAACATCCTCTAATTTCTTAGATGCAATGTCAGACACGAAACGTGCGTATTCGTCTTCTTCTCCCCGAACATCTGGAACCTCGTCCTCTGAGTTATAGCCATGATCCACTAGATTCGCACTTGCTGCTGCTTCCAAATGAGCATCTTTTCCTGCAACCGGATCATTCAATGCAGCTTCATCGTTAATAGGTTCTGCGTGTGGTATTAGCGGGGCAGCACTACTTTGACTGGGTGAGTGTTGGCTAAGAGGCTCAATGCTATCGTTTGGAGGTGACGCTATGTTGTTCACTTTTTCTACATTGTTTGTTGTGTTGTTATTATTTACAGACTCCACATGGGTATCAGGGGCAGTTGAGTACAATGATGATTGCAGTATGTCTAGATGCACATAATTTGATGCAGTGCGTGCTTCATCGTCTGTGGATGCATCGTCCTTGGTAGTTGAGGCATCTACAAATTGAATATCGTCTTCGTCGTTATCGTCCAGTATGATATTTTTGTCGGTTGTAGGATACAAAGGGGGTGAATGAATAGCAGCTTGTTGTGTAGCGCCTCGTTGCTCTCTCCATCGACACGTTGATTCTAAGAATGCCTCTTGAAACTTCAAGGCCTCCAATGTTAATTCGTCACCTTCATTTGTTTTTCCAAACTGCCTGCGAACAGATTGAAGATCTCTGTTTAGCTGATCCAAGTTTGGTTCGTCTATGGCTTTCTTCAAAATGGCCTTGTATTCGTCATTGAATGAATGTAGGTACAGAAATGCATCAGGCACCCGAGATAACCACAGCTTGTAGAAATCATCTGTACTCAATGAAAGAATGGCACCACCATCCTCTTGGTCAGCGTCTCCAACTTCCTCAAATGAGTCTTGCGGCAAGTTATCTGTGTCATAGATGCGGGATATCACCTGGTTCATTGCAGCATCGTCGTCATCATCATCAACCACGTATGCTCTCATGTCGTTCACAATGTCGCTGCTGCTGGTCGTATCGTTATTCTCAAACAAGGGTTTGTCATCTTCAAGCTTCTCAGGGAGAACGTCCTCCATTTCCTCTTCCTCTTCCTCCTCCTCCTCCTCCTCATCATCATCATCATCACTGAGTAAACCGTCAAACAACGCTGCTAATTTGGGGTTGGCTGCCATGGCTGCAGCAACTTTGTCTGTTGGCTCTTCATCTGCTGGTTTGAAATCACTAAATCGAGACATGAGACCAAAGCTGTCTATCTGCGCATCAAATCACAACAAACCTTCCATCAGGCACTTCTAATTTCGGTTCAGGTCTGGTTGTATCCGCTGTGGCAGTAGGATCTAAAATGACGGGCTCTGCAGCGCTTAATCCAGGTAACTTCCAGCCCAAACCTTGACTGATATCCTCGTTCTTATACAGCATATATTGTCTGCCTCGTTCTCCTGCTACTCGAGTAGACTCGATTTTCGTGCCGCTGGAAGCGTTGTTAGCCTGCATCAATCGCTGCGACATTTTGTTTCGATGCTTCAGTAACTTGATCTGTTGTTTCGAAAAATCCAAAGCTGTTTTTGATCCGCGGACCATCTCATCTAATCGAGCCCAAGAGGTTGATCTAGATTTCCACATCATATCTTGAATCACTTCATACTGCACTTCAGGTGGCAGGGCAAAAAAAGCCTCCGAATCAATGTCGAGTTCGTTGGGATCAAATTCATTCACAAAATCTCTGATTTCTTCATGTGTCGATAATCGTGGGTCTAGTTTGTTGGTGCGGTTTTCAATGCTGTCGACTTCAGGCAGCTCAAACTGGTCCAATTTTCGCTTCTTTGACAGCACATCCTTGGCTGCATCATAGTATATGTATTCCTGGTCTTTGGAAGTTGCATGATCTCCACCATGTAACCTGATACAATGTCCATTAGTATCCCATAACGTCTACGGTGATGGAAATGCCCTACTTTTGCTCCTCCTGGTATAAAACCCGAGATTTCACCTGTGCGCTCAAAATTTTCTTTGCAGTGACCTTAAGATTTTCTTTGACACCTTCTCTTCTCTTTCGTCTCTCTCTCTATGTGGAGTTAGATCAATTGGCGTCATTGGATCCACCTGGAAACTTACAATAGTGCTTCTTTTAAGTGTTGGTGCGCCACCATCAAACACGAACACAGGCTTTATGTCAAAGAACAGCAGTTTGCAGATACGTCGAAAGAAGCCCATCAGATGGCCATTTCGCAGAGCATTTCCTTCTTTATCGCGCATGGTTCGCATGAATTGGTGAATCCAAATGGATGCATCCACTGCAACTCGCTTTTGTCGCATGGACTCTAATTGCGTTGGTCTTGCTGCTGGGCCAACTAAAGACCAAAGACCCTGAACACCCATAATCCAAGAAGAGTATAAAAAGCGAAAGAAAGACAAGTCTCCAGTCAACTGCGTAGCAAAACGATTTTATATTTCAACTGCGGATTTATTAATGCAATTTTGGGACAACACAGCATGAAGCCATGTTTATATGATTTGAGGTGCCGCCAGTATGAAAAGGTGAATGATGAGATGCGATATTAGAAAAGCAAAACGAATAAATAAGGTGTCTTTCAAGAGAGAAAGCACTGGATCAGATCCAAAAATAAATAAAAGAAGACAAGTTGGTCAAGGTGTTTACAAGCTGTCAGAGAAACGATGGTAGAGCGACAATCCAACAGCAAAAGTGGCCATGCCAGTAGCAAATCCAACAAGCCAGTCAGCGTTGGGCAGGAAAGCGTGCTTCGTTTCACCAGTAGTGCCAAGCGCGGAATCGATGGATTCAACATCGTCGTAGTCTACAGTGGGGTGCAACTGCTTGCTGTCAGAAAGAGCCTGGATCTCATCAAACAAAGCAATGTTTAATTCGAAAGAATAGATCGCCTCAGCAACAATCAAATCTACATTCAAGTTAGGTAATGGCGATTCAAAGCATTACACACGGTTTAGTTTACCTTTGGTGTATTGGGTTACAGGCGATTCATCTAAACGTTGGCGGTAGAGGTTTTTGAATTCATTGGGGCTACGAATATGATTGAAGTTGTAAAACTCAAGACCATGATAGGAATCCCAGCTTGCGTCAGTGACATCTCTCTTGAGCACATGCTTCTTTAAACGTTTAGCCAAAATCTGACCACCACTGAGATCACCCAGGTAACGCGAATAGCTATGGGCTATCAGGAGAGCGGGGTTCTTTTCAGCGGCATCTTTCAAAGCATTGACATAAGTCTTGACAGCAGGAGTGATATTCTTGAAATCAGTCAGTTCAGCAACACGGTCTTTACCATAGTAATATTCAAGATCTAATGATATTGGCTCGTTAATAAAGTGGAGTCTTGAAATACTTGTTGTGTGTCTTGGTTTTTTTTTTTTACCTTTCATCAGAGACTTTTCACGAGTAAGCTCGTATGGGAAATAGACCAGCTTGATGAGTGGGTTATCCTTGTGTTGAGCCAACAAATCTTCCATTGTTCTACATGGAGCCATGAGTTATCTATCTCTGAATTGCGCCATACTTTAGGTTCTTACTTGTATACAAAGTACAACGAGTTGATGTATCTGCCGTACTCATCAATGCTGATGGTGCCGCTCATGAAGCGCCTAAGCATGGGCTTTATTAGCATATCCCTTACAACAAAATTCAATGTGTACATACTTTGTAAAGACACTATTTTCAGCAGCACTGTGAATAACCTTGGTGCCTTCCTTCATAGCCATAGCAAGCTGAGGATCAGAAAGAAAATCTTGACTCTTCTTTGATTTGGTTTCGGGCAAGTAATGATTCAAGTTGCTGATCTTGACCTCTATATTGAGTTGCTTTAATAACTTGAGCTTGATAGGAACGCAAATGTACATATTTACCATGTGTGATGGGATGATCAACATATGACTGAGTCATCATATCCTTAATGTCGTCCTTGGCCTTTGATGCAAAGGGGCAGCCACCTAAAAAGTCGACGTTGGGTATCTAAACTACAATTTTCTGGTTCAAATTCATCAGTACCTTCATTTCTGGTAGTGGGACTGATGAGCGATACAAAAAAGTGAAGTTTTAGTGAGTATTGGATGTCAGAAAGATCTTGGAATTGATGAAATTACCGATTTTCGACTGCGGAAGCCAAGCTAGTATGCTGGGGCTCTTGATCTACAAGAGTAAGAGGACAGGCATCTTGGGTCTTGTTGACAGAGGAAGCAGGGCAGGTAGTAGGAGCACTCATGATGGATAAACAAATAGATATGCAAGAGATGGGAAACAACTTTTTATCAGATCTTTTTCCCTAGGCTCTATTTATAAACAAACTCTTTCGTGACAGTGAATCTGATAAACTCGCATATCATCATTAGACCCCCCTGTGGTATAAAATTTGAGTGATTTTGGTTTTATTGACCCCCATTTTTTGTCTGTATCAAATTAAGGCCCATCTCCGCTGTGAATTATGTATCATGCGCTGTGAACATTTGGATTCTTCTTTATATTCATCCCCGCAATCATCCGATTAACAGAATACTTCGTAACCATATGGTTGTTTTGCCTTACATGCAGCTTTGATTCCAAGATAAAAATGGCCTGTTGTTGTTGGTCTGTTTCAAACAATGAATAGTATCAAAGGTGGTTTGGCCCTGATGAAGAGATCTGATAGTTATCAATACTCTAATTGGTCTTTTTTGAGCTGACTGAATTTCAAGTAAGCATCCTTCTTATTGTTCCATTTAATGTATTTTTTTCTTTTCACAAAGCACTGGATGCACAAAAATGCTATATTACGAAGGCGCTTATCATTGATTCTACCATAATAGGGCAAAAGAACGAATCAAACTATGATAGATACGATTTTAATCTAAATCATTTTTTTCAGCCTTATCAGATTTTCATGCATTTGCTGATGACGATGGTTTCAATGATCTCTAGATCTTTTTTTATCAGATTGATTTCCTAAGCGTATTTATTATCAGCGACCAATCAAAATAGGACCAATCGAATGTCTAATATTATTGAAATATTGGTCATGGAATAGTACAATGGATTTGTACAAACATGGCAATGGAGTGCGGCTTGTAGTACCCTGTACTCATTTCATTGTATGTTTCTTGCACTCTTTTGTAGCACCACGAGACTTTTGTAGAGGAGCTGTATGACTATTATATCATCAAAATGGGGATAAATGTTGCTCTAGGATAGAAAGCTCATGCTATATTATCTTTGTTATGCTAAATAAAAAGAAATCGTCTCAGCTACTGTTCCTGATTGCGTCCTATTACATGATTGAAATAAAATCGTATGTTACTGCCCTGACTATACGTACTTGATGTTGGTTTTTTCATTGCGTTTTCTTGATTAAGGAACTAATATTTTATCCGTAGTAAACCGAAGTTGCTATAGGCACATCCATGTCATACCCTTTCTTGCTGTTTGATTTGCGCGTAAAGTCACATTTGACATATGAAATGTCTCAAAGAAGCATTGCCTTGACAGCCCATTCTTATCAGAATGATCTAAAGATGAATCACAACTCCAAAATATGTTTCCATCTGAGAACAATGCAAAATACGGCTCTATAAACCCAAAAATGCAAGTGTGAAATCAAATTAAACGTACAAAATGCTTCAAAAGACTTGCTGCAACAAGCAATTGGATATTTACTCTCTTCCTGTTTTGATAGAATTGCAAAACTCTGATTTATAATTCAGAGAACGAAATTTTGTAGCTTCATTAGCAAATTAGCAATCTGTAAATACGCAGAATTCAACGTTGATTAATGATTCTTACATGTATAGCATCAGACGACGATTTCAGGTTAACACGGCATTTAAATGATCCATTTCAATACATGCACATACGAACAATTGACTTTTGTATTAAATACGAGTGTTTACGCTTCGGATGGCTCTCTACCTTTGCTTCGCTCAGAGAGAACCAACCTGCGCAGCGGCAGCGCACGCTACCGATTGCCATTGCGTATCTTATCAAAATACTGCTACTTTCATGTTGATCCTCCACTTACACATGAAAACCCTTTATATTATATATGTGGATCTGATTCTTATGTGATGCTCTGCATCCATATACACGTAGCTATTTCATATACGGGCAAGTATCATACAGATATTATCTCTTTTTAGTCAAGAATGTGCGTAATATAGCAAAATCTTAATGTATTTGAGCCGCGTTTCCTCGCCTTCAAGGCCATTTTAGTTCTTCAGAATAGCACCAAACAAATGCTCTCATCTAACACTTACTTCCTGACACCTTTGCTCTACTTTTTGGGGACCTAAAAAATATGGCCAAAAATCGACCAAAAAGCATGAGGAACCTCTCATGGTTTTCGTCGAAAATCAAACGATCGCGTTTTTCGCCTTGAAAATAAAGACTTTTATTATGGTATGTATTGAATCAAAATGTTTCTATCGATCTAACGCAAGTCCTGAAAGCATCTTTGTTGTTGAGTCTGTAGCGGTTGCGGACATTCAGTAACTCAGCAAGAGTCGGATCATGATTTACATTGTTTCTCACTGTCTACATTAGGACATTAGGTTCGACACAGAAGTGAATCATATAATCGATTATGATGGTCTCTGATAGTGAAGGATAATGATGGCTACAGATCGTATCATCATGGCTGATTGAACGAATCAGATCCTTCAATTGACTGATATTAGATAAACATGATACGATGTATTGACTCAGTTGAAACAACAAGATAGATTGATGATTCATCAGTAATGATCTCTTATAAATAGGATGTGTTTGAATCAGTTAATAAATCAGAAGTTTTCGTATCTGGTTACTTTTTATAGTCTTCCTTTTTTGAAATCTATCTTAATTTGTTAATACTGTATCTTTGAATACAACATTTGTGGGATCTTGATATGTAAAATTTCGACATTTTGGCCAGAAACCTCTTTTCATATTTTCATAGATTGCTCAATAAGTTTATTCAAAAAATTTACGTTACTTGGTACCATTGGATGTGCCTTGAAAAGCACTTCAAGAAAGCTTAAAGACGCATAGGATGATCATCATATTTTATATAGTCGAATCTGGTAAAATAGTTTGATCAAGTCGATAATCATCAGAATTTGTCCAATCTAGAATAGACTGAATGTCTGAGTTGCAATAAATTTTGGCTTGTGGGGTACGCTGGCAAACTCAATACCCTTTCAATCATGAAGGCAACACAGTAATAGATGCTTTTGAAACGTATGGAAGGTAGATAGCAAATTACAAAGTACTGTTTTTAGCCATTCTATTCTCTTTACATTCCATATTTAATAACACCAGTCTATCAAAATACTTGATAGGTCAATTTTTTTCCTTTTTGATGCTTTGAAAGTGCCTAGTAGGGACCATAAATTTACTACGTTACGATAAGCAATTCGACTCTTCAGTTGGTTTTCTGGCCTACGCTTCGCTTTGGTGAGAGCCAAGCTACAATCAGGTAGACCGCGCTGCGACAGATATTTGGCCAATATTGCAAAATTAATAATAGCTAAAATGTTAGAAGAAACTTGATTGTTGATTGAGAGTAATTTATAAGATCTCTAATCATATATGAACCATGCCTGACAAAATACCAGGCAACTCAGTTTTCCTGTTAGGGCCGTAAAAGTGCCTAGGAGCTATAAATTTATCATGTTATGATATTCTATCACATTGCAAAGATTGCCCTGCCTGTACGTTCCTAGCATGGCTCTAACACAGATCGCATTCTGGCAAAGTCTGATTTAGCCTAGCAGCATGTCAAAGCTTTCTTAATACAGATCAAGAGATGCTTTCATATTCATGAGGACAGTCGATGCATCTACTGCATGTTTTTAACTTGTTTCCAAGATTGGGAGAGTTCTGTAGTGTTTGAGTTTGTTAACCAATGCCAAACCATGCTCAAGATTTCCCATTGTTTCCAAGATTCATTATTGATCTCTTTGAACTCAAACCTTTAGGAATTTTGAAGTAAATGGAATATCAGCCACTGTTAAACTCCAATCTACAGGTTAGATATACCAAACTTTCTAGAATTTGTTCATAAAGATGTTCCGCATGTTAGATCCTTACTATCATCGCCTTGTCTATGAGATATCAAGCAATAGACTCAATATATTACAAGACTTATTTTTACTGAGGTTATGAACACATCTTGCCAACTGCATTCGAGCACTGCTGTAGCTGTGGTAATTTCTGCGTACTTAGTTGTACAATGTCACATGAGTTGCACGTTTCTCCAGAAACATAAATAGCATTGTACGAGCCTGCTCTTGACAGTAATGAGCGTGCCTGAGTTTATTTGAATGGGAATCTATATCTTAAGCACGAAAAATACCGAAAATACTGCCTATTCAAAATCGGCTGATTAATTCAGTGATATCCTAGTAAACGCCAGGGGGGAATCAACCAGTGGTCTACCTATTAATATATACCTGACGCTGCTGCAAGTGACAAGGATCGCCCTAGTTGATATTTCATACAACTTTAAGTGTATCAATATATTTTAAGCTTTACATCTGGAACATGTATCTTTGTTGTTATTTAAAGGATCTAGCAGATATCAAAGCTCTTGAATCAGTCGAATAGTGCTCGCTTTGAATTGATTTTGATTATAGACTAATAAAATGTTTTAAACTTTTTATATTAGGCATGTATCGTTCATCCGGATTACGGATATGTAACATTAATCAAACCCTATTACACACATTGTAGATTATCTTGATGGGACATTTACATTGATGTATATGTAGACAATGGCATATGTAAATATGTCACATCTAAGAGGGCTGTTGTAAGGAATTTGTCTTGGTATGTAGTGGTTATCTTTCTTTCGAATTTACCCCTGTTCCCCACACTGCTAACATGCTCAATATGCTCTTACTACCTGCCTAATTTGTGTTCACTCTTTTGATGCGCAAACAGAGAAACACCGGGTCTCGGGCTTCATGTGGGCCACTAATAATTTCACTGAGGTCGAATTCATGCTCAAAAATTTTGAAATTAAATAAACTCAAGATCTTTGCTCTGTCGTCTTTCTCATCTCTTTCCTTATCCTTGCTCGCATTTGCATCAAGATGGCTCGAAATGAATCATCGCCATTATTAAATAATAATGGCAACAGCTCAAATTACAGGTCAAATGTCGGTGATGCCAACAGTGGAAGCAGTGACGAAGTGATCACCATCCTGACATCTAATCCACCCAGTCTGAAATACACAACATCCAATGGAGATGACACTACATCGGTGAATAATGCAGATGACCTACTGAAAGAAAGACTAAAAGGGTCCTCAGTGTTTGCTATTTTCTTTGGGTAAAATGTATAGAAATCACTTCAACGATCTTTGTATTGACACTGTGCTTGTAGCTTGTACATTGCTGTTGTTCTGTCTTCTTTAGATTCTTCTATTGTAGCTACAATTTACCCACAAATAGGCACTGAGTTCAAAAGGTAAAATGCTACTATCAGTTCTGGGATTTCAGACGATTTAACCTTGTCTTGCTCAGATCAAACGAAATTGTGTGGATTGCAACATCATACATGTTGAGTTATACAGCATTACAGCCATTATGTAAGTGAAAGTAGATGAGGTGAGGTCAAGCACTAGTAGTAATCATAAACAGATGGCCGTATTTCGGATGTGTTTGGTCGCAAGTCAGCATTACTATTTGCTAGCACTGTATTTTTCATTGGGTCTTTTCTGTGCGGTGCTGCAACCAATTTATGGGCATTGGTCATTGCTCGTGCAATTGCAGGTGTAGGAGGCGGAGGAATCAACTGGTATAGTGATACAGCCAACTCAGACAGAGGGCAATACACATTGCTCACAGTTTAACAATCATACTGACTCAAATATATATATATATATATATATATGACATAGTATGACCACAGTCATCACATCAGATCTGATTCCTTTAAGAGAGCGAGGTAGATTTCAAAGCTACGGTAACATTGCTTATGCTGTAAGTACCCTTGATAATCTTTTCTGATTACTACTGAATTATTCCATGTGTAACACTTTAACTAAATCTTAAATTTTCTCATTTGTGTTGTGCAGGTTGGATCTGTGCTTGGTGCTCCATTGGGTGGTTTTATCACAGACTCGTTTGGGTGGCGTTTCTGCTTCTACATCAATTTGCCGCTCATGCTAATGACCATTTATGTCGCTACAAAGCTTTTGACAAACTATAATTTGGAAGAAAACCAAGATGGTGAAACCTTCCGTGAAAGGTTGAAGCGCATCGATTATGCAGGTGCAACCACAATTGTATTAGCCGTCATCGGGTTCCTAATTGCCACTTCTTTGGGCGGTAACATCAAGCCCTGGAGTGATCCTCTCGTACTGGGTTGCTTTGCAAGCTCAATCGTTCTTGCTCTGTTGTTCTGTGTCATCGAAGCCAAATATGCCCTTCACCCATTAATGCCTTGGGAGATTATATCCAGCCGCACTCCATTAGCCAGTTCATTGACAAACTTGTGGTGTGTTATGGCTACCACTGCTCTGATTTATATCACACCTCTTTACTTTCAAGCGCTTTTAGGTTTAACCCCATCCGTTGCTGGTCTTTACTTTTTACCTAAAGCAGCTTCTATCTCTATCGGCTCGGTCCTTGCTGGTATGTACATGTCAAGAACTGGTGAATATCGCAGGATTACCATTGGCTGGGCTGTATTATCAATGGTTTCCATGATAGGCTATACTGCTTGGACGCCACATACACCCAAAATCATCCTGCTGGCTTGTTTGACAGCTGATGGGCTTTCCATGGGCGGTATCATTACATGTACTTTAATCGCAATGCACTCTTGCGTGGAGCATTCGGGTAAGCACTCGGCACACGCTCTCACAACTGTATTAGTTTTTGACACTTCCATCTCGTAGAAATGGCAACAATCACGTCCATGTCCTACCTTTTCCGCTCTGTAGGCGGCGTCATTGGTATTTCTTTGACATCTGCTATCTTTCAAGGCATCGTCAAACATATTCTAGTAGAGAAAATCACTGGACCTAATGCTGACTTGGTAAGTCGAGTTGGATTTTGCTAAACATACTCTGGATTAACATCCCTTTTACTTTGATGCAGTATATTGAGATTGCTCGTAAATCAATGACCGAAGTCAGAGGTTTACTACCCCCTGATATCCTTGACATTGTGCTTGACGCATACAAGATAGGCCTTCGCTACACTTATGGATCCTGTGCATTGATTAGTTGTCTTACAGTCATCTGCTCTCTTTTCATTCAAAGTTTTGAGCTTGGTACTAAAATTACCGTTAATAAAAGAAAATAATTTCGAACAGCATCCTATATCACCATGAATAAACCTATATCATTATAACCTATCTTGCCATGCAGAGAAGATGCTCTTGATTGTGTATGGAAAAAGAAAGCCAAATAAATGGCGTGTATTTACACCATCCATATTCAGGGTCTTTTACAATAGGTATTATCCCTTGTTATTGTACGTATCCAAACTTCAATACATCGTTTAGAAGCGCTGGAAACACTATGTACAATGCATATATTAACATCCCAATGTTTATATAATGGAAGCTGATATGATGATTATGCATGTCCTATATAAACACTGAGATATCACTTTTCAGTATTCCACTATCGGCAAAAACAGCCTGTAACTACAAATCTGACTTTTTTTTTAGAACGATGAGAACAGATTACATACTGGCAGACAACATACTTGCATTGCCTCTTACTACCCAAAACTATGTAAAACACAGCGTAATTTGGATGCATTTGAGACGCGATTTCTCGGGTTCAAAACTGTTTTAGACCGCCAGAATAGCACCAAACGATCACTCTCAACCAGGGTTAACTTACTGTCAACTTTGTTCAACTTTTTCAGGATCGTCAAAAATCGACCAAAAACCATGAGGGATACCTCATGATTTTCATCAAAAATCAGACAATTGCATTTTTGACACCAAAAACGAAGATTTCTACTATAGCATATATCAAGTCAAATTGTTTGTCTCAATCCAAAGCAACCTCTGAAACTTTGTTTGCGAAACTTTCATATGTAAAATCTCAGCATTTTGGTCAAAAACCGCACTTCATATTTCCAGAAATTGCTCGATAACCTTGTTCAAAACATTTATCAAATGTAGTACCATCAGATGCACCTTGAAAAGTACTCCAAGAAAGCTTAAGGAAGTATAGAATAATTATCACATCTTACATAGTCGAACCTTGCAAAATAGATTTACAAAGTCGAATTTGGCCACGATGTGACCAATCTGGAACGAAAAAAAAAAAACACATCGGAGATTAAAATAATTGTTGGCTGTCGAAATGCCTTTCTCTTGAAGGCAATCGAAGTTTTTGAAGCTATCAAAATACTTGACGCAAGACCACCTTTCAATCAAAGATCAATGTCTATATACAGCTTTTTGAAATCCTGCTTATTATTCCTACAGTATCTGATCAAGTGGTAAATATCTCTCTATCTGGATATCAGCTCGCGATCAGATGATTATGTTAAATCATGTAGGCTGATGAGATAATCTGTTATCAGTGATCGTCTATTTTATCCATCTTGTTTTCCGTCAATCCAACAACCGCAATTGGTTCAATCTTTGATTCAACTAACACTACGTCTCTGAGATGTAAAGAGGAATTAAGCTTGGTGAGGTTTCATGCTGCAAAATGAATTGACATAAAAACCCCTCCGCGTTTACCCAAGTTTTTCTCTAAATTTCAACTCTTTCTCATATACACATCTTTGTTAACATGCCCCGTAATACAAGTCATCCTCATCTCTGGCTTCGTGCCGAAACTAAGCCTATGGAGCACCGTGCAGCATTAACGCCCGCTACTGCAAAGAAGCTTCTTGATGCAGGCTTTAAAATCACAGTTGAGAAATCCACGCAACGTATCTTTGATGACAAGGAATATGCAGAGTAACGTATTTGTTCGACTAAAGAAATGCAATATACTCATTTTCAATTTGATATAGTGTTGGCTGTACAATTGTTCCCTTTCAAAGCTGGAAAAGCAAGGCACCTACTGATGCTTATATAGTCGGCTTGAAGGAGCTTCCTGAAAATGACGATTCTCCTTTGCATCACACGCACATCTTCTTTGCTCATTGCTTCAAGAACCAAGGCGGCTGGAAGGAATTATTACATCGCTTCGAAGCAGGAAAGGGCACAGTTTTAGATCTCGAGTTCTTGAATGATAAGCAGGGTCGTCGTGTAGCTGCTTTTGGCTTTATGGCTGGTTTTGCAGGTGCAGCTGTCAGTTTAGATGTCTGGTGTCACCAAAAGACAAACCCCACGGAAACCTTTGGTGAATTGAAGCCCTTCCCTAATGAACAAGCTTTGATTGACTATGCCAAGAAGAGACTATCTGCTGCATTGCCGTTGAATGGTAACCGCTATCCTTCTTTGATGGTCATGGGGGCTCTTGGTCGTTGCGGCTCTGGTGCTGTTGACTTTGCTCGTAAGGCAGGTATTCCCGAGGAAAACATCATCAAGTGGGATATGCAAGAAACTAAGCGTGGAGGGCCTTTTCCTGAAATCATTGCTTCTGACATCTTTGTCAACTGCATCTATCTAAACAAAAAGATCCCACCTTTTATCACACAAGAGATGATTGATGGCCGCGACAGAAAACTATCTGTGATTTGCGATGTCAGTTGCGATACAACCAACCCTAATAATCCTATCCCTGTGTATAGCATCAATACAACATTTGATAAGCCCACTGTTCCCGTCAAGACAAGCAACCCTCGACCGCTGGACGTCATCTCCATAGACCATCTGCCTACTCTTCTGCCTCGCGAAAGCTCGGACATGTTCTCTCATGATCTGCTGCCAACGATGCTGACTCTAAGAACAAGAGATCAGTCTTCCGTCTGGCAAGGAGCTGAGGACTTGTTTAAGCAAAAACTAGCTTTGGCCAAGAGAAATGCCAGTGAGTTTGTGTCCAAATTGTAAATAAAACTGTGTGTATTGTCATCTTCCTGCTGTGATGTGCGTGTGCTGTTCCATGTCGAAGTGACGTAAAGAAAAGAAGTCCATTTAAACTAGACGCAAAAATGAAGCGCGTTTAAATTTTTTCATTTCTTTTCTTCTTTCAAATTCTAAAACTTGAATCCACGTATACAAAATGAGCGAATGGAAAGACGAACTTAACAACGAGTCTGATGACTTGAAAGATTTGGAACCTGTTACTGACTCAAAGCCCTCTGCCACAACAGAGGAAGCCAATGAGACTACTGAAGATTCCACTGAAGTTGATAAGGTAGAGCCACACGAAATGATACTTGTTGAACGCACACTATAACGACAATGCTGTGAATGTAGGAATTGGAGGCTATGAAGCAAAGAGTGAAAGACATGGAAGCCGAGGCTGCCAAGTTGAGAGACATGCAAGCCGAAGTCGAGCAACAACTTGCACCCGAAGAAGGTATGGCATTGTTTGGTACAATATCACTACAAAATTCTGATTCGACTGCACCATTTCATTAGATAAAGAAGCTGTCGATGCTCGTTCAGTCTACGTTGGAAATGTAAGGACCCACCCACTACAGAATGGCGCTCTTGAGACTAATATGCTTTAAAAGGTTGATTATGGAGCCTCTCCTGAAGAACTCCAAGCTCATTTCCAATCTTGCGGAACCATCAACAGAGTTACAATTCTCTGCGATAAATTCACTGGCCATCCCAAGGGGTATGTTGAATGCTTTATAGTCGAATTGAGATTGCTCTCATTGCTAATGACAACCTTTAGTTTTGCATATGTCGAGTTTGCTGAACCTAGCTTCGTCAATGCTGCTGTCGCACTTAATGAGAGTCTATTCCGTTCTCGTTTGTTAAGTGTGAAGCCCAAGCGTACAAATGTCCCTGGATTCTCTGCTCGTGGAAGAGGTCGTGGCCGTGGAGGATACCGTGGTGGCATGGGTGGACCACCTGGCTATTATGGACACTCACCCATGTATGGTTATCGTGGTAGAGGGTAAGTTGAAGCAGCATTTTGGTTTGTAAGGCATGCATACTCAACTACTTTGTTAGCCGTGGAAGAGGTGGTTACTATTCACCATACTAGATAACTTGTTTTTCGTCTACTTTGTTTATAATCCTCCTTGCTATTTTTTTTTAAAAACTTTAATGCATGATTTCATTTGGAGAACCACACCAATGCACACACAAAAGAGGTCTAAAAAAAAAAGAGAAAAAGAGGAATGATAAAAAGAAACATTTCAAAAGAAAAAAAAAGAGATAAAAGAGATGAAAAGGAGGGCAAAAAGTGTGTATATATTGTGTTGTTTGCTTACAAAAGTGCTTGTACATATATAAACGTTCGATAGATATTAAATATTATTATTGGAGTTTAGTTTCGTGATGAAATGGGAATCAGCAGGCATTTGGCAGCCTTCAGAAGCATGAGCTCGAGTGATGATGAATACATCCAATGCGAGGGATTACGACGGCAATCATCCAATGTCAAATATGTAGCAGAACCAGATATGATTGGCAAGAAACCTTGTAAAAAAAGCATCAGCTATTGCTCAGAGGCGAAAAATCGCAAACAAAGAGCGTCATTGTATACGATTTACGCCTTGCTAGAAACAAACATTGATTCGTACACATAAAGGACGCTTTGATCTATGCTAACTGGACCTATCACATGGGGTAGAAGAAAGTATCGCGAAAGAACAGATTACCCACATTCTGAATGCACTGCTCCAATATATTTCTTTGCTGGATCCAATCTCCCATGCCGAGAGATCTCTCCGCTAAATGCAATAGTTTGTAACTGACGATTCAACATAAGAAAAGGGGGGTATCGACACATAAATCTAATCCTTTCGAGTGCAACTAGTATTAGGGAGATGAAGTTCTGTATCCGAGAAAACGACAAACGCCATAAGACAGCAGCGACATTAAGCCCTTCCGTCTAGAGCCAATTAATGGTTTTGAAACTCATATAAATAAGGTGGGAGACAACAACGTGCGTGTGAGTGTATTTTTACTCTTTTTCTTCCCTTTTTTCTACTTCCTCCTCCTCCCATCTACATTTGATACTATACCCCCATTCTTTCCTTACCTTCTCATGGACGTCTATTCCCCTCCTCCCCATCAGCAGCAACTAAAAAATAAGCGTAGTAGTATGTTGGCTTACGTACCTATTCATCGTCGCAACGAAGACGACGAAAAACGCACAAATGGTAATAATAACAAATATCGATCCTCCATGAGCCATGATTTACAACTCGAGTCAAGCGTTTCCTCTGGATCTTTGAGCAACAACAACAAGAGGGCCTCGATGATGGGCTATCGTCGCTCCACTTCATCTAATGCGAACAACAGCAACAGCAACAACAACAACAACAACAACAACAACAGCAACAGCAACAATCGCTACAGTCGCAACAGTTTCTTGGGTGATGATGATGCTGATTATGTAAGTCATATAGGGGTATCGTTCGAGCGTGGTCCTAATTCTTGTACGATTTAGTCTTTGGATTACGATAACCACAATGAACAGAGTGAGGACTGGGAAAATATCCTTAGACAGTACGACCGATACAGCATGAATGACGATGACAAAAGAAAGAGCAAAAGAGCAAGTCGTATCATGGATTCATATCAGGATTTACCAGGTTAGCAGCGATTTAAATTAATTGCTATTGGCGAAATGTGGAGTTCTAATACCTATTATTACTGTACATGTATAGTGGAGGTACCAATGGTGGATGAACCAACTGTCGTTTTGGATTGTTATGATTTTCCTCCTGCCTTTAAAACTCATCATTTACATGATATTTTTAGAAGCTATGAGAGTAGCCGTGGTGGATACAAGATCAAGTGGCTATCAGATACTCGTGCTTTGATTATTTTCGACCATCCTGCTACCGCTAAAAAGGCCTACATTGACAATGTCACACACGCTTTGGCTAAAATCCGTCCTTACGATGGCCCAATGGATTTCTTAAAAGACATGAATACGCCAGCACAACAGCAACAGAGAACCATGAACAGGCCCATGTCTATGGATTTCAAGAGGCAATCATTCAATGCTTACAACGGCAATAACGTTCCTTCTGCAGCCAGCAGATCTTCCAACAGAAGCTCCATGAGAAGTAGGTTGTCGGACGAAATGTGCAGGGCTGCTTTTACTCATGATTTCTTATAGTTGACGAAAACGATATTAAGAGATTGAGCATTGCACTTGATTGATCCATGTCTCCTTGGCTCACCATCACGTTCCTTGAAATATATATATATATATATATATATATATTCATATCTATTCATTTCATAAAATTAAAGAGAAAAAAAAAAATTTCATTCAAATCGGACCATTAAAAAATGTGATGGCAACATCAAATTTGTATGTACTGGGGTCATCCTTGATAACAAACCATTAAACAAACAGACAGTTACTTGGTTATTAATGAAAGAGTGATAGTTTTAATAAGAATAAAAATTGCAAAAAGAGAAGAGGAGTGTAAAGAGAATTCTAAAATATTTTGTCGAATTGAAACGAAGCATCAAACTGATCTGCGAAAAGGGCAAGCAAGTTCATCTTGGACACAAACAATTATAAGATAAATAGAGAAATAAATAGAATAAATACTAATCATTTGCTATGACCTTGTTGCTCCCTTCACAATATATGATTCAATTTGATTTTCTGTTTCTCAGCACGTTGATTGCTTAACAAGAATCCTATAAAAGGGCAAGGCACAGTGAGTACAATTGTTTTTATAAGCAGAGGCATCCGGCTCAAATTACCTTCAAGTAGGCGACAACATCAGCACGATCCTTGGGCTTCTTGAAACCAGCAAAGGCCATCTTGGTACCGGGAATGTACTTCTTGGGGTTCTCGAGGTACTAATGTATTGCAAAATTTCAATAAAAAAAGGAACATTGCACGCAACACTTTTGAAACTTACATCGAAGAGGGTTTGATCATCCCAAACGACACCCTTCTCTTGGTTAGCAGCGGTATAAGAGTAACCAGCAGCTTGACCAGACTTACGACCGAACAAACCGTGAAGGTTAGGACCAACCTTGTGGGGTCCACCCTGTAAAATTAAACAAAACAAGGTCAACATTTGAGCCAAGCCTAGCACAGGAGATCAACCCATTTACCTCTTCAACGGTGTGACATTGAGCACAACGAGTCTTGAAAAGCTTAGCACCAGCAGTAGCGTTACCTGCACCAGGAGTAGACATCTTTTATAATATAAGCGAGTGGGGGGTTGAAAGAAAAAAGTGTTATTGTAAGAAGGGAAAAGAAGAAATCTGAAATACGTCCTGTCGTAATTGAAATTTATATTTTTTTTTCAAACAATTTACAAGCCCCCCCCCCCCCCCCCCCCTCCCCTCTCTCTCCATAACTTTCCATCTGATTTATCGTAAATTCCATTGTCCCTCATGTATTGTAAGCTTCGGTACCCTTCCAGATACCCTGGGCTGTTTCAATTGCCGCACATCCCGCGCTCCATTCCCCTCCGTTATTGTTGCTGTTTGACCTGAATGAATTCAAGACATTTTCGCTAGTGCTAGGTTGTTTGAACAGAAAAAAATGGGGTCTTCCATTGGAATCTTCATCATGTCGTCATGCTGCTTCATATTGATTAAAAAAAGGGGAAGATAAACTACAGTATACAAGCATCAGTGCTGCTGATGAAACAATCATGCTAAGCGCTTTCACCGCTATAGGCCCATGTATGAGATAATCATTATTCCATGTGCGCACAACGATGGCAGTATGACACACATTTCGCCCGTCGGATCCCCTTCCCTGTTTAGAATAGGGTAAAATTTACGTCAGTTTCATTGAGGAGCCATATATGGAGAGGGGGTCAGCAAAAGACTGTCGATCATGAAATGGTGTTGCACAACCACCACTCGGCTTGTGGACATCTCTCTTGTCTCTGTTGTCGTTATAGCTGCGCTCCACAGGATCGAGATACCTAATGGATGTAGCATTGTTCATCCAATCAACATGATCGTCTCGAGTTACCAATCAAAGTGAGAATACCGGGCGAAACATTGAACTACGGTGGACAAATAGTACATGTCATTTAATATAGTTGATAGAGTTGGGAATCAAGGCACCCAGCACAGCAGGAGATGTGCATTACAACTATACGTTGCACTGTATGATACTTGTGATTACATGTTGGCTATCGAAGCAAATCAACCCCAATTAAGTTTGCATAACATCAAGAAGATTTGAATAAACATTTGGCTTGACGGATGCTTCAATAACATACTTGGTTCTCAATGTGTGGTTAGAACTGTGAATGCCATTTAGGAAAATCGCTTAGAAAGTTCTGCCTTGAGAAACGTTTGTCAAATGTGATTAGTGCAACACTTTGCTACACTGCGGTTATGAATAATAGGCAGCATTGAGGTACTTTCGGAACATCCTGGAGTACCGTTTGTTACCGTGTAGTAGCTACCATTGCTCGTTGATTTCGAAAACAACAGCAACATAATGCTGACATTTGGCTGCATCTTGATCCTTTCATGTGTACCAATGAAAGTGAATTCTCTGTAGGCTAAATAACTACATAATAGGCAACATGTGGCGGCTTTAGGCAAGTTTCAACGAGATTCTTCAGTATCTAGTGTATCAAATAAGCCAGAAAACTTGCCAGTTTGACTCGAGATAGATAGGGTGACAGCTCGTACCATTATCTATATGCAGCAAACGAAACCCAATACGGGTCATTGTGACGCGGTGTCGCCACTGGTTGCGTTGGTGCACCAATGTGTTTTGAGTTTGATATGGAATTGTGATCACATGTGGGAAGAAGATGCTCATTTCTCTTTTGCTTCCTTTTCTTTCCCTTTTCAATCATTATTTTTCTTCACACTTTCACGTCTAAGCTATGCAGATAACCAAGAACAATCCCGTCAAAGACCCGCGCAAATCTCCAGCGAGCAACATCAATAAAGAGGAGCTTGTTAGACTGATGCTGCAATCACTCCAGGATCTCGGCTATCAGTAAGCATGATTGCAACTGTGGCATGAATGCAAGCATACTAACTTCTTCTATCCAATGTAGAAAAGCGGCTGATGCTTTGGAAGCAGAGTCAGGCTACAATCTCGAGTCCAAGAACATTGTTGAATTGAGATCAAGCATCCTCCTAGGACAGTGGCATAATGCAGAGAGTCTTTTATCACAAGTGCCCTTTATCAATCCACAAACATGCATACCCAAAGTCCAGTTCTTGATTCGACAGCAAAAGTTTCTAGAGCTACTAGAAATGCAAGAGACAATGCAGGCGTTACATGTGTTGAGAACAGAAATTACGCCCTTGGGACAGAACACGGAGCGATTACACCTTCTCACGAGTCTTATTCTATGCTCTAACGTGGACGATATCAAGGAGCAAGCCTCGTGGGACGGCACAACGGGGGCATCGAGAGAGCAATTGCTGGCAGACATTCAAAAGTTCATTGATCCTGCTGCCATGATACCAAAACAACGCCTATTCCATCTGATCAATCAGTCGCTCGAATGGCAAAAGAGAAACTGCCTTTACCATAACCCTAGACAAGATACACAGCTCTCCTTGTACTCTGACCATCACTGCGACAAGTGAGTATAGCCAACCTCGCGATGCATGCAAAATCTGGTATTCATTCTATTTCATGCAGAGCATCATTTCCTTCTACGACGATCAAAACGCTCAACGGTCATGCAGACGAAATTTGGCACGTCCATTACTCGAACAACGGTAAATATCTGGCATCTGTATCTAAAGACAAGACATGCATCATTTGGGATATGGATAACTTTAGCCAAGTTCAGAAATTAACGAGTGATGTGAGTGGATCATACTGTGCGTGGTCGCCTGACGACTCAAAGTTATTGATCTGTGGCACAGACTTCTCGATACGCCTATGGGATCCTTATCACGGCACCTTACTCCATACCTACCAATGCCACAAAGATCAAGTGACAAGCTGTGTATGGCTGCCAGACAATCAGCATTTCATCTCGGGCGCTTGCGATAAAGTGTTATGTTTATGGGACTCTGAAATCACCTTGTCGCAACCCATCACTCGTTGGCCAGTGCAACGCACCACCGACATGAAGATGACTCAAGACGGCAAGCGCTTTGTAACGATTGGACTGGATAAATGTATCACTGTGTACGATGTGGATGGCTTGAGAATCACAGAAACTGTCAAAATCCAAGAAGAAGGCACAATCACGTCATTAACCTTGTCAAAAGATGGCCGATATGCGCTTGTCAATGTGCAAGACTCTCAAACATTGCACTTATGGGACCTGGAGGAGAGAATTCTGGTGCACAAGTACAGTGGGCAGAGGCAGAATACCTACATTATTCGATCAACATTGGGCGGGCATAACGAATCATTTGTAATTAGTGGCAGTGAAGGTACAGACATGTGGAAATGTGATTTATACAACATTATTGACATGGCCTTTTTACAGACAATCGTGTATATATTTGGAGTCGAGATCATGAGACGCTCTTGGAGACGTTAGAAGGACATGAGAATACAGTGAACTGCGTTGCCTGGTGTCCTTCAGAGCCAATGCAGTTTGTGTCTGCGAGTGATGATCATACAATCAGAGTGTAAGTTGGTATTGCTGTTCGAAAGCTTCAGTACACTAAACAAATCATATAGATGGGGATCTAGTCTTGATTTGACAGAAGATATGGAGCTGTAGGTGTATCGCTTGATACAATTTAGTGTAATAAACCATAGCACACATCTCTCAGTGACGTACCAATCCATCACTGGGGTTCAAATGACTACTTTTCCAACAGTTTTTTCATTCTTTTCATATCAAATTTCGTCCACTCTTCCCTTTGTCCATCAGAGTACTAGTTGTTAATATATAAAGATGTCTTCTAAAGTGCAAAAGATTATGGTTCAACCCATTGTAAGTTGATCTTGGCCGTAAAAAAAAAAACGGTTTCTAGTATTGAATTGTTGTATTGAAAATTTTTCTTAACCTTTTTAGAATCTGATTTTCAGATACCTTCAAAACGTAAGTCGATGGATAGCACCTGTCGAGAACCTAGACAAGTATAACGAGTAGACGACTAACCTAATTGCAATTCCATTAGAAATCCAGAGTCCAAATCTGGTTGTTTGACAAAAGTGATTTAAGAATTGAGGGTCAAATCATTGTAAGCAGAAGCAATCATAGACACATAAATCACAAGATGAAACGTATCTTAACGCGTTTAAATTAGGGTTTCGATGAATTCATGAACTTGGTTCTTGACAGCGCTGAAGAGATTGATACCAAGAACAATACTAGACTCAAAGTTGGTTAGTACTTTTCAAAAGATTGGTAAATGCACTCTTGACATTGACACTTCATTATAGGCCGTCTCATGTTGAAGGGCGACAACATCACTCTGATACAAGGTGTCGAGAATTAAATGGAAAAAAAAAAAAGTCGAAAGCACATCAACCTACACAGATACACACATGAACGCCTCTTTTGGTTTTGCAGCCCACTTTCTCACCTCTCACTTGCAAGCAAACAGCATATAATAAAAAAAAATAGTTGGATTCTCAAAGCTTTGACAAAATGAATATGAATTTATGGTGTATTTGGGATTTGGATGCTTTATTTATACGAGAAATTGGATAATTAGAAGATGGGGAACTTTTCAGAGTCTGCTGATGTTTAGAAAGACGACAGCCGCAAGCGAAATATGCATTGTGCATGCTTCCAGCACACTCATTTAGTTAGTGAGAGTAAAGATTGATATGATCTGTTGTATCTTGTCTATTGGCGCTGCTTTTATGATAGCTACAGTGTATCTATGTAAACGAGGGAATTACAGTGATTCTGTTTAATGTACGCCATTTGCTCTATCGCCGGAATCCTTACGCAAGTGTCCTCTACATGAATGACTATCTGATCAACTGGTGTGCAAATGTCAGTGCTATGTTGTTGCTATGCTTTTTATGCCATTTATACATTCACCGAATCGTAACTCGACGTGGCAATAATGTAGATCCAATTTCGCCAATTTCTTATTTAGATATATCACTGTAGACACAATTGCTTATGAAACATAGACAAGCGCTTTGATCAATACCTGGTCATCTCCTGTAGAGCACCGACTTCATTTGTGAGCGTAGCCTAAACGCAGTATCCTACTTTGCCGTTCAATGAGCAGGTGATTCCACTATCAACTATAGATTGAAGATGGTGATTCAGCTGTATACATAGTGGCAGAAAGATGATAGAGACACTTTAACACGAGAATGATGCCACAGTATTTAATCTTAGCAGCTGTTTCAACCCTGCACTTCTGCATTTGAGTACATTGGTACTAGCCGATCTACCTCGCTACGCTCGATGTCGGCGTTGCCCTGTGGTCTCTCGCCAAAGACATTTTAAATCAGATATTATAACATTTTAGTATATCAAGTAGATTTTAAACAACCAATTCTTAGTTAGTAAAAGAAAGGTTATATCAGAGCCATTAGGAGGAGGAGAAGAGGTATCTCACTCAATATCCTTTTTGCTTACACTGATATCAAACAAAGCCTATTATTGGGACAATGTGAAAGAAGTTCAAGTTTTATGCAACGTTTGTACATCACAATCGCAGCGTAAAGCTGGCCATAGTAAACTACAGGACCTGTGTAAGATCTATAGCGGCTTTTTGAGATATTGTCATTGCAAAAGACATCTTCATAAGGCAAAGCTCCCCAAAAAAAAAGTATTTGCGCTAAGCAACTGTCCTTTCAAATTCATGATCCCCAATTAATCAGCATCACAATCATCATTGCCATCAACAGAAAGGCATTTAGGTCAGCCAGCAGCAATGCCGCCGCCAAAATTCATTCAAACTCCATTTATTTTTTTCTGCTTAAGATTGGACGGATTTTGTCTTTTTACGACTTCTTTGATCTATTTTAAGGTATTTGACTATATAAACTGTGATGATCACCCTACGCTTCCTAATACAAGTCCCTGGTGGTAGGGCGAAGTGGTAGAACTCCCGTATGCCAACGGGAGGATCCCCGGTTCAAATCCTGGTGAACGCAAGTTGTTTGATTTTTTTGACGTAGTACTGATGTCCTCGTTTGGTGTTTTGTACTCTTATCCATGACCTATATTTTGACGATTTCCGCAAGACTGTACTGGCTCTAGGAGTCGCACCTTATTAGTAGTAGATTTCTTTCCCAACTTAGTTCAAAATTTCTTATTCCCCTTCTTTGCAGACATTGGGTCCACCAACAGTCTTTTCTATCCCTCAGTATGACATTTAAAGGACTTTAAATAAAACCTGGAGCTCGACTCCCCTACAAAAAAAAAAAAAAAAAAAAAAAAAAAAAAAACGCTTCCTAATACACTCTTGGAGTACTTTTCAAGGCGCTTCCAATAATGCCAAGTAAGATACATGTTTTAACTGAACTTAATAAGCAATCCCAAAAGATCTGGGACAAGGTTTTTGGCCAAAATATTGAAATTTTGCATATGAACACCTCATAAAAGTAGTTTCAGAGGTGGCTTTGGATCGAGAGAAACATTTTGATCCAATATATACCATAGTAAAAGTCTTCATTTTCAAGGTGAAAAATGCGATCGTTTGATTTTTGATGAAAACCATGAGGTACCCCTCATGGTTTTTGATCGATTTTTGGCCTTTTTTTTTTGCCGAAAAAGTTGAGCAAAGATGTCAGGAAGTTACTACTACTCAAGTACAATTGTTTGGTGTCATTCCGGTGGCTCATAAAGATCTACATGCCAAGATATGAAGGCTTGAAAGCTGTCAAATTTGGTTATGTATTGCTTTATAGAGTTTATTTACACGGCATGAATCACATCTTTGGTAGCTGAAGTCTTCTGGAAGGGCAGTTCTGCAGTCTGTACAACTTCTAATTTGAATAGAAGACGTATTGATTTTGGTAAAGCTAATTCATGCAAATTTTGTTGCATTATGTTGTTGGTAAACGTATTAACAATGGAAATGAGAAATCGAATTTGCTGTTGAATACTATGGTTTTGAACCTTCGCCTCGCTGCGATCAAGCTCCTAACCTTCCTATAAATCAATGCTACCCAATGTTGGGTTAGATGCATTATTATGTTCTTGGTGGAGGGGCTAAACCCCTCCCATTGCTGGATTCGCCGGTGTCTTTATTCACCTTTGCCCAGCTCTCAATACTACAAATTTTTGAAAGGATATGATCAGCTTGTTTACTTTTTTTTTTTAGAATGTTTTACAGTATATATTTCAGATTAGTGATAGTGATTAGTGATAGTGATTAGTGATGTGTAGTTGGTTACGACATATTTCGAAATATACAACATTTGAAATAATGGACGTATCCGCTAAACTAGTGGGAAAAGGGATGAATTATAAAGCAGAAGAGCCCGTTTCGGTAAGCCTTAGACAATGTCGTATTGGGAAATTTTTTTTGCTATAACATTATGTTATAGCAAATAGGAGTACAAAATAGCATTTCAGGGACTTAGCGAACTGGTGTGTCTGCTATAACATAATGTTATAGCAAATAAGAGTACTATAACATAATGTTATAGCAAATAAGAGTACTACAACATAATGTTATAGCAAATAAGAGTACGAAATAGCTATAACATTTGGTTATAGCAAATAAGAGTACTATAACATAATGTTATAGCAAATAGGAGTACTATAACATAATGTTATAGCAAATAAGAGTACTATAACATAATGTTATAGCAAATAGGAGTACTATAACATAATGTTATAGCAAATAAGAGTATGAAATTGCTATAACATTTGGTTATAGCAAATAGGAGTACAAGATAGCTATAACATTTGGTTATAGCAAATAAGAGTACTATAACATAATGTTATAGCAAATAGGAGTACTACAACATAATGTTATAGCAAATAAGAGTACAAAGTTGCTATAACATAATGTTATAGCAAATAAGAGTACGAAATAGCTATAACATTTGGTTATAGCAAATAAGAGTACTATAACATAATGTTATAGCAAATAGGAGTACTATAACATAATGTTATAGCAAATAAGAGTACTATAACATAATGTTATAGCAAAGGACACTGTTGATTGGCTAGTTATTAGCTGCTCAACTTGATATTTCAAAAATTATAATGTGTTGTTATAGCTGTTGTTATAGCTAAAAAAATTGATGGCAGACGGCGTCAAATCGTTTAAGTGATTTCCTTTTAATGCTACAACAACGCCTCTCTGCTTCTTTACGTCTTCTCTGCGCAATTTATACGCTCAACTATCAAGCGATCCTTCGTTGGTTCTTAATGCCTAGAATACTTTTTTTTTCCTAATTTTTTAACTATGACAAGGGGAACATATCAATAACTAATATCAGAAATTCAATTTAAAATGATGACTGTCTTGCTCCGGAAGGCGATGATGATGAGGACGTTACTACAGGTGTTCTCTGTTGTTGTTCAGTCTGCTTTTGCTTTTGCTTTTGCTTTTTCATAGCGCGGTGATAAGCACTTTGAGCACTTTTGTACGACTTATACTGCTCAAAGCGGCCCAGTATTTTCCACTGTTGAAATTGAGCTTTCCATGGTATGTGTCCGTTTTTGTCCACTTGTTGCTCAGCAAATTCGAAATCGGATAATGGATCCTCTAAGCGTCGCTTTTGTGCTATTCCATCGACATACGCAATGACATTACTCAAAATGTTTACGGCTGTTTCAATACGCACGCCAACAGGTTGATCTTGATTTTCAAGGGCTGCCTTTGCCTTATAGCATTCTGATTTTGATTGGGCACATACACTTTTTAATGCATGGATAGAGTTTTCGTTGTCATGGATATGGCTACCAAATATATTTTTCATTTTGGTATACAGACAAATTAATGTTGGATCATTGCATTGTGTAAAGTTGATAAATGATGTCTCTTGTTCAATAAGACAGTGAACAAGTGCAAGTAATGGGTTTAACGGGGTTTCGTTGAGATAGGGCGCAATAGTCTCTGCATTGAAAAATAGACATGAGCTGGCCCAGCCAATACTCGACAGCTGCTTTGCGAAAGGGATACGAGAACCAGGTATTTCAGTTTCAAGTAGATATCTGGTTGTCGAATTAATCACAATTGCCACAACAATAGGGAGCTTAGACGCTTTATGTTGTCTAGAAACCGAACGCGAGTAGTCGATTAGTCGTTGATAAAAATTCATATCTGCCTTGTTTTGAATCTCGATTAGAATACGAGGTAGGTCATTAGAGCAGTTGATTGGCTCGTACGCGACATCAGAGCGAGTGAAATCAATCCACTCAGTTGGAATGGCAATGTATTGATCTTTTGCCTTTGGTCCTACACAAACGAAAAGAATTAGTAGCATACTAACAGGCATATTTAAGATCATACCAATAACTGCTGAGACAACAATATTAATAACATCTTGATCAGCTAACAAGAGCTTGCTCATTAAATCGGTTCCGGGTAAATACTTCCTTGGAAGAGAAAAGGTCTTGAGGTTGACGCCGTCTGCCATATTTTTAGCTATAACAACAGTATAACACGGAAATATATGAAAAGACACAGAGCTATAACAACGCATTATAGTTTTTAAAATATCAAGTTGAACAGCTAATAACTAGCCAATCAACAGTGTCCTTTGCTATAACCAAATGTTATAGCAATTTCGTACTCTTATTTGCTATAACAACGCATTATAATTTTTTCGACTATATGAAATGTGATAATCAGCCCGTACTTCCTAATACATTCTTGGAGTACGTTTCAAGGCGTTTCCAATGGTGCCGAGTAAAATAAATGTTTTGACTGAATTTATCGAGCAATTCAAGAAAATATGAAAAGCGGTTTTTGGCCAAAATGTCAAGGTTTTGCATATAAAGGCCTCGCAAAAGTGGTTTCAGAGATTGCTTTGGATCGAGACAAACAATTTGACTTGATATATGCTATAGTAGAAATCTTCGTTTTTGGTGTCAAAAATGCGATCGTCTGATTTTTGATGAAAACTTTTTTTTTTTTTTTTTTTTTTTTTTGGATGATATTTGATTTATTAGAAATAAATTAAACGCATCAAGGGATGGACAAGTGTATGTAAACAAAGTGACGTGCCATATATAAGCTATTTAGAGTTTCCTAAGATTTGACAATCTTATCAATTCGGCTATTTTTGATGAAAACCATGAGGTATTGTTCATGATTTTGATGTAATTTTTGGTCGATTTTTGGCGATCCCAAAAAAGTTGAGCGAAAGTGTCAGGAAGTAACTGCTAGTCGAGAGCAATTATTTGATGCTGTTCTGGAAGTCTAAAACGGCTTCTAACGCCAGAAAACACGGCTCAAACCCATCCAAGTTTTGCTGTGATTTGCAAATTTCTGAATAGCAAGAGACATAACAAATGTGCTGCCTGCTCGTATGTAAATTCTTTTTACATATGCAAATATGAGACATCGAAGGAGTCATATCTGCAATCAGACCTCATTTATAAAAAAATTTCATGTGGCAATAGAAAGACAACAGTGATATTAAGTAAGAGTGAAGCTAGCCTCCTCGGTATAACTTGGAGATGAGTTCACAGGCATTTCAGAGGTTCTTCTCTGCCAGATTATCAAGCCACAATGTAGAAGCAAGAGTGTTAGCAAGGTCGAAAGATAGGGATGGCCAGATGATTCCACTTTTCGTTTTCAATCTAGTATTCACATAGGATGCCTCATGCTGTCTGGCAACAGGACTTCTAGTAGGTCTGTCTTTATTAATTTGAAACGCTACCAATCATGGTACAATAAGAGATAAGATGGCGATCCATTGTCAATTAAGATTTGTTTCAAACCTAGGGGTTAAAAGAGGAGTAAATGGAATCATAGAAAGAATACTCGATGGGAAAAAAGTACGTACGAAACAAGTATAATTTTAGCATTGGATGCGAAAGGAGACATGCTGATTGCTCTCTTGGTCCTTTCAACAAAATATGCTCAATTTTAAAGGTGTGACAACATTGGATTCCCATTCATATGATAATGATAGGCTTGTACATGAGTATGCAAAGGCTGAAACTGTTTGTTGGTAGATGCGTCGTCTAGCCTATATTGACTGATGTTTGCAAAAATAGAACATCGTGGAAAACTATGAATAGCTGTACAAATCATGCCGGATTATAGCGATCATTCTATTCCATTGCCAAGTGTTTTTTTTTCTTTATTTGCAAACTCAAGCACGCCAACTAACCCAAATATACAAAAGAATCCGAGAATCTCGTGAACGCTGATGCTCCTTTTCCGACGATATGAACAGTAACATTTTACATGGTGGAAAATAAGATTAAAGTTGTGTGTGTTATTGTTGAGCGTTTTTTTTAGTGTTCTATACATTTTGCCAATGCGGATGATATGGTTTAACCACATCATCTGTACAAAGCCAACTTTCCGCACGCACAAACCAATATTCATTGAGAGATAACTATTGCAAGATGTCTTAATCGTTCATTCAAAAATTACACCTTTCCAGCCTAAAATGACAACTTTTTCCCTTTGTAACCCCCCTCCTTTTATCTATATATTTGTTGTGTTTTTTTTAGCAGGATGAAATATAAAGTTATCATGTAGACTCATTCTGATGTCATGTCGATTTTTCCCGGAAACCCAAGAAGTATCAGTGTATTTATACATCTACAATGCTGTCCAGTGCATTCTACCTGAGTCAAGCTGCTGTATCGCTTTGAGCGAAAATAAGAGAGCCAAGAAGAATGCAATTATAGTATGAACAATAAATGGTCTTGTTTCTGCACTGAATCTCAAATAAACACTGTGAGCGCGTGTAATTCTGTGCATGTACACATCTCATCTTTCTACACCAGCTCGCGCGTATATAGATTATACATTTTGACATGCAGTCTCCGCAAAAACAATCAGGGAATCATTCATGTAAGCATCACTCGGCTTTCCATTCTAAAGATACATCATCGAAAAGCACGCACAGCAGCAAAGTCTTGCACGTTTTTCCTCTTTTTATTCGTTATATCTCTAAAAAGAAGAAATTACCTATAGAAATATGGAACAGTTGCATCTCGTAACACAAGAACAGGGCCGTTTATTATTATACATTTTAGATGCCGTAATTTGTTTGGTGTTCAATTATTTTATTTTCCCATCATCGAACGTAATATAATGTAAATGTAACATTCAACAGACTAAAAAGGATCGATCTGATTGTAGTCAATTGCAAGTGATTGATAAAGCAAGGACACATTGAATTGATTAGAGAAGTGATACAGAGTATAGAAAGTTTAATATGGGTAGTTTTTTTCATATTGGATCGATATTAAAAAAAAAAAATTGCTATATAAGAGAAATCTTGGTGAAAAGGGAATTATAAATTAAAAAAAAGAAGTTGGAAATGATATAATTTAGATCAAAGCAGCGACAACAGCACCAGCGACGGCAGCAGCACCAACAGCGGCCATGTTCTTGTTACCAGCAGAAGCGGCAGGAGTGGTGGTAGCGGAGGCAGCAGAGGAGGCAGCAGAGGAGGCCTTGCTGGTGGCAGAGGAAGCGGCAGAAGAAGCCTTGCTGGTAGCAGAGCTAGCAGCGGAAGCAGCGCTAGAGGCGGGGGCAGCAGAAGAAGAGGCAGCACCAGAGGAGGCAGCACCGGAAGAAGCAGCGCCTAAATTGTTCGAAATGATTTGAGTCAGCAAACATTTCCCAATCCCTCACATGTATCACACAATAAACTTACCACCAGCAGCAGCCTTAATGGTGAAGAAGGGAGTGTAGGTGACGTTGGGGCTTTGACCGAAAGAAAGAGCATCTTTATCATTGGGGGTTAGTATATCAATTGCAACAAGATCATTGACCATTCAAAGCAACTTACAATCGGTACCAGCGGGGATGGTAGCAGGGATGTTCCAAGAGTAAGAGCCAGTAGAAGCAGGGACGTTGGTGGCAATGTTTTGGAGAAGGGTGAGGGCAGAGGCAGCACCTTGACGAAGGTCAATGGTGGAGATGGTGCCGTCAACAGGAGCCCAGACAATGTTGGCAGTGGTACCAGCAGTGAGGACTTGGTTGGTGGAGGGTTGGCTGGAAACAATGTTTTGAGCAGAGACGACGGTAGCGGCAATGGCAGCGATGGCAGCGATGACAGACTTCATTTTTTTAATTTATTTAAGGAAAGAAAGAGTGAATTAATGAATCGAAAGGAAAACAAGAAGAAAGCAAGATGGAATAAACATGGTGGTTTATATACCCTTTCGATTTCTGTGGAATTGCTTCGAGTGTATTTTTGATTTAATAATACAAGTGGAGATTTAACAACGAAAAAGTTCTTCCCGGAATAGTAACACAAAAAATATTGCTATGAGCATGTATGATGATAGGATGAATGCAAGTGAACACAAAAATTTATTACTGATCGTCGAATCGTACCTGCAAAAAAAAAAAAGAGAGTGTGCGCACACACCTTTTTAGTTTTACACCATGAGTTTTTGCGTATTACAGCAAGTATTTTTAGTTTTAGCTTGGAAAATGATGATGGTGTATATGTCTCGACATTTGAGATAGCAAGAGCGATATAGAGAGATGGGGAGAGATGGCATGGTATTCAGCTTCCGTCCAGATGCCTTAATATCAAATTTATTAACCTCATTTGCAATTGTATCAGGTCCATTTCATCCTTGTTGCATACCACATCCTCCAACACATTTCAGGGCAACAGATGAAGGGCGGAGGTTGTGGTGTGTGTGTGTGTGTGTGTGTGTACAGTACCTGTAAAAAAAAAAAATAAGGCTTGTTTGTACACATACACACACGCTAGTAAAGTCATCCACTCCACCCACACTCGCTCGCTCAACCGCCCGCCCGCCCTTGATTCTTATACACAAACAATATCCTCACTTGCTGATATATCCATTTTCTTTATATACCCATTTTTTTACTATTCTTTTCAACATTTCAAATAAACGTAGATGGATGTTATTGAAAGTATACCAGACTCGGTATCTGAAGTAGGAATTTCCTTTGAAAAAGAGCACTTGCTTCAAGATGAGACGAGCAGCTTGTTTGAACAAGAATTTACAGAACAAGACGTTCTACCCTTTCTGCTGCAAGCGCAAGACATTATATCCAAGTTGGAATCGAGAGTTGTCGAGTTGGAGCATGATTTATCAGTAAGTTTTTTTTTTGTATTTTATGAATACACTAGTAAGAAACTCAACACAGCCAACAGACAATCCATAGAAAGTATGAACATGATCGAGGTGAATGGCTAGTAGGTCTGTCTCAGAAAGATCAGTACATCACACATCTATCAAGCAAACTGCAAAAGACAGATTTCAATAGCAAGGAAGTCATTGTTCTGCTATCCGATTTATTCATCAACAATGTGAACATGGAGGAACAAATGAAATCAACTGTAACATTATGTCTAAATTATCTTCGACAAACTTCTTCCACTTCTTCTTCTGTACAACAACAAGAGGAGCCCATCAGGGACGATGGCATCGATGATTTGGAAGAAGGCGAACTGGAACGCCGACAAGCAGCCGTAGCAGAATGGAGGCTCACAGACAATAATAACAACATACCAGACCGTTCTTCAACCGACCCAGTAGCCATAGTAAATAAAAAAAAGGCATGTGATGATGAAGGCCCAGTGCATTTAACAGAAGACGAGTTATCATCCTCACTTTCCACTTGCTCATCCACTAGCAGCGACAATAAGCACCTTCAACACCACCACCACCACCATCATCACCACGGCAACAATGATTCTTCCTTGACATTGCCCACCACCTACGCTGTGAACGATGACCAAGACCACACTAGCTTTTGTACAAACTGTAAACAGCTTCTATCTCAACTCGATTCACAAGTAGAGAGACAAGCCTATCTGAAACGAGATCTCAGCTCCCTTGCATCTGCATTGTCAGAAGAGGAAGACATTCGATCAGCTGTGGAACAAGACAAGGAACTACTGGAGCAAGATGTTGGAGACATTACATCTGCATTATTCTTATCCCTGAATCAAATTTTGATGGATGAAGTGACAGACAGAGATGGTATCATCCAAATCCACCGCGAAACAAATGGCAAGCTATCTCAAATACTAGACGCTTGGGATACACGAGACTTGAGGCTGAAGCAAGTCAAGGATCTGTTGATAGAGTTGGACTCGGTAGTGCATCAAAGTGCCAATGCAAGCTGTACAATCTCACGTCGTTACTCTCAGCAGCAGCAGCAGCAGCAGCACCCACATCAACAACAACAAATAAAGCAACACAAATCACCTGTTCCTACACCCACAACTTCTAATTATCGTCTCTCATCTCGATCTGCCATGAGATTACCGTCCATAGACAGCAGTGGCAGTAGCAGCATGCATCACACCAGACACCATGATGCCAACACTATACATATTGATGGCTTTGTGTTAGCCGAATTCCAGCACCACCTCAAAGCTGTCATGGAAAGTAACACATCAGTGATACCGTCGACTCCATTTGTCAAGAGAGTGTTTAATGAGGATGTGGAACCTTGTTTATTCTTTCCTCAATCGCAAGGTTGGTGGAAATCTCCGTGGTTCAAAAAGAAGCTGTTGGATGCCATTTCCAAGAACAAGTGCGAAATTCAGGGCTGGCATGATCCAAACTACATTTCTAATATAACAAGCACCACAACTTCCTCTTCGCTGTCTACCAATACATCTCCTGCGACAAGCCATATATCCTCTTCCTCACAACATAGTGTTAATTCCTCTTCGGTCATCATGCCTCCAAAGACCAAATGTGCATGCTGTAATATACTAAGAGTGTGTGAATTCAAAATGAGATTACCCATCGCCAGCAAGAGCAACATCAACACCAGCAACAGCGGTACATCCCGACTTCAACCACAACAACAGCAACAGCAACAACCTTGGTTGCCTATTGACAGGTTTTGCCGAGATAGACTTGTTGCAGTTTGCGGATATTATAGTTTCATGTCCCACCTGAAACTCTTGGCTTCATCCCCTTTATTGAATACATTCAGGCAGGTAATGCAACATCGAAGAAAGATGACCTTGGCAAGAGTGGGGTCCGTGGGCCTATTTGATGATATCAATGGCGGCGGAATAGAAGATGACGATGATATGATCAATAAGCGATCAAGCTCTTGTTCAAACACTTCTGCCAAAAGGCAAACTTACCAGCAACAAAGACGTCAAAGAAGAAACCGAGAGAGCCTTGTCTTGGATCATTCCGGAAGTGGGAGCGACACAGCAAGCGTTGTGAGTGTGAGTGAATTACAAGGTCTGGAGGGTTCTTTTGGACAGATTGTCATTGTTCACTAAGTTGCTATAGAAGCAGTTATACCATTTAGAATAAACATCCCTTTCTATGTTTTTTTTTTTTTTTTTTTTTTTTTTACAAATCATATGGTTTTTTATTTTTCCCCTGTATTACATGCATCTTTTTTTAGTCTGATTTCTCGCTCAAGCAAAGAAAAACGTGTGCGAGTGAGCAGAGTGATACAAAGAGTGAATGGCCTAGTACAACCATAAAACAACAACTGTCTTTTGCTATTTGTTCAGTTTAAATATATCTCGGCACTGTTCTTGTTTAACATATATAGCAAAAGAGAAGCAAATTTCTCTGCAAGAAAGAGACGGCATTGATGGCCACATCATAACATTTTTCTATGCAGGTTGTATTTGCTGCAAATGTCGCACTAATATACAGCAAATGATTTGCTTACTGTCTGCCTAAATTATGATAATATTGATTGTTGTAGCCAATTTCAGTGTAACTTGACGCTTGAAGATAGCCGATTTCATCTCCTTTTCTTTGCTCAGATTTGTGTTAGCTTTTTCAGGAATGGTTCTACTCATTTATTCAAACTCTCTTGTTTATGCCTATATTTGTAGCTGTACCATTCAATAAAACAGAAAATTATCCATTTGATGCACCTTGAAGCTGATTTCTCCTGGCTCTGTGAGTATCAGGTCAGGAAATCCCATAAAAACAATTTGTGCTACACTTTCAATATAAGCATGATCTGACGATAGAAAATACACCATCATTATTGCTGTAAATTGTAATCTTACCGCGGCCCGGTCTGCTGGACCATAAACATTCAGAATATATGCACATTGAGAAGTGAATAGTGGCATCCTTTTAAAAAACAGACGAGTCAGTTGGAATCAAAATAGGAGTACCGTCCTTCACGCTACCCTCTGATACTTTTTGATCTGTGTTATAGCTTATAGTAAGTAGACAATTGTACGCTGTTTCAATGGATTTGACAGCATTCAGTTATGTAGTGCCTAAAATACAGCGTCAAGAAACGCTGTAAAGTTGAGAGATTTGGTTGATTTCTTATTATAAGAATAATCAGTCAAATTAGCAGAAAATACACAACTCTTTGTCAAGCTAACTACGCTTTGGGAGTGATTGTTTCTCATTATCCTACTGATATGTACAAAAACTTCACGTTTTGACCGATCACCATTACGCGGGACACACCACAACTGTAGGTCTCTTTCTTCTATGATGCTCCACGTCTGTATCAACAAAAAACTTCATATACAGGTGCGCAGTATGCCAGCAATATCTCCTACCATTCAAAAATATGTATAGCATAGTGAAATTTAAACGCCCTTGAGGCGTGTTTTCTCGCGTTAAAAGCCGTTTTAGACTGCCGGAATAGCATTCAACAGTTACTTTCAACTAGCACCAACTTACTGACACCTTTGCTCAACTTTAGGAACACCCAAAAAACATGGCCAAAAATTGACCAAAAACCATGAGGTACCCCTCATGATTTTTATCAAAAATCAAACGATCGCGTTTTTGACCTTCAAAATGAAGATTTTTACTATGACATATGCTAAATCAAAATGTTTCTCTTGATTCAAAATAGCTCCTGAAATCACTATTGTGGGGCTGTAATATATAAAACCTCGACATTTTTGCCAAAAACCTCATTTCATATTTTTACGAACTGCTCAATAAGTTTATTCAAAACATCTCTCGTATTTAATACCATTGGATGCGCCTTGAAAAGTACTCTAAAGCTTAAGGGAGTATTTTTTTTTTTTGTAGGGGAGACGAGCTCCAGGTTTTATTTAAAGTCCTTTAAATGTCGCTTAAGGGAGTATGGAATAATTATCACAATTTATATAGTCAAGTCAAGCAAAATAGATTAAAGAAGTCGAATTTGTTTGGAGTTTATCCAACCTGGGACAAATATACAACAAGTTGGAACCTCAAAATGCTTAAGCTGGCCAAATGCCTTTCTCATGAAGAAAATCGATATTTATGAAACTAGTGAGAAAGAAAGCGCAAACAAAAAAGCATCGAAGCTTTGTATAGCTACTGTAACTTGCCTTTTTGCAAATTTCTTTCGGGGTAAACCCTATTAGTTGCATACTGTGATGCGCGGAATGAGCAGCTCTACTAAGGACACTGGACTAATCTATATCATAGATAGACTTGTGTATATGCTAAACTTCTTTCATACTATTCAGTTATTCTCCTAGAGTACCAAACCAAAGTTCTACAAGTACAGCTTGTTCTGGTCATCCAAACAGTCTGGCGTTTGCACAAATTATCAATTATCCAGAGCAATTCTAACATTTCATGAGCGTTTGAATGACCCAACACTGTCAATGCTAGTAGCCATGTCCCCTATAGAAAGGCATCAATTGGTTTGTCGTCTGTACACTACTAGGAGCTGCCGTATTTGCTAGTAATGCGAGGTCATTTTACACACAAATCATGCCCTGATTCTGATCTATTGGCCAAAAAAAAGCCACTGGGTATTTCTGTCCATGTTTTTACTTTTTCCGCTAGGTTTTCAAGAATCTTTCACTGTTACCTTATCTTTTCAACAAACACACACATAAAATATATCTCTTCAAGATGGGAAAAGTGCAAAAGAAAGGTAAAGATGAACACTGGACACATTAATTGATCTTTTCTCAATGTAAATGTTTACAACATAGCTGAGAAAAAGAAGAGTGTATCCAAATATGCCAATGCAGAATACGAACCACAAAATGGTAATCATCACAATTTGTTCCTTCCAAGCACCTGTTGTATTCAGCTCTATTTCTATATGTAGCCAAGGAACGTATTGAACATGAATTGCATTTACTCAACGTTCGTAAGCAAGCCATCACAAGCACCAAAGCACCTACAGTACATAAAGTTAAAAAGGCTACTACAAAGCGAGGAGTCAGTGCAAAGAAGCAAAAGAAATTGGCTAGAGCTCTTATGGTGGCAGACAAAGAAGAAAAGAGAATCGAAATAGCACAATCAAAAGCAGAGAAGCGCAAACTTGGAAAGCAACTTTGGGATTAGAAGCATTTTTTTTTTTATTTCATGATTCAACCAGCAGCATTGATTTACGATCCAAGACCTCTACCCTTTTTACGAATGATTGCTTCAATGGGAGCAACAATACCTTCACTCTTTGATCCCAATGCTTCACCTTGTTTCCAGCTAATTCAAATAAAACCTATTAGTCTAGAGTTTGACATTTGCATATACTATATACTTTACCCCATAGCAGCGAGCATACGATGCCCAACATTAGATTCACCAATAGGAGCAGCGTCAAAGGCGACCACCGTACCGTGCGATGGCCCAGCAGGGAATTGGCCATCTCCTCGCTTCTGTTTGGGTGTCGATGTACCACTGCTATTGTTCTTTTTGCTGCTATTGATAAACTTCTTTTTGCCCTTCTGATGAGGCGGTCCACCTTTCGACCTATTTTTCCCAATAATACGATTCTGTTCATCCATATTCGTTTGAATGTCTAACAAGTAACGACTGATGTAGCGTCGATCATTGGGTATACAAGTTGTAGGGGTTTTGGTGACAATGGTGCATCTTGATCCGCCGCCACCAGTGCTTTTGGATTTCAAATTGTATACTGCGGCAAGCACATGCAGCTGTCTGCGGACATTGGTGGCCATGGGTGCGAATTGGAAGCTGCTAATACTGTCATCTTGAACAAAATCACGCATACGTCTGTAGTATCCATATTTAGCTTTCATTCTTGCTGAATCTCTCGCACTAAACACTTACTCGTCAATCTTCGCCATTTGGTTTGTGAAATCAGGGTCTTCTATCTCGTTGGCTCTTCCTTTGCCATTCTTCTTCTTTTCCTTTCGATGTGCTTTGGCCTCTTCCCTCTTCTTTTTCTTGTCTTCTTTGCGCTGCTGCTTTTCATACCATCTTCTCATGCCAGGTCTCAGTCCCGGTGGAACATCGGCCAAGGCTGCTTTCAATGTTCGTCCAAAGATTTCTGGGTCCACTACAGAGTTGTCATCTCGCGTACGGTGCCCAACCTTCTTTCTTGTGTCTTCGTCAACAGCAGTGGCTCGTTTTCCCTTTTTGCTGGTAAATTTGGCTTCTTCTTCCTCCATGATAGGAATTTCTCTAGTAGATGGCTGATCCAACGTTGCATAGTCATACAAATCGTCTTCTAGATCTACTTCACAGTTGCCTTCTTGCATAGCAGACCAAGCTAGTAACTCGTTCAGGTCTTCTTCATCATCCAACTCAATGTGTTCCAAGTAGTCTTCCATAACGAGCATGTCGTCTTCCAATAATTCATCCTCTTCCGTGTCATACAATTCTTGATAATCTTCTTCGTCTTCGGAGGACAGACTTTGCGCAAAGTCTTGTTCGTCAGATGATGTGCCTAGATCAATCTCATCATCAGATGTGTCTTCAACTTGATCTTGCTTGTCTTCATCTTCACTTGACAAATTGATATCTTCCTGATCAGAGGAGTCTGTTGCTTCGTCCACTTTGTTCTTCGTACCATGGCTTGGTGTGTCAGGTACTGCGGCAGTGAATTCAGCGTAATCGAATGTTTCTACAGTGACATTGGTGGCCGGATTTTTTCCCTTCAACATGCCCCAGAGTTCCTTCTTGGCTAGAAGCTTTTCATCCACTGTAGCGTCTTCTAATGACAAATTAGACATAGACTCTTGCACAGTTTGTTGCTGCTCGGACACAATGGCCTCCTGTTCAATGACAACATTTTCTGCTTCTAAAGCCAGAGGTTACTACGCATGCTCCACCCACACTCTAGTAACAAGTCCATGTACCTTTGGTCAAGTCGATTGAGGAGGATGATTTGGTGAACAGCACTGTCTTCAGGTACTTTGATTTTCCTTTGGCAAATTGCTGGTTTGAATTTACTGCGGCATTTTGCTGGCTGGAGGAAGAGGATGCTCCTAAACCAGCACGATCCATGGCATCGTCGTAGTTGTCATCGTAATTGGAGCCAAAGGAGGGTCTACTTTCTCTGAAAAAACCAAGCTTGTTCTTCTTGTGCTGCTTTTGGCTGCCATTGCCTTCTATCATCACTGTATCAGTCAGGCTGATATAGAGCAAAAAACACATTGATAGTTTACTTTTAGCATGAGGTGAAAATTCACTCTCGGAATCGTCTTGGTCACTGCCAAACTGCCCATAGATTCTAAAATCGTCGTCGAATTCATCTACATTGGAGCGAGGACGGTAAACGTAGCCGATAGCCGATGGAATGAGTTCCCTGTTACGGCCTCTGCCACCGCCGCCAATGCTGATTCTGCCTCTGCCACGTCCTCTGGCACCTGCTCCACCTCTGCCTCTGCCTCGTCCATTTCCTCTTTTTCCACGACCGGGCATTGTCAATGTATTTCTAATAAGTGCAAAGAAAGAGAGCTCTTGATAAGAGCTTCCGCATTTATTTCAAGACATGCCATATCACTGCAAGTAAAACGAGTGACATTTTGAAAGCCAGTAGTATACAATCCATTAGTCTAAGCAAAGCCGCAGTATCATTCAGTTGATTGGATATCGACAATGTCCCTGATAAAGGTGTCTGCAATCAACGCTATTGATATAATTTGACATTTCAAGATGATAGCCATCAAGAGCAAACAGCCAAGGCAAGCCCTGCATGGCAGAGCATGGATGCTAGCTTGAAGATGCCATTACTTCAAGACATGTCGCATGAGATGATGCTGGTTGAGCATGTCCATAACTCGTCAGCATGTGCCAACACAAGAGCTGCCAAAAGAAGGCAGCATGGCTCTAACTACATGTTGCTGAATGGTGAATCAACTACCTTTTCTGGCCTCCCATATGGAAGCATGAATGCTGGATCTGTCTCAGGAGCATGATGAAAGCCATCTGGACTGTACATTTCATCCGGTCCGGGAAGCCAATACAACCTATATTCATTTGAGACGATCAAATTCTACGATAAAAAATTTGTTCTTGTAGCAAACCCTCTTTACATTTTGACAGAATGACTGAACAAAACACCACCGCTAAAACCGACGGTTCCATTACAACCTACTGTATCGAGCACGCAAAGACCCAGCAATCTAAATGTGCCGCCTGTGAAAAGACGATTCCCCACAAATCCCTGCGTGTAGCCGAGATCTTTAGAAAGAGTAAAAAGATCAAGAAGGATTTAGCCAAGCATACATGGTATCATTTCAAGTGTTTCAAAGGTAAGTCAGCTTGATCCATTGCTACTCAAGCACATGTCAAACTCGTAATCTCTACTCTTTAGTGCCTGAACTCTTGGTGCGTGTGCCAATTGAACAATTTAGAGGTTACCCTGCCTTGAATGAAAAGGACAAATCCCGTGTGCAAAGAGTGATCCAGAGCGGTGTTGGATCGTCTTGGGCTGATTTGATGGAAAAGGCTAAACCTGTCAAGACAGAAGAAGAATTAGAGGCTGATAAGGAAGAGCAAGCCAAAAAGGACAAGAAGAGAAAGGAGGACGAGGACAGCATGAATATGGACATGACAGCAATCTTGACAGGCACTCAACAAAAATCCACTAGCAACAAGTCAAAAGCTAATAAAAAGCCAGTGCCAGCATCTCCATCATCAGACAAGAAGGCTTCCACAGCAGAGCAAAAGAACAAAAAGGCATTGAAGGCCAAGACAGACAAAAAGTCCAAGGTGACCAAGAACAAGGCCACTGCTGCTGCTGCCGTTGCTCCTCCAGTCAAGGAAGTGAAGCTTCCCAAGGAAGATTTGGATGAATTACAAAACTTTGCAAAGGAGTTTAAGGCATTTAAATAAAGGATATGTGTATATACAAATAGATTTATTACATGACAGTAGTTTATTTACGACGCACGATTTCCCAACCATCAGCGTCCACTAAGGGCTCTTGAGGTGCCTCATCCATGTCATCGTCTTGATCATCATTACCATTGCCCTAGACATTGCGATTAGACTATTATATCGACACCATCGCCATGGCCCTCATCTTACATCATTGTGATTGCTATTGGTGTCTTGGCCCTCATCTCCTTCATCCTCGTCATTGCTGTCATCGCCCTGCTGGACACATGTGGAGGCAACAAAGGTATTCTGTGTCTTTGCCTTTTCACGGAGACGCTCTACTTCTTCATAGTTGCCATTGATGCATTGGTTGAATAACAGAATCAAATGTTTAGCAACTAAATAAGGCGAATCATCCTCCAGTGTAGCATTGAATTCATCTGTCATGATCTGTGCTAAAATATCCTCTACTTCATCAATGTCCAGCTTCTTTCCATCTACAAACCGTATGAGCCATGCAGATTTGGAGCTGCAAATGAAGAACCACCACACTTACGCTTGCCAAAGTGATCAATGATTACATCAATGAACCACTCCCTCTTCTCGGCTGAATCGACGCCTCCCCAATCCTGCTCGACAGCAAGCCTCAATGCGGTCCAGTTATGAAAGATGTAAGACACGCCTTCCTCAAAGGCGAGTTTGTTAGGATGTTGTGTTGCTGCTGATGCTGCTGCTGATGCCATTGTGATGCTCCCAGAAATGTATTGAAATGTCGAAAAAGATTTTCCTCTGCCTTTATATATCCTGATCTTGTCTCGGTGACTGGTTTGCATTGATAGCATTGCAAGTAGAACGCGAGTTGCGTTTTTGCGCGTGCCAATTTCCAATCTCTTTTCTTTTTCTCTTTCAAACACTACAAACCAGAAAAATGGATAAACCTACACCTCGCATCAACTCTGCCCTGAGAGAAAAGTTTGTTGGGCAAACAGTGCGTGTCACTGGTAAACTTGTCTCGGTAAGTACTATCATTTGATGAAGGTGCGAGTGGATTGTATTAAGCCGCTGCGAAATCGCACAGCTCTCTGGTAATACCGCAGTACTCGAATCAACAGATCACGGCCAAATCTTGGTTCACTTGAATGGAGTAAGTCTTCTTTATTTACATCGCACAAGGACCACGACGGTACTGATCATATCATTAGGAGAGTCAATGGGGTACAGATTACATTGAAGTCATTGGACAAGTCGAACCTGATTTCACCCTGAAAGAATTCAAGACGACTAACTTTGGAAATGATTTCGGTTAGTACAAGTTATATAAAAGGCAATGATAAGAGTAAGAGGTCATTCACACTTATTTATTAGATCTTGAATTGGCAAATAAGGTGGTCGAATACTCTCAAAAATGCCCTGATATGTTCCTCTGAGAGAGCCAAATATGTTTGTGTGTGTGTGTGTGTGTATGTGGCCCTGTAAATAAAATGTCACGATTGCTTTGATAAGATGTCTGATAATGCAGCTCGAATTTATTGATATGTGCGTGAATTTATATGTATGCTTTGCTTGTGAAAATGTGATTGAAAAATGCCTTAAAGTTCTTTGCCTAATTGCTCTGCTAATTCTCTGCCACGATCTTGTGCTGAGAACACTGCATCGGCCATAAGCTTTCTAATGTTGTTGGACTCCATCGAGTTGATGGCTGCTTCAGTGGTTCCCTTGGGAGAAGTTACTTTGCGACGTAGTGTAGCCAGATCGTCTTCTGATGTAAGAGCCATGCGGGCAGCACCAATGCAGGTCTGCAGTGTCAATGCCTTGGCATCTTCGGATGATAAACCTGCTTCAATACCAGCGTTTTCTATAGTAAATGTGATTGAATAAGAATGAAGCATGGTCTAAAACGTAATCTGATGAGATACTTACGCATGGCTTCCATAATCAAGAAGAAATAGGCTGGTCCACTGCCACTGATGCCCGTAACAGTATCAATCAGTGATTCATCTTCCACCCAGGATACTTGCTTGGCTACAGCCTTCATAATTTCTTCAGTCATGTTTCTTTGATCCTCATTGACAGCGTCAGTAGCAAATAACCCAACAGCACCTTCACCGACCAGTGCAGGTGTATTTGGCATGCATCTCACAATAGCAGCAGGATCAGTGGTATTCATCCATTTATAAATATCAGCAGTAGTGATGCCAGCAGCAATCGACACAATCAATGTATCCGCTTTTAATTTGAGATCACTCACTACCGAGCGAAGGACCTGAGGCTTTACGGCCAAAATAACAACATTTGCACCGTCAACGATTTCTTGATTATTATCAGAGCCGATCATATCAGGATATTTAGATTGCATGTATTGTCGACGTTGCTCAAAGGGCTCAGAATAACGCAAATGCTTGCTGGGATGACCGCTTGATTGGAGACCACAGAGAATAGCTTCGGCCATGTTGCCACCACCGATGAATGAGATGATTGGCTTTGTAATTTGCTTGCCACGCAGTGTGTTTGCAGCGGATTGGAGAGTTGTAGAGACCATATGAGATGTAATTGTTTGTAATCGGTTCAAAGAAGACATTTAGCTTTATTTTTATATCAATTGAGAAGAGAGAGAGAGATATTTATGCAATGAAATTTTTTCTGTGTGACTCTATCAAAGGAAAGGATGTCCTCACGGGGTTAAATGACGCTATTCATCATCTTGTTCTTCTTCATCAGAGCCAACACTGGGTATATCGTAGAGATCATTGTCAGATAAGGCACCGTGTCTAATGTTTTGGCGGTTTTTACAAATACGGTTAACTATATATATCATTTTGCATGACATAAGGAATATATGACGTACCTGAGCAATGTATCTTCTATCGCATCTATATCAAACCGGGACCCTGCTATATCAATAATTCTCACTAAATTTGCAACCAATATTCCACTTGTGTAAGCTAAAATGGCTGGTGATCCAACCAGATCAAAGTCAAGATCATTAGCTGATACTCGAATAAACTTGGCAAGCCTGTATTTCTGTGCTAAATCAAACAAGATGGTGTCCAGTTCTTTGCATTTGGGTAGACTATCATCATATATGTGGATAATCACAGGTATCGTCCTCCATTCATCATCAATCTCATTCGCATAGTCATCTGCATCAATCGTGTGGTAGGTTCCAAATAGCTTTTGTTGTTGTCGGATCGACTGATTTCCTTGCTTTAATCTTTTTAGCTCATTCAATCTCTTTTCTCTGTAAAATTTGAGATCATCCTCATCCAGCTCATCTTGCTGCTGTTGCTGTTGTAATATCAGTAGCTCTTGCTCTTTGGCATCTTGCAAATAGGTGGTAGTTGTAGGTGCTTTGGCCAACATGCTTGCATTATAATCTGCACGTGCTTTGTTTTTCAACGCTAACTGTATTTGTTGCTGATAATCATAATCTGCTCGCACTCCTTTAGGTCCAGTGTGGGGTCCTGATTGTCTTTCTTCGTGCGGAATAGAATTTACCTGTATAAGGTTGTGTGTGTGGGAGACAATTTGTTAGTCATGGTATAAGATGGAATGTATGTAAATCATATGCTGGTAGAAATCTTATTTATTTTTCGGGTTACCCTGGGCAGCTTATTTACAAAAGGGGGGGGGGGGTACATCTCCAATCTTTGTTACCATGGTTACAGGCAAACAAAAATTCAGGGGTAACTTTTTTTTAGGAGACGCAATGAAAAGAGAGAGAGAGAGGATGAAATGATGGATGTGGGGTTAAAAAACTTACCAAAGATTCATTATGATCGTCCTGCTCTGATTCTGAACCTGATTCTGGCTCTATTCTACGCTTATCTTCGATTTCCTCCAGCGAAGTGTTCTGTAACTGAGCCCACAATGCATCCTCCATTTTGCTTTTGATTGTTAAATGTGTGGAAAAGAAAGGACGTGTTTTCAAGTGGATGGAAGAAGAGAGAAAGAAGACTGCTGCCAATAAAAATCTGTCAATCTTAAATGTAAGTCTCCTTAGAAAAACTACTTTTTTCAAGTTGTTTGGCTCACATACAATGGCGAGCAAAAGGGAAAAAAGGAGCAAGTATGGTTGATGAATCAAAAACGAAAATGTTGTGGCAGGTTTGCCTTTTCTCTTTCTTTCTTTCAACATTCTAATCATACACAATGGGAGCCAACATGTCAAAAGCGCTAAACAAGATATTCGGGACCAAGGAAATGCGTATCCTGATGTTGGGATTAGATGCAGCAGGCAAAACAAGTAAGCGATTTCCATGTGTGTCATTACATGATTGAATTTGATCTAATACAAGGAAGCAATTCTATATAAATTAAAACTAAATCAATCGGTTACTACAATTCCAACTGTGGGGTTCAATGTCGAATCAGTTACGTACAAAAATGTGAAATTCAACGTTTGGGTAATGTGTAAGTTTGGCTTATGCTCAATATAGCACTGTATTGACATGGCATGAAAAGGATGTTGGAGGGCAAGATAAGATTCGTAATTTATGGAGACATTACTATACTGGTACGCAGGGCCTGATATTTGTCATTGATTCACAGGATCGCGACAGAATTGAAGAAGCAAAGCAAGAATTGCATCGGATCATGTCAGATAGAGAAATGAGAGATTGTTTGTTATTAATTTTTGCAAACAAGCAGGACCTTCCAGGAGCATTTACACCTGCAGAGGTTACTGAAATACTGGGCCTGACTAAAATGCGTGATAGACTATGGTATGTTCATCCTTCCTGCGCTACAACAGGCGAAGGTTTATTTGAAGGGTTAAATTGGTTGAGCCAAAATGTAAAAGCTGTGATGATACGTAAATAAAATCAAAGTTTTGAGAAAGCAGTGCCAGCGAATATCTTCTTTTCAAAATCTCCATCATCCTCTTTCATTTGACGTGAAATCAATTGCTTCATACCTCTCACTGCGTTGGGAGAGACTCGTTTACCGGTTCTATCATCCACCAAAAATGGCTTCAAGTATAATAAACTTGCATTCAAACATTCACTGTCTTTTTCTACTATCAAGTCTGCAAGCCCTCCTTCAATGCACTCCTGTGCAGTCAATCGGTAGCCGCCTGCCATCCATAAAAGAGCTTTCTTTCTCCCCACAAGTGCCACCAAACGTCTTGCGCCAGACCACGGACTCGACACCCCCATCCTGGTTTGTACAAAATGAACAAATGCTGTCTGACTCATACAGACAAAATCAAATGCTGTAACTAATTCTGACCCACCGCCGATAGCACCTCCTGTTACCACAGCCATTGTGATTAAGGGCAGTCGATAAAGTCTTTCGATTGTCTGTTGCATCAACTCATTCATGGCCAAAGACATGTCTGCGGATTTCACATGTTCACGAGCAAAACTGAGATCTATATATAAATCAATGAGAATTTGAGAAGATTGCTAGCTGCATACCAGTAATTAATCTACCTAAACCAGCACAAAATGACGATTGACCTCCTCCCTTTACTAAAAGGGCAACTAGATCATTTGTTGAGTTGCGCTCCAATTTAGAGACGGCATGATGGAACTCAACCATCATCTTTCCGGATAATGCGTTGTGCCTTTTGGGATTGTCGATGGTTAAGAGAGCGATTCCCGGCTGGTAATAGAGATCTAGTCTTATAGTACCTTGACCTTTGCTGGCAAGTAGCTCAATTGTCTTGTTCATTTACTAAAGACGATGAATAAGAAAAAAGTAAAAGGCAAAAGAAGAATGGTGAGAATGTGATACGACTCACGTCAGCTTTAATTATTCGGCTTTGTGTATCTGTGAATGCTTTAATCAAACTCATCCTTTATACAGTCCTTTGTTTCTTATTTAGAGATATAATCTGCATGTGCTTGATGCCTGCACCTATTTGTACGGCACTGAAAGTCGCCTTGAGATCTCGATTCCGTGGAGCTTTTACAGTAACAACTGTATTATAAATACACACCAGAAGGCGAAAGTTATGAAGAATTATTTAACAATTTACAGAATTCAACAGGTTTATATCCTATCCATTATCATGAGATATATAAGGAATTTAAGGAACCATGTAAATATATAATAAAATCAACGAAATGACAGAGGTAGCGAGCTATAAAGCTGTATAGATAAAAGTTTATTAAGACATAATAAATAAGATAATTTTAGTAATTTTATAAGCTGCAGTGGTATATAATCTTGTTTCTGTTTCCTGCCGTTTACCAACGATCCCGTAACACATTAACTTTGGCAATAGGCAAACCGAATGCTTCATCCTTGATTTGAATTTTAATAGAAAATGTAAGAGATTTTCGGTAATGCTGTGGACAGAATCGACAAGATTGTCTTCACCAGTGGTGAACATAGATATTTTGTCTCCTGGTACAGTCTAATGATTATTTGCATATCTAATTTGGGCCAGAAAACTAACTTTTACAAGGAAGTATGATTAAGAATAAAAAAAAATTCAAGTTGTATGCATTCGGTTATGACACTTTTATTACAACAACTATACCATGATAAATGACAGATCAATAGGAAATTAACTAGTTGTAACCCTTTGTTGTCTCAACCTCTCAGCCAATCAGATTGCTTGAAAACTCCGCTGACCTAAAAAAAATTTGCGAGGGTTTCCCCCTGTTTTGATGTGAGGCAAAATTTTAAACACCGCTATATATATAGCAATATAGCGGTAGCTATCATCAAATTTCCCTCAGGTGCTAGAGCATGCCTTGCTTACACCACCTAGCTTTAAATTCAGGCATTGAGACCCTCAATTATCACTAAAGTAAGTAGCGATAACCAAGTGGAGGCAGCCTATCTACCTCCTAGCCTCGGATAAAGTTTTGTTGAGCTTCAGGGATAGGCACATCCACACAACGTAAAGAAGTATGCTTCAAAGAAACATGATAATGTAAAAAGAAAGAAAAAAAGAGAATATTACTATAGCAGTATAGTAGTATGTTGGCAAAAAAAAAAAGAATACTCGCACAAAATGAGTCAAAGAAAAGTATATCACAAATACAACATCAAAGATGTTCAAAAGAGCTCGTTGTTGTTGCAACAAAAATGCATACATGAGCATCGTGCATGGCAGTAGTAGTCGGCTGTAAAGCAAAATAAACACGCACAACTGCAAAAGCAATAGTGGTATTATAAGTTTGCAATACAACATAATGACTAATGTTGTTTCATGTGAAGCCACAGAGGAAACACCACCAACAAAAAAAGAAAAAAGAAGAAAAAAGCGCAACAAGGCAAACATCATGAATGCATTATCACGAGAAAGGAAGCAACGATATAAGCGTTCAAAGAAGTTTTATATCATTGCGACCAGAAGAAAGAAGATACTTACCACTTACCACAGCCACAGATAGTGTGGAATTTGAGGCTTTACAGACTAAAATTCACGGAAAAAAAAGAATAAAAAAAACAGTAATGTCAACTTGATAAAGGTATATTTTATTATCAAACTGACAGGTGTAAAGTAAACTGAAGTCTCTCTACTGGCCAGGTAGATGGTCCTTCTTATATACTATAACAATGGATAAAAGTTCTATTAATTAGATTGACAAATAAGTCAACTCAGATCAACTAATGTCTAATCATGCCAAAAGACAACTCCAGCAAGCTAATCATGATTTAGCTCTGTCTGGATGAATAATTAGACTCTCATCCGAAGTACCCTGATCTATCCTTTCCATAAGGATAATTAATATCGATCTAGTAGCATGTATCCGATAGGTACAGTCTTCTTAGTCTATATTAATAGTACATATCTGAGTGTATATCGCTAAGCATACATCTTTAGCATGTATCTGGATATATGGCATGTCTATAGCATATCGTATGCATGTCTATAGCATGTCTCATATATAGTACAAGTCTGTAGTACATAAAGTATCTGTAGCTAGTATCACGGATATAAGCATGTGTCTTATAGCGTGGATCATGAAGTGCACATCTGAAGCAACAAGCTCATATTGCATTAATCTTGGTGCCTATCCAGATATGGTAAACATCCGTAGTCAATGTCGGAATACAAGTATAAGTCTATAGTGCCATCCATGTCCGTGGTGCCATCTATAGCCTATATCTTATATAGTATGAATCTTATAGTACTAGCGTATCTGAAGTCCATATCTTCTCATGATCATAGTATAAATCGATATCGTACATCTAATCCAGTGTACATACAGTTTATATCTAAATCTGGTAACTGGATGAACTGTCGGAATGCAGATCATAGTGGATGTATTCCACAGATAGACCATACGAGTATAGGCAATCACCGGAGAGACAGACCAGAGAACAAGCATGCACCAAATACAGTAGACCAGGAAAGACCAGTTTAGCGGCAACAACACCAGCACCATAGAAAAATCAAAGAATGAACGACACCAGAGACCAAACAAAGACCAAAGAAGCAACCACCAGACATGACAAACTAAAGAAGCAGACAGCAGAGATAGCAGAGAAGCAATGGCAGCAGCAGCACCCACGTCAAACAGACAAAAAATCATCAAAACCTAATAAACAAATTCAATTAGTGTTAATTCTACGCCTTTCAGTGCTCGTTATCGAATGGTACCTAGCATATTCCACGTCAAAAAAGCAGTATCAAGTTCTTCCAACGGTACAAGAGAGAGTTATCGGAAGCTAGAGTGTTATTATCAAACAAACAGTTTCCAAAACGACCATGGTTTGATGCTGAACGCGTTTCGCAAAAAAGGAAAAAACACGGGTTTATGGAAAAATGAGAGGGCATCCTATCCGACGTCACGGCCAGTAGATTTGGCCTCAGTCTTCTGTCGTCGTGGCAGCAGTAATTGCGGCAATTTAATTTGAGATTGTGCAGTGGGTGTTTTCGTGTTCAAACTTGACTTGATATCACATCCTTCGAATATTTTTGCTAAATTTGACTATGAAAACTGCCGTTGTCACACCCAACTTTCTATTACATCTCTAGAAGACTAACGAAGCGGCATCGAATGGTGCTGATTACTTTCAGCTTTCAGACCAAAAATAATGAGCAATTTGCAAAAATATGAAAACATGTTTTTTTGCCAAAATGTTGAGATTTCACATACCAAAATCTCATGGAAAGAGTTTTCAATGTTGCATTCCATCTTTACGATCAATTTGATCTGATATATACCATAGGAAAAGTTTTCATTTTTGGGGTGAAAAACGCGATTGTTTGATTTTCAGGAATTTTCCCTTGCTAATACTCATGAAAATATGAGAATTTTCATGGATTTGCAATGATCCAAAAAATTTGAGATAACGCATCAGTAAGTAAAGGGTATCAAAGGAGGGTGACTTGGTCCTATTCCAAGCGTCTACAATGCTTTGTAGCATGAGTTATTCGTGCTTCAAAATGGCTAGATTCGAACAGAATCTGGCCTAAAAATAAAGCGCACTAACTAGGTTTTGTTGCAAAAGAAGTAGGTGAATTACAGTTCTGTTTGATGAGCCAGATGTTCTGCATTGTACGGAACTTAGTTTCTAAGTGATAGTTGCTTTTATTGTAATTCTAATAAGGCATAAAGTTTTTTTTTGAATTACGCTCTTACAGTAATTTGAAGACTTAGGTGTCAATGATATTACGTAAATATTGATTCTAACAACTTGCTAGGATTGAATAAATGTTCGTTAAGTTAGCAGGACACTTTTGACGGTTGCCCACAACGGAGATGCTATATCTAGCCATAAAATTGGGCTTCGAGTCTATCCACGATGTTAGACATTCATAATTGAATACACTGTAATAATCAAGAATAACCCACTCAAACAACGATGTACACAATAAGGCTGCATGTTTATTACTCTAGCATTTTAATTGGTGATTGTTCAAGTACTGTCTATTTGATGAGCGCTGCTTTATTAACCGTGTTGTGCCAGAAAGGCTACACGTGTCTATAAAGACTAAGGTATTCTTGAGAGGTAGATATGTCTGTGTTGTGCAACAATATGGACCAGCTATGATAATTGAAATGCATCTCATCCATCTACATGCTGAGGTCCACCGGATGTGATAATAAACACGCTACAAGATAAATTGCTACTACTTTGATATCCAGAATTCAGTATAAATAGGATAACTCTTGTCTTCATCAACAAATCTTTAGTTTTTTGGGCCTGATCTTATTCAAATATGTCTTTTCTTGTTTTTGTGGTATTATCAAACATTTCTTATAAGCTGCAAATTATAATCTGTTTATTCTCTATGCTTAACAAACAGAATCAAATACTGTGCTAGTCGTAATGCGGAAATTGATGTGAGGACAAGGTATTAGATAAGGCCATCTAGGTGATAGGATAATAGCTTTAAATTGTTATCCTGAACATTCCATAACTGGAACAGTAATTCTATCCCGTTTCATGTCAAAGTGTTATGATCTGCTATGATCTGTGCTTGAGCTGCGAGTTTCTTTGCGTTCAACGATTTGGTTTAAAAATGGTACATCATTATCGATACGAGAGCTTTGAAATTAGTATATTACTAAAGCAAATTTAGGAGGGAAATGATGGTGTAATTAGATTTTAGATGGGATGAATTGTTGCAGAGGTGTAAAAGATTTCCGAAATAAGCCATTTTTGAGTAGTAATAAGCTATACATAAAAACTTGGTAATTACCATTAATTACGAGTAATAAGTCGATAGAGCAGATGATGGGTGACGCTATAATAAAATCCGCTGCTTGATGATATCTTACTTCGTTGTGTTGTGGCAAACGTTTAAAGCTGTGCTGCGCATTCTACAAAAATTGTGGAACAGCTGTTCCAAGCCCTATGTTAATGTCACAGCCTTTATATCACGGCCATTATATGTCTATTTTGAGGCGCTGCTAAGTGTATAAAGGGATTTTCAGTCCCTGCTTTAGTTATTAAATAATTACTCGAAGAAAGTGTAACGAACCCAATAAATATAAAAGAGCACTCTATTTGGGCGCTATTCTTTGTTTAACTATCAACTCAACCCGGTCTCTCCATCAATTAACCTTTGCTTCCCTGTGTTTGCTCGACAGAATGAGACCTCGTTTGACCACCTACGATGTTTCTTTGTAAAAATGGTTTTTTGGTCGTCAAATTGAAGTTTACAGTGGCAAAAACACGCTCTTTATATATAACACCACGAAAGCATCAACGTGGTGCTCAAATCTATAAAATAAATTCAGGGAGCGGTACGGCTAGTAACAATGCACAAAAAGAATTTTATATGCGCCACTACAGCAATAGTTAGCTCTGAGCGATTGTTTTTCGACAATTTGGCTGGGAATGACCTATTGGGTGCTGTAGAAGCATTTGAACTGATGCTACGACCTCGAATAAGACCTCAAACTATGACAATAAGTTAAGTCTACGTAACAAATACTGCTACAGGTAAGTTGGTACAGATTTAGTACTTGCTTATCTTTGAATGCCCTTAAAAACATGAAAAGCAGGCTTTTCTGTATACATGCAGCTGTGAAATTATTATCAAACGTTGCACTATTCAATACGCAATGGTCGCTATGAAAGAGATTGCGTTTGAGCGAGTGAAAGCGAAAATATGCATCCTGTTTGATGTTGCGGGATCACTCTAGTTTTATTTAAGCCAGCAGCAGCTCAGTAATGCCAGATCAAGGGTGATCAACGCTAAATTCGGTATGTGGCAGCGTCAATGTATGAGCAAGTAGGTGCTGGGACACCTTGGCTTAAAAGCAGTGTTCTTATCTGGCTTTATTTGCTCCTAATGTACGTTCCAAACTAATATATCATTATGAATCATAAAATTCTATACATTTATGACTTGAGACATTTTTCTCTATGTTTTAAAAGAAGTGCTCACAAACGATACCTACGCAATGATGCTAAATCTCAGTGCACCGTAGCAACGAGGGCAACTCTAACATCTGATATAACCCCATTTCTTATTGCCTGTGTGAGTTGTTGTCTCTTGATATTCTTTTAATTCAGCATTTCAAGCAGCTTTGAACTTTAAGTTAGGCCCTCAATGTGCAAAATGCGTAAGATGGCTTTATAGCTGCTCTTTGACATTCCAATCACCAATGTTTTAACCAGTCTTTTTTTTTTTTGTGTGTGAAAACCTGAGTGTAAATCAATGTCCAGCGTATAAACCAGTACAAAAGATGCATGAATTCGTATTTTTTTTTTCTTTTGACTTTCTTTATTTCATGAATGGATACCATAACAACTAACTCAATATCAAAACGTAGAGCAAGTGAACCGGAAGCGAGCGAGGCGATGGCCCTGATCAGTAGTGCTAATAGCCAACAAAATAGGGTGCCACCACCTTTACCCTATTTACCAAGCGACTATAGACCCTCTCCCGACAGCCCGCGTCATTTTGTAGCAACCCAACATCCTCTGCTCTTCGATGCTCTTCATAACAACTCTCACAACAAAAGACAGCGCTCTCGCTCTATAGGTTACCCTCTGGCGATCGAGAATACGGCGGCAGGAGCATCAGCTTCGGGTAGCGTGTCTGGTTCCTCTTCTTCCACCACCAATAATACGCTTGTCAATAACAGAGAGCATTTTGAGCTTGTCCCCTACCGTGAATGGACTGTAATAGCGTAAGCTACCGTATACATGGCATCAGCAAAGCATTGAACTTACTCACGTCGCCTTTAGACGAAACAACCAAAAAGGCCAACTTGTGTTATATAACCAAGATAGTCATTTAGTCACTGTTCAAAACTACTTGCCAGATCATTTCGCACACCTCGATCCCAACACACCGATTCAAGTATGTACTTGCAGCTAATCAAATATATTCGCCATCTCTGAAGTTGTGATAGATGAAATCAAATGAAGAAAATTATTGTCCTTATTGTCACCAATCCTTGCATAATGCCTCATCAAGGCCCAAACCAAAAGTTTGTATGAATTTTGAGGGTTGGAGCGAAAGATTTACCAACGACGTCTATTTAGAGGGATGAACCGGATTTCATGGATCGCAACTACTTTCGTTTGTTGGCATCATCGCAGACAAACACGGCAGCAAAGTAAGTGCAATGCAAGTCTTGAAAACAGGTCAAAATCAACTGACAGGCGCTGCTTTCTCACAGTTCTCCAGTACAGTCTCGATCAAGCACATTCAGCACAGACGCAGCGAGGCCGCCACCTATCAGTGCACAAAATTTGAACGCAAATGCATTCAACCAAGGGTACTATTCCAAGTTTTTCGTGGAAATGAACAAATTGGGGAAAGGATTTCGAGGCAGCGTATTCTTGTGCGAGGTAAGCAAGACTGTATAAATGCATCTGTCATCTTGGTCTGATGGCTCTTATAAATCAGCACATGCTCGACGGTGTTAAACTGGGTAAATATGCAGTGAAAAAGGTAGCGATTGGTAACAACCATCCATGGCTTGTGCGCATGCTTCGAGAGGTTCATCTATTGGAAAGACTTCGACATCCCAACATTGTCAGTTATAAACATTCTTGGTTGGAATACAATCGATTGACGCCCTTTGGACCTGAAGTGCCTTGTCTCTTTATTTTGATGGAATGTGCGAATGGAGGCAATTTGGAAGAGTATTTTGAGCGTGTAAGCAGCAGCAAACCGGAAAAGACATCAACCAATGCATCTGCCGCCAACATGCAACAGAAAAGACGCATGTCCTCCAAAGAGCTGAAGCGCGAACGCATTCGAAAGCAATACCAGGCACAAGAGTCCTTTGAGAAAGAGCAGGATATATCTGCACCTATAACATCTGTATCCAGACGCTTATTGACAATGACTGAGATTTGGTCCTTGTTTTTGGACATTGTGCAAGGTCTTGCTCATTTGCATCAGCAAAACATTGTGCACAGGGACTTGAAACCGCCAAATTTACTACTGCAATACGATGAACGCAGCCGAAATGGCCATCAGAGGATGTAAAGTATGGTGTTTATGGATTAGAGTACTATTTGACTGATGGTGTACATCTAGACCCCGAGTTTTGATCTCTGATTTTGGTGAATGCGAGGATTTGGATGAGACTCGTGTCGATGATAATCGAACTGGAGCCACAGGTACATTGGAATTCATGGCTCCAGAACATGTCAAGCTTGATCCAAGAGGTAGAAACACAGTGGATTATTCGCCAAAGGCAGACATGTGGTCCCTTGGCATGGTTTTGTATTTTCTTTGCTATTCCAGGCTTCCTTACAGTGTGATTGATGATGTGGAGATATTAAGAGTAGAGATTCTCGACTTCAGAGAGCAAGTATCCATCAATCCTGATCGTCTTTAAGCAAACTAACAGCTGTGAATAGTGTGCAATTTCCAACGTCCAGATTCGACATTTACAAAAACGATCCAGCACTGTACACTGAGGCATTGAATAATCCCAATATAACATCCGACATACCAAACGAGCTGAAACTACTCATTCGCATGCTGTTATCCATTGATCCTTCAAAGCGCCCTTCCTGCAACGAGATTTTGACCAAGCTTCGAAGTATCAGACGAGATGAAACAGCGTCCATATTTCAAGATATACCCAGTGAATGGAATGGCTCTTCCACAAGTAATACAGCGCCATCAACATCCATCAACAGAAACCCCACTGCAACAACAATCAAGTCGCCGTCTCCTCTCGACGACACTATCATTGTAGATGCAAACGTGATAGATCCCTCTAGCTCTTCCCAACAGCGTCCTGCAACAAAGCACCGACATTCATCCTCTGCCATGTCCACAGGTCGAGACGGCTCAGCATCCAATGATAGCAATACATTGCGAAAACGTCAACGTTTGTTGGGAAACGTGGAGGTAGATGAGGATACGGTTATGGCAGAAAACGACGAAGATGTCAATGATGAAGAAGAAATGCCGGATGCAGCGCAAGAGACGCCACGATTGCTGCTCGGATCTCCTGATTTGGATGAGTCGCATCCATCTACTCGCTGGTTATCCGATCATCATTCTATCCAGATTATAAAGATTGTCACTGTTGTGTTGAAGGTAACCTATGCTCTGGATTGGTGTAACACGTTTCTAACATGTTCATCCCAGATTGCGTCGTGTAGCTATTCTTGCTCTCCCTATTCAGCAAAACCCGGTGCGCTGTATCCTGTTATAATGTTTGCTCTTCTCGATTTTTGGAGCGAATCAAGCTCTCCCAGCTTCCTACTGATGGTGGTTCATGTTGTTTGGATCATGAGCACCACACTGTTGACGGGTGGATTGTGTGAAGCTTAAGTCTATATGATAAAATGCTACTTTCGGAGTCCATATGTATTTGTCATATCAACTGTTCTCAGTGTGGGAGAAAGCACGCAATCATCTTGAAATAAAGACAAATCTATATTTCATTTTAGCGTTTCCTCACTATCTTTTTGTCTTTTTCACACTTTCTTTCATTTCAAACCGCATCATAAGCATGTCAAGAAACAAGCAAACCTCTGCAACCGCCGACTTTATCTCTGGAAAGTAAGGAATCTCGACACATGGCATATTCAACAAGGCTTACATGAAGCTTTCAAATCAAATTAGTTTCGGTGGCATGTCTCAAGTCATTGTGGGTCAGCCTTTAGATACTATCAAGGTCAGACTTCAATTGGATCAAGGCAGATTCAAAGGCGCCTGGGATTGTACTGTGCAAACTGTACAAAAAGAGGGCTTCTTTGCTCTATATAAAGGTAGGGTATTGGATTCGAATCCTTGATTTGGGTGTGTGTTCCTGAAAATCTTTTTTTTTTTTTTTTTTTTTTTTTTTTGTCGAGGAAAGGTATGGCAAGTCCACTGATTGGTATCGGTGCAGTCAATGCGCTTTTGTTTGCAGCCAACTCATCCATCAAAAGCAAGCTTCAGACGCATCCTGATGAGCTGCTCTCGTTGGACAAAATTGCATTAGCAGGTGCCGGCGCTGGTTTTGTCAATAGTATCCTAGCTAGTCCTGTTGAGTTACTCAAAATCAAGATGCAAGCACAGTTTGGATCCAAATCTGTCGATGGAAAACGTCATTTCACGGGCCCAATTGATTGTGCAAAGTATTTGATCCAGAGAGACGGCATTGCTCATGGACTATTCAGAGGATTGTGGGCTACAATTGCTCGCGAGATCCCAGCTTATGCTGGTTTCTATTCAGGGTTTGAGTTCACAAAGAGACATCTGACTCAGGGTCAAGAGGCAAGCGTGCTTCAGCTGATGATGTCTGGTGCTATGGGTGGCGTCAGCTACTGGGTGTGTTCATACCCTTTGGATGTGGTGAAATCAGTGGTAAATCTCCTTGGCATTGAATAGGGAAATGGGTATATCAATTAACTATGGATGATTAGGTTCAGAACCAAGTAGAACCTCCTAAAGGCTTGTATATCACACATGTGCTAAAGCAAATATATAGACGTGATGGTCTTGGAGGCCTCTTCCGTGGCTTCACACCTACAGTATTGAGAAGTATTCCTGCAGCAGGCGCAACATTCACGGCTTACGAACTTTCTATCCGCGCATTCCAAGCCAACGGCTGGTAAAAAATCGGAGTCAACCTGTCAAAAAAGCTAATTGTATGATAGTAATAAAAGTTTTATTTAAAAGAGAATGAAGACCATAGAGAATGAAATCACTTAAATGAGCTTGATATATTTATATATGAATTTGTTGATATTTAGGGATGGGGGGCAAAGGCTATTTTATCATGAAGATGAAGATGAGAAGATATAGCAAGCAAAAGGAATATTAAAAAATGCATCATCACGCCTGATTTGATATGGATCAGATGGATTATTGTGGTTCTTCTTTGACGAGAGTCTCAGCATTTTGTTCACCACCTCCAGCACATGCCTGAGCCTTCTCTTTAGCTTCCTTGTTCTCACGAAGAGCAGCAGTACAAAGTTGAGTCAAACGAGTGAATCGCTCATCTTCGTCATGAGTTTCAGATGGGGATGTTGTGCCTGAAGAGTTGGAGGTGCTAGGGACGGGCGTTAATGGTTGATTTTTGGCACACTCAGAAGCATCAGGCTTGCCGCTGGCATCAGATGTAGTAGCAGTAGCCTCACCTGCAGTTGAAGCTTGTGCTGTAGTGTTACCGTTGACCAAGATGGGAGCAGGATAAGCAGAGTATACAGGGAGAACATACTGGCCAGGGACTATTTCCTTGCTGGTGCCATCCGTATTGTAGACTGTAGCGTAGCCATAGGATTCGTAAGATGAGGCATATTGGCTCAATTGAGTAGGATAGCCAAAGTCAGGAGCGACAGTAGCAGCCGTTGGAACAACATTTGCTGTAGCGGATACAGTGGGGGGTTGAGTAGCAGGAGCTTGGTAGATGGGTGTTTGTTGTTGTTGTTCTTGCTGTTGTTGTTGCTCTTTGGGCTTTTCTTCTGAACATTTGATTAGCATTTGATCCCACCATTGTGTAATTTCCTAATTATTTACCTCCAATGTTCTTTTGTCTTCTCTTGTATGGACCACGCTTGATGCCCTTCTTGCGTTCTTTTCTTACCGAGTTAACACAAGAGTCAGCAATGCCATACTTCTCGCAACGTGGACATGGTCTTGCATCATCACACTTCTTACAGGCTTTTTGGCAATTGGCTATAGTAATGTTAGAAATAGACAAGATTAGATGTCGTCATCACATAATTCAAGTGAAAATTTTTTCATATATAAAATCTGTATATCATGACTAATAAAAAAGCGCGAAGAAAGAAAGGAAATGGTACTTACTACAAGCATTTTTGACCTGGTTACGTTTAGGAGGAGCTTCCGCTGGTCTAGGAAGGCCAGTAGGTTGATTGAGAGTAGCAACAACGTTAGCATTGTTGGCTAAAATGGGAGTAGGAGTTGGAACAGTCATTTTGGAGTAAATAAACGATGATACGCAGTGAGCTACAAGGTGTTTTTTTCAAGCAAACATATCAGCAAAACCTGTTACCAACTTTTACATCATACCAGGCGTTTTTTTTTACCTTTTTATCAGTTGATTATATGGGCTTTAGAGTAAAGAAGAGTAGAAAGAAGGTAACGATATGAAAGGCGGCGCTACAAACTGACTCTTAATGGCAGTGGAAAAAAAAAGTAGAAAGGGGTTCTATTTTGCTTTTGTCGTTTAGTTTCTTTCTTTTCTTGATTCCGTCTCTTTTTGCTGACCTACCTTTTTATGTAAAATAGTACTTGATTTGTAAAACAAAAGAAAAAAGCCTTGGGATTTTTCTGGTTGTTAAAAAAAAGGGTCGAACAAAAAGAAAAAGAATACAAAATGGAAAGAGATGGAAGAAAATAAATACGAAAAAAAACAAATTTCTTATTGCAAGGGCGGAGTAATTTGATGACCAAATCCAAAGAATACACGCACCTTTATTTTTGTCGTACATATACAAGGTGATTTATATGTTAATAGTTGATTATTCAAAAGGATCAGCATTGCCTACATTCTATGAAATATTGAAAGCGAGTTTTCCAAGCACATTTCCGATTCACACCCATATTTCAATCTACTACTTTCAACATATCATCTCAGCGTGAATAAAAAAAAAATAATCCCTACTGAGATTCATGATTTAATACATCTTCATCATGAATTGAGATGTATTGGAAGCAGCAAAGCCAATCTATGACTCTCAGTATAATGCTGGCACTAAACTATGAATGCTTTTGCAACATGTTTATTTATCAGATGTCTTCATATAGTGATAGCAATAAGAATCGTGCAAGGATGGGATCTATCCAAGATCTCCAACAATCTCAATCAAGAAAGAAACTGCAGGCAAATAGAGCTAAATTTCAAATTTGTTCTCGATTCGAAATTCAATGCTGATGCGGTAGACGCTTGATTGAATCTTTTTTTTTTTTTGGAAGAGAACGCTCATTCGAAAGAGGCGTACATTTGCAATTAAGAATTCCTGAACATCATTGGTCAAGTAAAAGTTGATTCTAGTTTGCCCAGAGAATACACACAATAGAGCCTTTCATCATGTGTTCATTTCATCAAATATAACATTGATCGTTCTCCTTTCACATATCTCCATGACAGAAATGGATATGCTGCACTTGAATAAAGGTGGTGCGTGCACTGGAAGTTTATGCTTTATGCCAATGCATCATTTGAATAGGCGAAAATTTTGTATTTCACTTCAAAGTTTTGGACCTTCAATTCCAAAAGATATTTGGCGCTAAAAGGCCCTGACTATTTAAGCCATTCTTGATGCTCCCGCCTGCCTCAAATGATTTGTATTCAGAACCAAAACGATCTAAAATTGTCTTTCTCTAGGTAATTAGCAAACCCGCAGCTTTTTTGTTCATATAAGCCGAGCGAAATAGCACTTTTATAATAGCAGACATAAGTAAAACGTCGTAACAACGTAGAGTGCTCAAGCTGACGATTTAATTCATCAAATCAAAGCCTGAACCAATAAAACGTCTGCCCTGAATTTTTTCATCGCCGGTTCAAATTACAAAAGGAGGAGCTGTCCATCATGATGGACAATGCTTGACAGATGCATGATCCAAATCATAGCAGTATGACAGTAGAATAAAATATTTGGCACCCCTTACATTAAGCTTAACCTATTAGTTGTGGCTTTATGGGTATTTGGTTTGCACATCGTTCACAATAATTTTATTTAATTACTCGTAAAATTAGGCATTCATAATCTCAAAGTTTCAATTTCTTTTTGTATGGAGAGTATGTTAGGCGAGATCTTCTGGCTTCGACTCTTGAGAGACTCAATTACTATATTTAAAGTTTTTTAATTGAATTTCAGATATGATATGGATTTTACTTACAGTTTTCAATAATGACAACATCTTTCTGTTTTACATGTTGATGAGGAGGTAATATCAATACGGCCTCTAGCAAAAGGACTGATTCCTCGTATTTTGTTTTACAGCTAAACAAATCTTCGCCCACAAGCTGTGAAACAGCTGCCTCACGACTCTACAGCAACACTCCATTGTTAGCAGTTTTGCATTGAATAATAATAAAAATCACCGATACTATACCATCTCCACTGCATTATCGTACAGCAATCTTTGAATGACCCGTTGATCGATCTTTTTCTTGTAGTTTGATTGAATCATTGTGAACTTGTTCAATTCCTCTGCTGCCCATCTTAAAATATCTCTCTCTTCGTCTGTGTATCTAGGGCTCATCTTGACCATGACAGCTTTACTCAACAGAAAAACAATCTTCCGCACCAATGCAACGGATTCTTCGCCCAGTGTTTGTCTTGCCGCATACATCTGACTAGAGTGGGTCAAATTATTGTATAGTTTGATCAAACAGTTTATAGTCTCAAATAATCGAATGTTCAGTGTGGTGGTGTTGTGATTAATGTTTTCGCTAAGATATTTAACAATGTCGTCCTCTTCGACAATGGATTCTCCGGCTATTGTAGATGATGAGGAAGAAGGTTCTGGCGCTTTCTCTGTACTAGCAGTGCATCTGTGAGCTCCAAATAAGCTGAACGAAGCCATAGAGATTGCTTTAGTCAACATGGATGCATTCGCACCAGCACTATGTCGCCTATCCCTTACTGGTGGCAGCGTGGGTTTCTTTTTATAATTGTCGACAGAATGACTTCTTTGGATATTTGGAATCAAGGGTGGCGTTGGTGATATGATGGACGATGCTAGAGGCGGTTCGCATTCAATGACAATGTATTCGTCTTCAATCTGTTGGAATTCACTGCTATCGATCAATGAGTTGAGGGCGATGTCCTTCTGGCGATCCATTTGAGATATCAATGTCACATAATGGCAAAGTTCTTCGCAAGAGGCTCTTTCCTCGGGACATCTCTTCAGTAGTACTTTGGCGAGATCTTTCAATTCAGTACTGTAGACATACTTTTCCGCTTTGAAAGGAATATGGTCTCTGTATGCATCCACTGTTGTACGGAGATTTTCCATGTCTGTTGATTGAAATAATGTGTGTCCAGTCATCAATTCGTACAATACTACACCCAGGCTCCATAGATCCGCCTTGTAGTTGTAAGGCTCCCCTTTTAAAACCTCAGGAGCCATATAGATTGGTGATCCCAAGACAGACATGGCCAGACTCGTCTTTGGAAGCGCTTTTGCAAAGCCGAAATCGCCCAATTTAACGTCAGGTACATTGATTGCGGATGTTGTAGGTGGTGTTACGAGAAAGATATTCTGTCAAAATTATTGAGTCCTACCATGAATTCATCAACGTCCTGATATATACCTTACTTTAGGTTTAATGTCACGATGAATCAAATTCTGGTCATGCAAATATTTCAAGCCAGAAGCTTAAAAAAAAAAGAAAGCTATGATGAACAAGATCAACTCATTTTATCATGTTATAACAAGAACTTACCTAATTGACCGAGAAAATGTAAAACAATGTCTTCTGGCATTCCTTGGCTTTGGTAGGTGTTTTTGATATAGCCATTGAGATCGCCCATCGAACAATACTCCATAACAAGATATACGTGTGAATTAGATTTCTGAAAAAAAATGAGTTTGGTAAATCAGAAATATGTAGCATAAATTTTGATCTTACAATGTAGTCTCTGCACCTAATCAAATGAGGATGGCAGATACTTCTCATAATCTCTATCTCTGTCTCTACGTAGCGCATGGTATCAGCATTCAGGATGAGCTTTGGTTTGATCGATTTGATAGCAACTGCTTTTTTCGTAGGCTTAAGTGTAGATAGCGTCAATAAAACTGAGTCAGAGCTATTCGGCATATATTTTACCTTGTGTTCGGCTTTATATACAACTGCAAATGAACCTTTGCCAAGCACTTGGCCCATTGAGTAGTCTTTGAGAGAATTTGCTAATGCCATTTTATGCTGTTACCAAGTGGTAATGAAATTAAAAACGAGGGAAAGAAATAAAAAAAGAGGGAAATCATGTGTCGAGAAAGAGAGAGAGGGGGGGGGAGCGGATCCAATCTCATCCACTGGGCCAAATAGAGAAGAACAGATTAAGGCACCCGGATCCACCAGGTTCAAGAGAATGTGTGTAACTGAATTCTCTTTCTCTCTTTGCAAAACAAACAGATGAGACGCATAAAGTATGATGATATGAAAAATCACAGCACCCCTATGCTTCTTTTTCCAAACATTTGTTACTCAAAGATTGAGAATCATTACGCAAATAGCCACTGACAGGACAGACAAGCATTAATAGAAAGAGAGAGAGGTTAAAAAGAATAAGAGCAAAGAGCTAGGTAGAATAAAAAGAACGATATTTATCTTTTGTTTATTACATGTACCTGTTTATTTATTATTCTCTTTCTCACTTGCGCTTGGGGTTGATTTTTCCCTGTCATATTTAAAGGATTTGAGCGCGGACACTTGCCTTACCTCTTCCTTTTTCTGTTTTGCTCTGTTGTTCCTAGCTTGATCCTGACCCTCTCTCTCTCTCTCTCTCTCTCTCTTCAACGCGTTACATTATACCAATTGCACAATGACTGAATTGTTTGTCACCAAAGCTGTGGTAAAATTGCCAAAGAAGACCAATGCCAACAGGCTGAGTCATCATTTCATGGTGGATACATCCTCAGACTACAGCACCATGGCAACACATGCCACCACAGCTACCAAACCGCATCGGCAAGCGTCTCCCCTATCGGAAGAGTACTACAGCAGCTTTTTGGTGACTGAAAAGCTGTACATTGATGGGCTACCAAACTCTGTTATTGAGACTGAAATTATGGATCTTGTCAAATCATGCTGCCCTGAAAGGTACCCTTAAATTCAGTTAACAGTTGATCGACATGATATTTAAAAAACTGCATATATAGAATCTATCTGAACCGTGGCCGTGAGTTTGCATCTGGCTACATTCAGTTCAAGAGCAAAGAAATGGGTAAGCTCATAGTATGCCTGTATTGCAAAACATGCATCTAAATCAACTTGTAGCTGATCGTGCTTATACGCTGCTGAATGGTGTCACTTTCCGGGCTGGTCTGCGATTGCAGCTCAAGATAAACCCTCCGTCTAGTGATTACCCAGAACCTGAAGCACATGCAGGTATTCTACACATTAAAAACTTGCCAGGTCATACAAACAACAACCTGCTCTATGAGCTGTTCCGTCCGTTTGGACCTATGATTTTATGCAAGATCCTGGTGGAACAAGCTTCGACATTTAAGGGGACTGCCCTGGTACAATACTTCAATCCACAAGATGCACAAGACGCAGAAAGCATGATGGTAAAAACTGTCGAATGTTCTTTTTCATCTCATGTTCTCACCTCTTTTTGTGCAGAATAACAAGAGTGTGCAAGGCAACACCATGTAAGTAAATCATATCGCTCATCAGACAAGACACGGCCTGCTGAAAAAACAGAGTTAGCTCGGTATTCCCTATCATTCCCAACAGCAGCAGCAAACCAGCAAGGTCATCAGTGCATTCTATCGAAACAAAGGACATTGTATGTGTAAAATTAATATGAGATGCTATCATCACTAAAAGCCATCATCATATAGACTTTGGATACTGCCAACACCGCTCACATCGCCACACCCCCATCACCGCTGCCACCGACACCTGCGCCCATGAACAACACAGCGTCGTCGCCCACATCTGTGATTCGCAGCGACGGGTCCAGCATGGTCGATTACACCAATCTTTATATCAAGAATCTAGATTTGAATGTGAAAAGCGTTGATTTGTTCAACAACTTTCGAAGATTTGGCCGTATCATCTCGGCCCGTGTCATGAAGAATGCACAAACAAAACAATCAAAGGGATTCGGGTTTGTCAGTTTCAGTAAAGCAGATGAAGCTCAAAAGGCAAAGCATGAAATGAATGGTGAATTCATCCTGTCAAAGCCTGTCATTGTTGCCTTTCATGAGCCCAAGAAAGCCCGTGAAGCAGACGTCAGTGTGTCACCTACTCAGTCTACTTTTAACGGTGCCTCACGTCAACAGATGGTTGCTACTTCTGTATCACCCCATTTGGTGCAACATCAACAGCAACAACAGCAGTACAACAGACTAAGCCCTCTCCCTCCTCCTACTCCATCCTTCACATCATCCCCTGCGCACCAGAATGCGTATGAACAGCAGCAACAGCAAAAGCAGCAGAGCAACGGTAGCGGGTATTATACGAACGGCAACAGAGTCAACAACAAGAATAATACAAGAACCCGTAATAGTATCGATCAACGATACGGTAATCTGACGATGCCGCAACAGAAATACAGCACTAATGGCAATAGTTATCAACAAACCTATACGCCTTCGCAGCCACCTCCACCAGCACCACCCTCTTCAGATGGCCTAAAGGCAAGCCACCAGCCAATGGAAAGAAACAATAGCAACTTGAGTCATCATCAACACCATCAGAGCAGCATGGGTGCATCTAATCAGTATGATCCGAGGCAGCACCAGCAACAAACAAACCAGGTATGTAATGTTACCACACATGGTATTCATTCGGTATTGACGTTTCATGTAGTACCAAGGATCGAGCAAAAAGGTATATGAACCCTATCAAGGGCAACAGCATACCTACAACACGCCTATCAAACGAATTCCGTCAGCTACTGATAGTGTGCAACAGCCTCCATCACTGTCCACATTGGCATCGGGTGCATTCATCAACACACCTCAACATACCAATGCCACTACACTCACTTCAGCTTCAACAAACAATGCATATCAGCACCCAAACTACTACCAGCAACAGCATATATCTCCACCTCCACCTCAATATCACAATGCAAATAACTACTGGTCCCATTCACCTCACGCTCAAAAGCAGCAGCAGCAAGAGAGACCTAGTTTTCGTCGACGAGGCTCTGTGGAGTCTATGGCTAGTGTCATGACTGAAACAAGCTCTCAAACACGAAGACAAACCATCACAAAAGCTGTGCTAGCTGTTGAAAAGAGCAACGACAGCAACTTGAACGACATTGTAGACATGTTATTAACACTGAGGAAGAAGGATCTTGCCACTTGTTTGTTCAATAAAGTCTTTTTGAAGGCCAAGATCAAGCAAGCCAAAGATGCTTTAGAGATCTTTGTTGAGGAGCAGCAACAGCAACAGCAACCAATGCATCAGAACCTCGTTTTCCATGAGCCAACTGTTCATATGTCTTCGCCTCCACCTGTCTCGACGATGGTGACCAACTACTATTATCAGCCCAAAGAAGAGCCAGCGCCAAGTTACATTCAACATGTTGCTCTTCCTCCTAAAGGTTCTCGAGCTATTCCAATTGTTGCACCTCCACCTGCGCCTACAACAGCGTCTTCGCCTGCTGCTGCTGCTGCTGCTACTGCTGCTGCTGCTGCCAGCCCATCAAAGACTGGAATGGCTCACAGTGCAAAAACGGCAAGCGCAACAAATGGAGCAAGCGCTGCTGCTCCACCATCAGCGTCAAACAACAAACCCAGTACATCTACCAATCCCAAAGTCCTGGATTCAAATACAATGAATGCTCAGGAATTAAGTGAAGAGATTAGCAAATTTCTAAAAACGTTGGATGGCTTGCCACTCCATGAAAAGAAGCAATCGTTGGGCGACCGATTGTTTCCGTTGGTCAAGGTATATATTGGGTCAATATGGACAAATCTTGTAAAATGCTCATCTCCCTCTCTTTCTTCTAGTCAACGGGTGTCAAGCAAGCACCCAAAATTACAATTCGTTTGCTCGACAGTGTACCGCTGGACGAACTCGCTTATACCATGTATGATAAGGACAAGTTGAAACAGCAAGTGTCTCAAATTTCTGCAACCATCTCTACAAAATATTAAATTATTCGTTCTAATTTGCATAAAAACTCTCTCAAAAGTGTTGTTCTACTCTCTCCATCTATATGAGCGTATCCTTTTGTCATTCCAAATGATTGTCAGTGTATGTATGTTTGAACAGCTCAGTTTTGTGATGTGAAAATCACACTGCACAGCTACTGGCCTTATTTCAGATGTTCAGCCTGGAAGCTATCAGATCCTACGTGCCTTGTAAATGCCATCCTTCCATAAAATCATGTAGTACCTAGACAAAACACTGGACAAGCACAACAATTGGAACCTCATAAGGGTATAGCTATGATGTTACGATTCAATGACTTTTATTTCGGTAATGTAAAGGAGACAACTGATATAAAATTTCAAATGATCAAACACCTTAGACAACGGTACCGGAGGCAGAAGCAATACGAGGCCACAAATCGGCACACTCCTTGGCAACGGGACCAGTGATGGCAGAACTGCAAGTACCATGTTAGTTTTTCCATTCTTTTAAACACTCGTAAACAAGCAACTTACCCCTTCATTTCACCCTTGGGGTTGACAATGACACCAGCGTTATCCTCAAAGTAGAGGAAAACACCGTCTCTACGGCGCCAGGCCTTGCGTTGACGGATGACAACAGCGGCCATAACCTTCTTTCTTAATTCAGGCTTACCCTTCTTGACGGTAGCAACAACCATGTCACCACAACCAGCAGCGGGAAGTCTGTTCAAACGACCCTTGATGTTACGGACAGCAATGACATACAAGTTCTTGGCACCAGAGTTATCAGCGCAATTCATAACAGCACCAACGGGGAGACCGAGGGTCATACGGTACTTTGTGCCGGAAACACTAACTAGAACAGCACGTTAATGTCAACATTCAACATGACTAAATCAACAAGAAAGCAGCGCCTCTTTTTCTCTCTTTCTCTATGTGCAGGCTGTGTCATATCATATCATATCATGGTATCTGGGCGTTGATGCGCGGCTGTCAAGTACAAAAAGGTTGGGCGACGAGGTGGTGCCATATCCATGAAAAAAGCAGATGGCAATATAATTCGAACAGGGTTCTGTTGGCAAAGACGAGCTGAATCGATTGCAGTTGATTCCATGGATTGATTTGAATACTGTTGATGGATGGATCCATATTGCCATACATTTTGCATCCAATCTGCCCCCCCCCCCTCGATGGAAACTACCCATCCCATCATGTCCCAATCCATCCATCCATCTACTAGTTGCTGCTTGCAATAGAATACAATATGACACTACCCAGAGATCGACGCTGCTTTCCTGAATTCATGATGATTAGAACGCACCTTTAGGCATTGCGTAGAGATACGGATGAGAGAGGAAGTTCTTTCTCTGATCCCCTCAAAAGGCTAAATGTTCGACAGCGTTGTGCTTCCAAAGCCCGTCGATTGCCAAATAAAGTGACTGAGAAGTTTTTTTTTTTTTTTCTTTTATTCATTGATCGTCTGCATTAAATCCATTGTATCCATCACTGCATTCACACCGTGTCTCTTTTTGCAGGGAAACGGCATCATGATCACTATGGAATGCCACCGAATGAGACTAAAAAAAAAAAAAAAAAAAAAAAAACTAGCCTGCTTTTTTTGACATGGGATGCAAAGGACGGTACTTGAGCCTACATGCGGCAGTGATGAGTGTGCCTAATCACTTGCCTATGCAATGGCATTTGAGGTGATGCCAATTAAATCTGCAATTCTAGTACACTTTTTCGAGAGAGCTTGACTAGGTTGTGAATACTGCTTCAATCACAGGTGAATTCATTCATTAGGACTAAAGAAAGGCAGACTTGCCATATCCACAATGGACACTTGCATCAGGATACGTGTTTTGGGACATGGATATACTGGCAACATCTCTTTCAGTCTAATGGCAGCAGATCAGTCCAATGATATCACTTTTAGAATAAATAAATAAAAAATACCAAATAAATGCAGCCGACATTAGCCAGACTACGATGTAGGAATACCTGGTCCGCAACCTTCGTCTTCCTGGCTTCAAAAGCATTGATTGCCTCACAATAAGGCCATCAGTAAGCCAAGCAATCATTTCTGCCTGCCTCCACAACGAATTAAAATCCCGCTCTGGTGCTCGCTGCATGCCTTGAATCTTGCGAGCATAATGTCTGACATCTGCCACCCACCATCATCTCTAGTATTTACCAGAAAACTATATAAAAAACGTCGGAGTGACCGATCAGAGATCAGAGACGTAAAAAAATTAAAGCACTGAGTACCGTACAAGGCTCGAAAAAACCACCGGCGAAGCTAGCATTGGGGAGGGGGGAAACTTGGTCCCTCCACCAAGAACATAACGCATCTAATTCAACATTTGGTAACGTTGACCTATAAGGGGTTTTACCTTAGCGAAGCGAAGGTGCAAAACCATAGCATTCAAACAGCCAATTCAGCTTTTTATTTCTATTATTATTAAGCCTACCAATAATATAACGCATCAAAATTTGCATGAATTAGCTTTACCAAAATCAATGTACCTTTTAAGAGACATTTTGACTGAAATTATTGAGCAATTTAATAAAATTTGAAATGAAGCTTTTAGCGATAATAGCCATGTTTTGCATATGAAAGCCTCATAAAAGTAGTTTCAGAGGTTGCTTTGGATTAAGAGAAATATTTTGATGTGATACATACCATAATAAAAGTCTTCATTTTCAAGGTGAAAAATGCGATCGTTTGATTTTCAATGAAAACCATGAGGGGTATCTCACGCTTTTTGGTCGATTTTCGTTCATGTTTTTTTGGTCCCTAAAAAGTTGAGCAAAGGTGCCAGGAAGTAAATGCTAGATGAGGGCAATTGTTTGGTGCTATTCTGACAATCTAAAACGGCCTTAAACACGAGAAATCACGACTCAAATGCACCCAATTTTTGCTGCTTTTGCATATATTTGAGGAGTAAAAGGTAATTCTAGTATAGCAACTGCCCTTATATGAATCTCTTCCATTGAAACAAATGTGGAGCATCCTAAAAGAGTCAGATTCACAATGATGAATGCCTCTTACGTAGCAACAAAAGACTAAAACGTTTATAGAGTAGGATATCCAAAGAAGCTCACGGTATCTAATGAGATGGACAAAGGCAATTACCAGCGCTGGTTCTCGTCCATGCAAAGAAGGTAGAGAGCCACCGAAAGCGTAGAATGAATTGTTTGGCTTGATGTTTGTTTGGCATTACGCGTAGGTTTGCTGGCACGGAAATAATGCATGTCTAACGTGTGGCGGCTTGATTTGTTTGGGGGTATTTACTGACATCGTCAGCGTAAGTTGCCTATCAGCCTAGATAAGCTTACAGCCTGAGCGTTCCAATTACAGCTACCGTTCTCGTTCCGAGGATTTCAGCTGGCACAACCCACTCACTGTGACATGATGATGATTGCTTTTTCTCTTCATCACAATCGCAGTCTTCGCGAGTGCAACTATCAGATGATGATCACACTGTCAGTGAACTCAAGCTTCTCACAAGGGATGCAAAGAGTACTTGATAAGATACGGGTACGATGCTCATGTTTTGAAACGTTTCATCCATCTTACTTGACATGCACAGTGAGCACTGGGTTTCAATGGCAATGCCAACGTATATCTTTTGCAATTTAACTCTATAGGTATCCCCATAGTTTTGAGCGAATCACAATGCAACCTACGAAAAAAGGAGGGGCAAAATAGTTTTGAAATAAGAAAATTTTGACCCCTTTAATTTTTCTCTCTTTTTCTCTCTTCTGATATCCTTATATCTTATTTTTTTGTAGAATGACTTCTTCAGATAATACCCTTGAAAGTATCCCCGCTGATCAACAAGGCAGCTTCTCTTCCTTTCTAAAGACCTTGGCCTCCTTCACTGGAGATCTCTCCAGTTTGACCTGCCCATCGTTCTTATTGGCCCCCATCTCATTATTGGAATATTCGTAAGTAACGAGCTACAAGAGTACAAAGCAATCTGTGTATTCATGTTAATCAATAGCTCCTTTTGGGCTGATCAACCTGGACTCGTAAGTATCACAAGTGTGTTAGAGAGGGGGGATATAGACAGGGTGTTTAACGTCTGTTTTACTACCTAGTTGAGTGCTGTCGGTAAATCAGATAACGCTGAAGAACGCTTCTACGCTGCTATCAAGTGGTTCATCTCTTCCTTGAACGGCTCTTTCTCTAGCCGTGTCCCCAAGGGAGAATGGGAAAAGAAGCCCTTCAACCCCATTCTTGGTGAGCAATTCCTCTGTAAATGGGATGATAATACCCGTATTGTTTGCGAACAAGTCTCCCATCATCCTCCTGTGTCTGGTTTCTACATTGAAAACAAGGAAGCAGGTGTTATTGTCAATGGTCATGACGGTCAAAAGACTCGCTTTTCAGGTACACAAATGTTGGTGGATCAGATTGGCTACTGTACACTTAAATTGACTCAACGTGATGAAACTTACTTGTTCACACTACCCTCTGTATCTGTCAATGGTATTTGGTACGCTGGTAAAGTATTTACAGACAAAAAAAAAGAAATCACATGTGAGACTGATAGGATCTGTTTTGTAGCACCTTATGTTGAGTTGTACGGTACCTCTTTTGTCCAATCCACAAGCGGATTTGCTGCTTCTATCGAATATACCACTAAGGGTTGGATCTCTGGTGAAGTTCATCACTTCAAGGCTTCCGTTACTCATGAATCGCTCTCTACTCCTACCGTGATTGAGGGTCAATGGACAGGTAAATCCACTTTGACCAAGAACAAAAAGACTGAGGATTTCCTTGATTTGACTACTTTGGAGAAGCCCAAGCCCTTTGTCAGGCCTGTAGAAGAACAAGATGAATTAGAATCTCGTCGTATCTGGCAAAAGGTATCTGAGGCACTCAAGGCTGGAGATTATGCTACTGCTTCCAGCGAAAAGTCAGCCATCGAAAACCAACAAAGAGCTCTTCGCAAGGAACGTGAGACAAACGAAACTAAATGGGAGCCCAAGCACTTCAACTCTGTTGAAGGAGAGGCTATTTACGGCGATTTGCGTGAAAAGATCATAGCTAGAGCTGATTCCAAGTTTATAGATACTATGGGCGAGGGTGGTTGGATGTACAAAGAAGCTTAAATGTTATAAAATAAAGGTTATATATACCGCATGAAATGTTGATCTTGGTTTAGGATTCTCTTGTGTTTTCAGTGGCCCTGGAAACGCTGTTTGGGATGCTGTATATCAGAACTATGCTTACGAAATGCTCCTGTTCTATTCTTTATTTGTGTTTACATTACGGTTGCCACATTTACATGGTGATCGCCACAGAGTCGATCGTGGGGGAAATACAGTGAGCAGAAGCTATGTCTGCCACATGAGCAAGATGACAGCATGCATAGTTCACTTGTCCGTCATCGTTGCTACAGCGCACATTGGCAACAGCTCGATGTAAATCCAGAACAAAGACAACAAGACAGTAAATGACGACAGAATAACCCAAACAACATGAAACAAGATGACAATAACAAACACAGTTTAAATTATGCGCACACACACTTGTAATCTGATTACAAGCCGTTTCCCAAAATTGACGACAGACAATGTGATTCTTGACAATGCCAGCATTCGAATGAGATAAAACAAATAACATTTTAAATGGTTAAATTACAAGGTGGAGGGCTCGTGGTTTGACACACACACACACACACACACACACACACACACACACACACACAAGCACAGCTGATCCTTTTGATATGCTACAGCTCCCGTTGAATGTCAATTCAGCATTCAAGAATGGGTCAAAGGCTTAGTATCGCCCATCATGCTACATCAACCTTGTAATTCTGGCTTTCTTTTGTTTTCATGTACACAATGGCAACAATAAGATGTTTGGTCAACAAGTGATATTGTGGCTTTCTTACACCTGCATTATGAAACAGTAAATAGAATCTGGATAAACAGCACACAGACACATGATGTATGTGTATGTGTGTATTGGGTCAAAAACGCAGACTGGTAAAAAAAAAAGAGCACAGCTTGGTGATGGTTCGAAATAACGTCAATTCAAGAACCCAATGATGTCGCTATTCGATCAGATCTCCTCCTGATATCTTACAACGTTTCAGACCATAGAGTTCGATCGGGGAGAGACACGCACATCATGAGAATCCGTGTATCACCAGTTCACTATTGTTTTGTTGTTGTTTTTGCTGTTCTTTTCGTCACACATCTTGCTTAACAACGAGGTGCGTAACAAGATGATGTCCGACCGCGGGGTACAACAACAAAGCATAGCCATGATTTCTCAAGTTACAAGGCTGGTTACATAAAGAGGTAACAAGAACCTTGCTTTCCATGTGTTTCCATTTGTACAATTCCTTTGCTGAATGTTCAGTCTATGCAATTTCGCTTTCAACGGGCGTTGGATGCCACATTATGGCGAGTAACATCAAAGCCCTCACTCTCTCACTCTCTCTCTCTCTCTAGGCGAATGATGAGATGTATCAATTTTCTACATTGAATCATGAAACAGTAAACGCATTAGTTGATTATTTTTCCATGTACATTTTTGGAGGGTTTTCACTCAAATTTGGGAATCTGGTTTGTACCATCATAGCTCATCAGCAAGCTCTATCCCCTTGGTTCTCTTGTCTTGCCTCTCCCCTTTTATTTTCGTCCTTTTCCTCTCTCTCTCTCTCTCTCTCTCTCTCTCTCTTTTCTCTGGTTTTTTTTTTTTATACAAGATCTCCTTTCATTTCCAAACAAATCATCTTTCTCCTCCTCTTCTTCTTTTGCTTCCTTCTCCTTTCCCCTTTGGAATCCATTTTTTTTTAGACACTCAAAATTTTTGCTTCTGTTGCTGCTGTAGTTTTGCTGCAGGAAAACACCTGATCTCAGCTTATTTAAACAATATAAAAAGAGAACGAAAGAAAAAACGGCATTCCTTTCTTTTTCTTCTTCCTTCTTCATTTGCTACTTTTTTTATATTTGCATTAAATATATTTCAATTGAATTTTAATGGGGGCGAAACCCAGCAAAAGTATCATTGACGATGAGGATGCTATCTCTCGAATCAATCATGCCAGCAGGTCAGCCACAAATGACAGATCTTGGTCGCATCAACACTATTATCAGAGAAAGAGGAATCATCTCAAGCAAGTGCTGACGCCAAAGAGCAGAAAAAAGAAGATGGTTACATCCAATAATCATGATAATAACACACCATTACCATCGACACATCATCCAACATCTGCTACTACTGCTACTGCTGCTACGACACTGCACGAAACTCCGAGTACCTGTGCAACAGAACACCAATTGCCTAATCAAACCATGGTAATAGAACATGTACAAGAACAACAACAACAACAACCAGAGCAGGCCGAATCCAACTACATTTTGACCAAACGATCGTCGCCATCAAACAGCAGCTCACATTCGCCGTACGATCCACTGAAATCAAAGAAAATGCGTCGAACCAACTCGCCATCCGTGGTAGGATGTAGCAGTGGAATTGCGACGAAGCATCTATCTATTATTAGCAATAATACAACGCAAACAACAGACTACTCGAACAAAAGCAATATAAGCAGTGGTGGTTGGACAACCTTATCGAATGACCCATTCTCTCAGATCGAAGCAAACACATCTGCATTTACCGAAATCACAGATCAATCGACCATTTCAAGAAAATCGCTTTATCCTGTACTGGAGGCCTCTTCTGTCAATAACGCACCGCCCTCTTATTATCACCATCACCACCATCATGCATCATCGTCAGTAACAAACGTGCCGCCTGGCATTTCGTCGTTTGATATCCTCGATCAGCTAGAGAAACACCCTCAGCATTCGCATCATTTAATTATTAAGGAGGCATATCAAAGGGCGCAGCAACAGAATGATGGCTACGACTGGAATCAATTCTACCTCGCTATGCACCAGTATATATCACTGCCAAACAGCTACAAAAGTATTGGTATCGTGTATCTTGCCAAATGCTTCATGTTTGGCTTGGGCGTTTCGGTCAACATTGAACGTGGATGGAAGCTGCTGAAATCACATCCATCATGTGAGACAACCTACGCTCTAGGCCGTTGTTATCTCGATGGAACCGCTGCTGCTGCTGTTCATAAAGAAATCCAGGGGGTAGATAAATTAGCCGCGTTTGAATGCTTTAAAAACGCCAGCGAATATGAGGCTACCAACGAGTCCATACTGTCTACCATTGGCGAGTCGCAATGCACATTAGCCCGCATGTTGTTCCAAGGTGAAGGTGTTAGCCAGAATACACAAGAAGCTTTGAACTATTTAATGAAGAGTGCCGAAAACAACAACATGTAAATTTGCATTATGTAATGCTTTTTGTATAAAAATACCAACACATTGTTATAGGTATGCACAGTTCCTTATCGGTGTTCATTATGAGCGAGGATTCGATATTGCACAAGATCTTGAAAAAGCAAAGCATTATTATGGAAAAAGTGCGGACAGAGGCTTTCCAGATGCACAGGCTGCATTAGGCAGCAGGTTAATAGCAGAGGCTAATTATGCACAAGGCATCGAATGGCTTGAAAAGGCTGTGCAGATGGTAAGTTGTAGTCGTAGCAATAGTTATCTCCTCTCTCTCTCTCTCTCTCTCTCTCTCTCTCTCTCTCTCTCTTTTGCCAGTGGACTAACCTTGTTTCACTTGTAATTTTAGGGCAATAGCCGTGCGCACGTACAACTGGGCATTTTGTATGATAAAGGAGAAGGTATCCAGCAGAACAATGATATGGCTCTCCTTCATTACAAGGCAGCTGTCGAGAACAATAATCATGCAGCTCAGTATATACTCGGTCTGGTTTACTATTTTGGTCGATTGGGTAGACAAAAGAACCACAAGGAAGCCATTCGCTTAATTAAGCAATCTGCAATGGCGGGTTTGCCTTATGCGCAACGTGTACTGGGCCAACTCTATCAGCAAGGCAGCATCATGTCATCATCACACGATAATACAACCAATTCAGACAGCCGACTACGAACAAAGAAGAATGAACGTGAGGCCATTCGATGGTATAAGCGTGCTGCTGCTGGAAAAGACGTCTGCGCTCTGGGTATCCTTGGTAAATGCCATGAACACGGTATAGGTGTCGACATTGACTTGGAAAAAGCACTTGCATTTTATGCCAGGGCTGCTGAAGGAGACAGTCCATACGTTTGCAATGCGTACATCGATCAAGCACTTTTGCTGCAAAAGATGGCAAGACACACAGACGCTTTTCGCTTGTACACGACGGTATTGACGAAGGGCGTTGCCGACAAGGACGCCCTATCGATTGAAACAGCCAAACTCTCCATTGCACGATACCATCTCTGCCGTGATATTCCAAGCGTGCGGTACGATCCCTTGCTGGCCCATTCTATGCTGCAAACTCTGGTTGAAACTACAAACAACCCTCATGCTCATTATTGGTTAGGCTCTATTTATGACGAGGGGATTCCAGGCTTGTTTGATATTGACCGTGAAAAGGCATTCAACCACTTTTTGATTGCTGCAGATGCTGGTGACAATGACGCCACTTTTTTGGTGAGTAAAGTCAAGCGTGCGTGTTTGAATGTAAACTAACAAGGAACAACAACGTTGTCATGCATATTTTAGGTTGCATATATGATGTCGAATCATGTAATCCCTCACAAGGGCCCCGCTGATGCCTTTCCATGGTATCAAAAGGCTGCTATCAAGGGCCATCCCATGTCCATGTATTCGCTGGGCCTCTGCTACTACAAGGGGATTGCGCAAGAAGACAACAAGCCCAAGCTAGACACTGCCCTGGAATGGTTTGAGAAGGCTGCTCGACTCGGGGTATCGGACGCCATGGCTTACATGGCTCGTATCTATCTGCAGTTTATGGTAGCAAATGCAAACCAACCACAATTAGCTCAGCAACATTTTGTCAAGGCTGTGCAATGTCTCAAAAAGTCTGCAGAAAAGAACGACACCTATGCCCAGCGTGAACTAGGCAAGATCTATCTGACAGGAAAAGGCTTGACCACAGACTATGCAATGGCCGTTGATTTACTGAGCAAAGCAGCTGCAAAAAACGATGCTGAGGCCATTACTTTCCTGGGCGACTGTTACCACAAAGGTACTGGTGTTGACAAGAACATGGACACTGCCGTTGAGCATTATTTACGTGCTGCGACATTAGGTTACCCATAGTAAGTACCAGTAGCATGCCATACATCAAGTACCTAATCTCACCAACAATGTGTCAATTAGCGCTTATTCAGCTACTGCTGAACTCTATTACGAAATTGGCAACATGGAGCTTGCATATGATTACTATGTTTTGGCATCTAAACAAACAAAAATCGCACACAACAAAATTGGAAAGACGGCTCGCATGATGATAGCTCGCTTAGCTCTTGGTTACATTCCTCTCGCTCAAGAAAACCCCACTCTCCTTCAAAACCTCATCATGTCCAACAAGACCATCAGTGCTGAGGCTGCTTTTGACTTGCTGTCTACACTTGCTATTCAAGACCAGTTTCCTCAGGCATTTCAACCGCTTGGCTGCTGCTATCTCAATGGCACTGGTACTCAAGTGAATCCAATGCAAGCCATCTTTTGGTTCCGTAAATCTGCGGAAGAGCTCAATGACAGTATTGCCTATTTCAATCTGGCTGACATCTATGGCAGCGGGCTGGTTCAAGGCGTACCTGTGGACATTCCATTGGCTCTGTCCTATTTGAACAAGAGTGCTGATATGGGATACACGGAGGCACAGTATCGTATGGGTATGATCTATCTCCAAGGTGAATATGGTGTAGGTATGAACGAACGTACCGCAGCCAACTGGTTCAAACTATCTGCAGCTAAATCGCACGCTCAGAGCATATGGATGTTGTCTCAAATGGCAGGTCTTATCAACCAAAGCGAATTAGAGCTGCAGTATCAAAAGACAGCTGCATCACTGGGTCATGTTCTTGCCATGCGCGTCCTCGGCCAGAAGTACCTTAAACAGCTGGATGTCCCCTTCTTGAACGCTTTAATGCAACAAGAGTACCTGCAAGAAGCACTCAAGTACCTCCACATGGCTGGCGATGCAGGTGACACAGAGTCGCTGGTTCTTTTAGGCAAAACCTACAACAATTGCACAAAAACCAAGATCAAGTTTTCTGCTACCAACACGAACCAGCACCACAGCTTGCCTACACCTAGTAACACGCATAGCAGCTTCTGTGATGACGATGATGAGGAAGAAGGCGAATCAAGATTCCAATGCGAGGAAGATGAAAAGAATTTGGCCATTGAATGCTTTGAGCGCGCCTCTGCTCTGGGTGATATGGATGCCACAGTCTACGCAGCAGAAGCCTGGTACGAACAAAAGCAATACGCAGCCGCATTAGAATTTTTTGAAAAAGCTGCAAGTCAAGGCAGTGTTCTAGCACGTTTCTTCTGCGCACGTTATTGCATTGAGGGATACGGCGGCAGTCAATTGAATCCAGAAAAAGGCTTCCAGGTAAGAAAGAAAAACGTAACACAACAAACAAACAAACAAACAAATTGACTAAATGAGGGGCTATTTTTAGGAGCTGCTGATATGCGCCAATGACCTGAATTGCGTTCATGCTTACAATACGCTGGCTCAGTGTTACGAAAACGGAGTTGGCACAGTAAAAAATGATCAACTTGCATACGAGTGGTACGCGCGTGCAGCAGATACAACGCACGATGCCGAAGCTTTCTATCGCATTGCTCGCATGTACGCCCAAGAACGCATCTCAACTGAAGCCACAGTCAACAAGGACATGGAAGCCTGCAAATTCTACAATCTGGCTGTCAATGCCACCAGTGACAGCCACGGTCCATCCTGCTACCAACTGGGCTTGTATTATCTCAAGGGCATTCCCTCACCATCGAATAGTAACTCATTCCTGCTGCCACCTGACATTTGTTTGTCGATTGAATATCTTAGAACCGCAGCTGACCTCAATGTACAAGAAGCCATGCTTCAGCTAGGTGTATTGTTCCTGAATGACGACTACTCTTTGGAAGAACAAGAGGAAGGGCTGTCGAGACTGCAGCATGCTGCTCAGCTGGGTTTGAGAGAAGCCCAATTCGAACTTGGATTGTTCTATCATCGCGGCAAAGAAGTCATTGTATCCAGCCGTTCAGAGGAAGAGGATCAGGACGAACAGGAGCACACGGAGGAGGACGACCAAGACGAAGAATGCGTCATTATCCCGCAAGATTTTGAAAAGGCCTACGACCTCTTTTGCAGATCTGCAGTACAAAAGCACCCGACAGCAACCTTCTATCTTGGTATTTACCATCAACATGGCATATTTGTCGCACCTGATTTAGCTGTTGCATTGGAACAGTTCGAAATTGCGGTGGAACTGTTTGAAAAGTACGACACTGCACCTGACCGATGGCAAGCCGAATTCAATCTTGCTCGCATCTTGCATCATGATCTGGAAAGCCGTGCTCGTGCATACCAACTATTTCAAGCTGCTCATCTCCATGCACCTCAAGAATACAAGTTTCTCTCTGAAATCATGATTGCTCGTTATCATCTCCATGGTTGGGCCAATGTCACTGTGCAAGCAGAGGAAGCCGCTGCCACACTTATCCGATTTGCACAAGAAGAAAAGTACGGCTACCGTGTCTATTTACAAGTAGGTGAATGCTTTGAGCAAGGCCTTGGTGTAGAAAAGAACTTGCGTCAAGCATTCCATTGGTATGGCGAGGTTGTGAGTAAAGCTTATTTGATCGACCAACAGTCCTCGCAAGAAATACTACCCATGATGCTACTGGATGAAGAGATTGAAGAAGATGAAGCCTCTGCCATGTTCAAGCTGGCTGAATTCTATCGACAAGGCTTGGTGGTGTCTCGAGACACAAAGAAAGCAGATGATTTGTATCGACTTGCTGCTAGAAAAGGCTCTCAGGCTGCCCAAGACTATCTCTCCCTTATGCTTCAAAATACTAATCTATATGACTAATCCCTTCCCTTGTTTTAATTTATGTAATATTTTCGTTTTCCTCATTGTATCAATTATTTTTTTCATATTTATATTCCCCATTTACACTCATTTTGTTGCTATTATTATTATATATTTCTTGCTGTATATACGTCGTTATCAGTTTATTATCATTATTTATTAAAAAGATGCACTCTGTGTATTTTTATTCATCCCTCGATATCTGTTGCAAAGCTGTACTATATATTTAGTTGCAAGAGAAAAAGAATAAAGAACAAAACAGTTTCTTTCGCCAAGCTACATTGTGCATGAGAAAGTTGTTGAAGAAGTGTGAAAAGGAAGACGCTGACATGTTCATTTTAGCTTTCTAGAAGTATGTCAAGTATTATTCAACTGAGAGTTGAAAAATGTCGTCAGTAATATTTATATAACGAGTGAATGAAAGATATACTTATATTACTGTTGCTACATTTTATTAGGACAATAAAACTATTGTTCGCTCGAACATATCGATAAACACCCGCTATTAGACATCTTTGCTCCAAAAGACGAATCTACATACAGGATATTGTCCTCATTACAGGGCGTATATAATGTTGCGCCTTTAATTTGATAATGATATTCATAAATTACACTTGAAAAGCTAATGCAGCGAGAGTATTGTAATCGCAAAGTCAGTGTAAATGTTGGAAACGGATAGATATAGTCAATTAAGTTTGTCAAATACAGTACAGCTTGTCAGATATCGTATCAGATCTTAGAAATAGAACCCTGTTTGGTTCTTTCGATTTAAAGCACTGTACATGTCACTTATGTTGCAAATTAGTACCACAAATCAATTTTTGATTGAAAAAAAATGAATATTATCATACTGAGCTGTTTTTGTGCAATGTGTAGGTTGTCGGTGGAGATCCTGTTGTAATAAAAATGTCGACAGGGAATCAAAAAAAAAATCCAAGCTGCCAACAATGCTTTGAGCATGCAGCATGCTATCTTTCAATCATATATATATTCAATGAAGTAACAATGAAGCTGTTTGCCAACGCCAACATACATAATAAATGCAAGAGGGTCCAGCTTACTCTGAGATTGAGGTATAGATCACGAAATGCAAGTGCACAAGGCTTGAGCACCAGTTCAGGAATAATACTCTTATTGGCTCATAATTGTAGCATCGCTCAAGCAATTTTTAAAAATCTATATATTTTTGTGTTTGAATTGATAAAACATCAAAGCGCGGTTGGTTAAGTGGTATAATCTTCGCCTGCCACGCGAAGGGCCGGGGTTCGATTCCCCGACCGCGCAATCTTTTTGCACATTTTACGAGATGTAGTGCTTGTAGTGTGCTGTTGCATTTAGCTGTTAAGCAGCTTTACCTCTTAAACTTTTTGTAACTGAATCTCTCTTTTTGCTGTAAATTGCCTTCGCTATTGAATAAACTACGTTTCATTGTTTACTACTATATTGGATCCTACTTCTGTTGCTACAATTTGACATTAAACTCTTAAATGTTTTCTATATTCGATTTTTTTTTTGTATGGAGGAACGCAAGCTACTACCACTCGTATTTATTATGTTATTAACATGTTACCAGAAGATTATTTTACCTAAAACAACTAGTCTATAAGCGTGTGCACAAGAGGGACAAGAGGGGCATGGCTGCTAATTTGAATTGTTACTGGAGCAAAGAGTGTGTTCCCACGAGAAGGACCCAAGTGTGGAATTTGAGGCTTGATAGACTAAAATTCACGGAAAAAAAAAGAATAAAAAAAACAGTAATGTCAACTTGATAAAGGTATGTTTTATTATCAAACTGACAGGTGTAAAGTAAACTGAAGTCTCTCTACTGGCCAGGTAGATGATCCTTCTTATATACTATAACAATGGATAAAAGTTCTATTAATTAGATTGACAAATAAGTCAACTCAGATCAACTAATGTCTAATCATGCCAAAAGACAACTCCAGCAAGCTAATCATGATTTAGCTCTGTCTGGATGAATAATTAGACTCTCATCCGAAGTACCCTGATCTATCCTTTCCATAAGGATAATTAATATCGATCTAGTAGCATGTATCCGATAGGTACAGTCTTCTTAGTCTATATTAATAGTACATATCTGAGTGTATATCGCTAAGCATACATCTTTAGCATGTATCTGGATATATGGCATGTCTATAGCATATCGTATGCATGTCTATAGCATGTCTCATATATAGTACAAGTCTGTAGTACATAAAGTATCTGTAGCTAGTATCACGGATATAAGCATGTGTCTTATAGCGTGGATCATAAAGTGCACATCTGAAGCAACAAGCTCATATTGCATTAATCTTGGTGTCTATCCAGATATGGTAAACATCCGTAGTCAATGTCGGAATACAAGTATAAGTCTATAGTGCCATCCATGTCCGTGGTGCCATCTATAGCCTATATCTTATATAGTATGAATCTTATAGTACTAGCGTATCTGAAGTCCATATCTTCTCATGATCATAGTATAAATCGATATCGTACATCTAATCCAGTGTACATACAGTTTATATCTAAATCTGGTAACTGGATGAACTGTCGGAATGCAGATCATAGTGGATGTATTCCACACCAAGAAATTTTTGACTAAGGATAATAGTACTGTCAGCACTTGATCAGATGGTTATTGCGAGAGAACAAAGATACTCGACCGAAGCCGTAAGCGAGAGAGAGAACAACCAGAACCACACCAACAACAAACCAAACGTTCACGTCAGTGAAACCCATCATCCACAGTTGAGAGCAGAAGAGACTCAGTATATGTGATAAATCACATACCCTGGCTACTCCTGACGTTTTTCTTCTATATTGAAAAAAAACCTTGGTAAGGGAAAAACATAGCGACTATGTACTCTGTCAACTATCGAGATGGGAGAGACCATAATGTGCGCCATTACCGCACAAAACTAGGGAATCACCCCGTTTGATGACCAAAAATTTCGTAGAAAAGGGGAAAGAAAGGTGACTATATTCGATTATACTCTGAGCTCTATATCCAAGAATTACAAACCAGTTAACACTCAGCCTCGTATCATTTTGACAGATGTTAATTCAAAACTCTTAAACATTTCTGTTTTCTAATGATGGAAGAAGCACACTAATGGGAATCAACTCCACATTTATTCACCATCTTTCAACAGCAAATATAGTGTGGAATACATCCACTATGATCTGCATTCCGACAGTTCATCCAGTTACCAGATTTAGATATAAACTGTATGTACACTGGATTAGATGTACGATATCAATTTATACTATTAGATATGGACTTCAGATACGCCAGTACTATAAGATTCATACTATATAAGATATAGGCTATAGATGGCACCACGGACATGGATGGCGCTATTATAGACTTATACTTGTATTTCGACATTGACTACGGATGTTTGCCATATCCGGATAGGCACCAAGATTAATGCAATATGAGCTTGTTGCTTCAGATGTGCACTTCATGATCCACGCTATAAGACACTTGCTTATATCCGTGATACTAGCTACAGATACTTTATGTACTAAAGACTTGTACTATATATGAGACATGCTATAGAAGCTCTGGCATAACTCTATCATAAAATATTGACAATATTGCCCTGACCAAAAAAAGGTCACCCAATTTTTTTGCTTGCTATCACACGTAGATTTTGAAGAAAAATCCATGATTTTGCATTATACCCTTTTTTGACCATATCTCGACAAATACTCACTGGATTCGCACAAAACAAAGACCATTCGATAGCTCTACGTTATATCCATTATAATATAAAAATTTCAAGTACCAGATGTACGTTCCCTTCATAAATTTGCTCAAAATCATATATTTTATGAGCTACAAGCAGGGGATATTCAACTTTTTTTTTTATTTATCTATAATAGCCATACCATTGTATAGAGAATTGAAAAAGAAACAGAAGCTATTAAGTTTGAAGCTCTCGTTCACTTGGTAAAATTCAGAGATATGGCCATTTGAAAATCGGTCGTTTGGAACATTTTTCGTCATTACTCATCGACATCGCCCTCAATAACTCCACATCAAACATGCCCTAGTCAATCAAAGTACTCTCTACAACTTTCACTACATATACATTCCACATTCATATAGTAATTTAAAAAGTTTTACTAGCAGCATCTATTCAAAATTAACCAATTGTGAAAATCTTAAATTTCTCGGCAACTATGTCATTTACGCAAATATAAGTTGCACCATCGTTTAGAGGGCAGAAAACTGGTATAGGAACATGCTAGTCTCAAGGCTCTAGCATCAATATTTGGAAAATCGATTTTCGATCGTCCAAAAGTTGAAAACTTCAAAATCAAAAAAACATTTTGTACATCCAGGTCCTCATAGGTAAAAAAAATTAGAATCTCGTTAAACTTAAATATGTTGTAGAATAATGATATTGGAGCAACTTCTTAGTGGGACTATTATATTGGAAATGCATACTTCATGAGATAATCAACATTGGAGATGCTATTTTTAAGCGGGGGAATATACATACTTTAAATTGGAAAAGTTATTATTCTTAAATAAAGCAAGCTACAGTTGTCTAGTCTTGACAACAAGATTCTTCAACATGTCAGGTATCCATTAATAACTTAAAACCAACAAGTTAATATGGCCCTTTTCGTACGCTCCGATTTTTAAAATGCTCGGTCAAATTCATCCTTGTGAGGCGTACACATGCGGAAGGCCAACGGAGCTTCAATTTCTATTGTTCTGAATGATGGTCCATGGGATTCTGAAACCTATCAATCTTAAAATTACGCGTTTCTTGATAGTAAACACCCCTTCAAACTTATATGAAACTTGTAGAGAACTCAAAGGAGAATACAATGGTATTTATATTAAGTCTCTGGTGTACATTGTTCACCTGATATTTGGTACGACTGTTTTTGCGATTCTTTGATTGTTTTCTAAGGATTAATCAGTATCTGTCATCAAAACATTTTGTTAAGCATTACTAAACATTCTAGACCAAAAAATTTCC